CGCCCATCCTCCTTCTCAGCCTGTGGCGAACCTGCATCCGCCTCGTCAGAACCCACCACCTCTTCCACCCAGCAATGGCGGCCATGGCCAGCCTCCTATGCCACCCCAGCAAAACATGAACGCGGGTCCGAACGAGACTGGTCCTGGGGCGATGGACAATTCCGACACCTTGTCGTTCAATGAGCAGGCCAACAAAGCCATTGATAATTTCGAGGCTGTGCTGATTGATGACTACGAGGACAAGAATTATATCCGAGAGGTGCTCAAGAGCGCAAGAGCTCGGGCATTGGGCCACGCGACGGAGAGCTCATTCCCCGGCGGAGAACCCAAGGACGAGGCGGTTCTGGTGGGCGTGCTGAAGGATCTGATCGGCAGCTTGAAGAGCCAGCAGACGAACCAGGGCATGGAGCTCGGGAATTCTGCATGAAAGGACTGAAGAGTGAACGATTTACGAATTGACATCTTATGTTTACGAATGCCTACATATATGGTGACTAGGCTGGTGTTGCGGTTTGGGACTTTCGAAACCCGCGAGTGATCGGTGGGCACCGTCTCCACGTCCTCTCTGGGTTGTTTTGTTCATTTCTCCCCGTCGAATTTTGTTTGATCTGGATGTTTTGTGATTTGATGATATCCACTCTGTTCTGGGCGTGATGCTCTTTCTCTGCGGCCGGGGGATGCGATGCCCCGGGTCGTTCCCCATTTCTTTTTATTTGATTGACATATGGGGGACCGGAAAAGCTAGGAGTTGAGTAGCATAGACAAAATATAACATCTCTGGGATATAACATGACGCATTGCGTGGGTAATAGTTCTGCTGCAGACGAGAAACAGCCGGTGTCCGAGTGTAGAAACAACCGAAAGTAGCCGGTGGAGGGGATAGTTAACCTGCATGGTCTCGTCCAGGCACAGCACTGCCCCTCTTCGTTCCTGGCCACCTTCTCCTCATTCTTTCTCCCCCTCCTTACTTTCCTGCAACACCCGAGCGGAGGTTGGAGACGGCATCCCACGCGCGGGGTATTCGTCCTCTTATTGAATGTCTAGACTATGGTGTCCGTTCACTTTTCGTCTCTGAGAAGGAGTGGAAGTTGAATCCGGTGTACATATCCAGCATCGGGTGCAGTGCTCGTGTCATCGGGCAGCAATAATTATCGATGGATGGATGGATGGATGATACTATGTCATTTGACCCCCACTCTTTATTTCTTTTTGACTCGTTGCAGGAGACGTGGTCAGGAGCGACATGTCTTGCTGACTTGCTTACATACGATCCAGATGTACAGTCAGGGACATGTGAGGGTATAGGTAGTGCATGGTACGTACATACATGGAGCCACTATTGGAGAAGATGTGCCCGGATGGACCAGGCAAGGTGTCGACAGACTGTGCTACCGGAGGTATGGATGTCATCATGCTCTGCAGTGCCTAGTAGTCCATAGAGCATGACTGTTAGTGGGATCCAAAAGGAGTGAGTGATTTAACCACGTAAAGACCAGAGATGATGGGCAATTGAATCCCTTGATCCGACGGGATCTGATTGGGCGCTCTGCGATGCAGCTGTGAGTCAGACAGAGGTTGGATTTCTTTTCCTGTGGTGCATGATCTTGTTTATGCGCACCCGTCTGACGTCGACAGAGCAACCGGGGAATGTGACGAGAATGTTTTACCTAGTTGGGCCCTCCGTATTATTTTGCCTCAGCGGGGGGCGAGGTACATGCAGTCACCTCATTGTGCATGGGTTCGATGTACCTGCACGTACATTTGGTACGCACAAGGTACATCTGGCAAAGTTCTACCTAGTACTAGTACGACTGCGGTCGGAGGCTACACCGTCCAACGATCGTGACCTCCAGTCAGACGCGGATGGTGGTCAATCCCTTCCCTTAGGACTACCCGGTCCGGTACCTTACGGCGAAACCCTGTTCGGTTTGTCCTGCAGGCGCACCGCTCACTCGTCCGAAATGAGGCGGATTGCCACCACCGATGTAGTAGGTAGGTAGGTAGGTTCCAATTCTTCTTGAGGTTGTGACCGACGGCTATCGTAGGTTACCGGGATGAGGAGGATGGAAAGTATCTTTAATTTCGAGGCTAGTTGATGTATTGAATATACCAGAGGTATATTTGTACTTATGAGATTTTTATAATATTGTCTAACTTACTATTTGATTCTGATGACAATGAATAGTTACTTTGTAGAGTCCTCTTACTGTAGGGGACTGTAGGGTACTGGAGTAACGTGACAATGACTAAGCACCGAAAATAGACAGCCACTTACCCACACCCACACTTACCAAACGAGTAAGTCCCGAGACACGTTTTGTCCTCTTGTTCGCACGGGGAATGGTCGACTCTCAAAGGGACGTGCACTAACCCGAACTCTGCCACTGTCACAGTGTCCACTCCTTTTTTTCGCTCTGCCGACGACGTTCTGGGCAAGACGGGACTACGGACGAGACTGGGACCCGTTCGTCACCTCTCACCCACCTCTGTTGCCTGGTTGGGAGGGCTCCATCAGACTAGACAGTCTGTCAGTCCTTCCAAGACGGAGGAGCGGACCCTCTGCAGCGTGATTTCATGCTGATTATAGAGAGACGGATATGAATGATTTATTTCGAATAAAGGAAGATACTATTATTAATGAAGAATTATGGTAGGTAATTAAATCTTCTCTAATGATGAAACATCATGGATACCGGAGACATCCATGGGTTGAGAGGCAGGACGGTCTCGAAACGGCAGGTCTCATACCTTACGGAGTACCAACCTCGTTCACCACCTCCCTCCCCCCCTCCTTTTTCCAGGCCCCATCGAGTGGGCTCCTCGTCCTGCTGGCCCGTTCGACGGTCACTCGAACGCCCCTTAGAAAGCTAAAACTGGGGCTCTGATTCATCATGCCCCAAAAGCAATCATGATGCACCGCTACATCATGTTCGGTCGGATGAATACTTGGTGAACATACGGAGTATGATATAATTCATAGGATATCAATAACAGAAATAATATTTCTGATCAAGATGAGTACCGAGTACCGTACTTCAGGATCTTTTCGTCAAGATGATCCGTGGTTGGTCTTGGTAACGCCGTCCATCGGCGCCGAGTAACCACTCCCCCAACGGCTTCTTTTCTTCTGGCGTCGAGGCACTAAACGAAAGAAGGCTAGGGAGGGAGTCGACGGGGCGGATGGATTTGGATAGTCAGGGAACGAAAATTCTGAAAACTCTAACCTGCAAGTCGCAGTGAACTATGTATTCTGATTATTATTCAGGGTATTTTATTATTGGAAAGAAGAATTCTACGCAGTCATGACACCGTCTATCGGGTCGTGCATTTGGAATATGATGGATGCTCTTCTGACTGCATGATTATTGCCTTCAGTTAGTTAGTCAGGTAGTGTAGGGGGGCAAGCATGGATGTGACGGCAGGATTTTTATTTTAGTTTTATTTTTTATGACGGGGCTGGATTTTTTTGGTTATTTTTATTTTTATTATATATATATATATTTTTTTTTATTAGAGTCGGATTTTTAATGAAATTATTATTATTCTATTTGAGGGTGGATTTCCTCTCAACCACTCTTTTTCATTCCGGTTCGCCCTCTGGAAAATCCCATTCCTCCTCTCGCTGTCGCCAGAATCACCCTCATTATCATGATCTTCAGTACTGCGTAGACAATAATTAAATAATAATCAATATGAATAGTAGAGAGTACAGTAGAATGGCCAAGAAAAACCCTTAATCAACGGTAGAAAAGAACGATTGAGAATCTTCGAAATTGTACCGACCGGGCCAGTCCCCGTCTGACTAACGCTCACCGGTCTAACCTCGTTCTTCTTTCTGCCTCCTCCCTCACCCTCTTCTCTTCTCTTCTCTTCTTCCCCCATCCTCCCTCCTCCACTCTTCACCCTCCTCTTTCTCCTCTTCCTCCCCCTTTCTTGTTCCTCTGGCTTCGTGCTTTTCGCTCCGAATTGCTCTCGTCTTGTCTTCATCTTCTGTCTCCCCCCCAACGAGCTTTTCACTAAGTGTCGTTGTCTTCGTGGTCTGGGATCTTTTTTTTGGACGCGAGAGAGACCGTGTTTTTTGACCCGAACGTCGATCGAGAAAAAAAATACGCTCCCACCCTCCATCCTCCCTCCACGAACACTCTTCTCTGCCAACGTCACCGTTGCCGGTTCTGGTCCCATTGTCGTCGCCGTTCAGCAAACCGACCGACCAGGAAAGAATCCCAAGCCTTTCCTCCGCCAAAGAACCTCAACCCAGAGAAGGAAGAACAATCAAAACGCGCTAGTTGCGACCGCTCTTTACGCTCTTTTGATTCACGTTTTTCATTTTCATCCGTGTTTCGCCGCGTCGTTGAATCATACCTCCATGTTATTCAACTAAGCGACATTCTCTCCGTCACACACAGAGCTCCGGCTCGCTGAGCATCGCTCTACCCCAGGATCAGGGCGTCGTGGACGTGTAGACGGTTCGTTCCATTGTTTTTCTTGCCCCGTGTTGCGCCCCTGGCTCTTTATCAACATCCTGCGGAAATCTCCGTTTGAGCCGTGCTGACTTGGGACTTTTCATTCCGTCCAGTAAATCACCGTCTACCTCCCCGTCCTGAACTGGTCTCTTCTTTTCCTCTACCTCGTTATGCCGTCCTTCTTCGCTCCTGGCCTCCAGGGCCTCCCTCCTACCCCTCCCCATATCACCACCGGTGGCAGCATGGAAAACGAGCCTCCTTTCTACGTCGTCGGCCACTCCGCCTTCCCTCCTCGTTACTCCCAGAGTGGTTGTGAGTTCATCGAACAGTATTCCCAGTCGGCCTGCTACGCGAAGCCCGCCCCGATGAACCTCCATCCATCCGCCGCTCACACCCTTCGTAACGGGAGGGAGATGGCCGCCGCCCATACCGCGTTGAATCAGCCCATGTTCGGCCCTCTACCCACCGCCAATGTGCTGCCTCCCATCCGTTCCAACGTGCAGTTGCCACCGATGGACAATGCGATCCCGCCGCAGTATCGTCGCCCCGACGTGATGGTGCAGCCCGAACAGCCCCCGCGCAAAGAGGAGAAGGCCACCGGAGGTGTCGCCGCCCACCTGGATTATGAGATGGACCAAATGGCCGACTTTGTGGCTGAGATGGCCCAGGGAATGTATGCTTTGTACATCACCGAGATCAACCTATCAGATATTGACTTCGCGCGAAGCGTCTACCCAGGATCGTCTGTTCCCCCGCAATTCCGGAAATACGTCTTTCAAATTTTGTCATCGACTCGCCTCCCGAGCTCGACCATCCTTCTGGGTCTCTACTACCTCGCCTGCCGGATGCGCATGCTTTCTGCCAAGAAGGTCTTTGCCACCGGCAGTGGACAAGTCTACCGTATGCTCACGGTGGCTCTCCTTCTGGGGAGCAAGTTCCTGGATGACAACACCTTCCAGAACAAATCGTGGGCCGAGGTGAGCAACATCCCTGTGAGTGAGCTCAACTCGATGGAACTCGAATGGCTCTTTGCGTTCGAGTGGAAGATCCATGACCGCATCTACGATTCGCAGGATGGGTTCGCCTCCTGGCGCTCTCATTGGGAGAAGTGGCAGGCCAAGTTCGCCCGGGCTCAGGAGACCCGTCACAACCTGGTTCCCATTGACACCAACGTCACGCGCGGGTCGAGAGTCTCCAAGCCTCTCATGTCTCCCGAGGGTCCCATCCCGCCGCAGTACCAGCGCAGCTCCCATTTCGAGACCTCGTGGCTGAACCCTGCGGCGTCGGAGTATTCGCCTCCCTCTGCCCCGCACAGTGGACCGACGACGCCTGATTACTATTCGGTTGGTCCCTGGGCGTATACAAACCCCCCGCCGCCATACTCGCGCACATGGATTCCTCCCCAGCAGTCCTACATTCCGCAGCCTCGCTCGCAACCCCCGTCGTACCACCACACCCCGGCGTACGCCCTGCCGTTTGCCCAGAGCGTGTGGACCGGCCACGGCTCGTCATGTGGGTGTATGTACTGCGCCAAACATATGGAGCACTACATGTGTGCGGGCGCTTTCGGATCCATGCAGCCCATCGTGGCCTAATTGGGTACGACAGTGCGGTGCAAATGCCAATCCACATTACTTTCCTTTCTTCGTCAGATTTTCACCCTTTTCGTCTTCCAACCTTGATGATACCGTTTCTTTCGATTTGCGATGACGCCCTGTTGATTTCGCCTTGTTTCGGTGATTTCTGTTGTGTCCAGCTGAAAAGTACCCATGGTCCTCGGTTTCTTGGTCCGCCGAAAAGACAAAAACCCAGTAAAAAAAAGTGTCAAGCAGCGAATACACGACTGCCATATCCGCGACACCACATCTCTCCCGATTTACGATGATCTGGCAACGTGATTTCGACTTGATACGATTTTGTTGTTTATGGAAAGTTTTTGTTCCTCGTGTCCGAAAATTCCTCAAAGAACCTGGAGACCCTCGGTCTTTGCAGTGAGACGTCACGACATTTACGACTTCTTCGTGCTTTGTTTGAATTTCTTCGATAACCCTTTTTCTTCTCTTTGATTATCTCTCCCATTCGGTTCTTCATTCTCTTCATTCTCGTGATTGGGCATTTCACCTGGCGAATGTTATTGATAGATTGTTTTCTTTGACCCTGTCAAGTTTGGTACCCTGGTTTCTCTCCCCTACGCTGCCTCCGTACCTGGCGTTAATATCTTTCCTTCGACTCGGTATCTACTCCTGCATTTCTGTTCCGGTTGACAGATTCGGTTCGACTTTCGGTCGATCAGAGTTTTCGGTGCTCTCCGGTGCGTCCTCTCCGCGGGTCCATACGACGGAACAACGAAGACGCTCGATCGTCGATTGTGTCTTTTTCATGACTGTTGTCGATGCATGCATGTTAGGTCTTGTCATTCTCATGTCCTTGTCGTTGGTAAGACATCAAAAAAGTGATACACCCCTGGTTCCCGTTGCATTATTCTCATTCTCATTCTCATTCTCCCTTGGTGACATTGAGTGATTCAACCACCTGCGTGATTGATTTGTTCACTTCATTCCTTGACTGTAAGTTAGAAATTTAACTACCTTCCAGGTACACATATCGTGGAAAAACATAAAAATGAACTCCTGAAGTTACGGGAACCGCATGCACATCTCTAGGCTGGTCTATACAACATGATGTCTATACGGCCTACAACTTGGTCGACGAAGGGACCCTCTTCTCATGCAACGCCCGCCGGATGATCTTCCCACTGCCCGTCCGGGGGATGGCATCGATAAACACAACTCCACCGGTGAGCCACTTGTGCCGCGCGAACTTGGACGCAATCAGGTCCTGGATTTCCTGGGCTGTCACCGCGTCCGACTTGCGCACGACAAACGCCCGCGGGTATTCCCCATCACCACTGCTCAGTTAGCGCTCACCAGACATGATCATAAAGATAGTCGACTGCAAGGGAAAACGTACATCTTCGCACCGACCACCGCGGCATCCGCCACGCCCGCATGCTCCAACAGCGCCAGCTCCAGCTCCGCCGGAGACACCTGCAGCCCCTTGACCTTGATGAGCTCCTTCATGCGGTCGACCACGTAGATGCGCCCGCGCCCATCGACGTACCCGATGTCGCCCGTGCGCAGCCACCGTGTGCCCTGCACGTCGTGCACGATCGTCTCGCCCGTCTTCCCCGGTTGCCGGTAGTACCCCTTCATGACGTTCGGCCCGGCAATCCACAGCTCGCCGACCACCACGCCTGCGGGGATATCGTCTTTGTCTTTGCCCTCACCGGAGGAGGAGGAGGCGGTAAAATCCTCCCCCTCCACCGGCACCACGCGCACCTGGCAGTTCGCATTCAGCCACCCGACAGACCGCCCGTCGTCGGCGTCATCCGCCGCAAACCCGGACAGCGAGCACGTGCACTCCGTCATGCCGAGCCCCTGCTTGACTGTCACCCCCGGCCGGAGGTACATGCGCGCCACGGCCGCGCCCGTCGCCGGGTTCAGCGGTGCGGACCCGCTGGTCACGCTCTCGATCGACCGCAGGTTGAAGTCGCCCGGGCGCGGGTGCTTCGCTAACATGTTCAGAATCACGGGGACCGCCGAGAGAAAGGTGATCCGGTACGTGTCGAGGTAGAGCAGGAAGCGGGCCAGGTCGTATTTGGCCATGATGTAGACCTTGGCGCCGATCCGGGGCGCGTTCAGGCAGAAGTATGTCTGGCCCTGCGCTTGTTAGTTCGTAGGCGCCCCACGGGTCCTAGATAGCATAGAAATAGGACGTACGTAGGCATGGTACATGGGCAGCGCGCAGAGCCACCGCTCGCCCGACGCATCCAGACGGGCTTTGCGCGCCCGTCCCGCTGGCGTGTCCGCCACTAGGCCGCGCTTGTGCACGAGCTGCACGCTATTCGCGACGGCGTTGTAGTGCGAGATTTCCACGCCTTTGGGCGGGCCTGTCGTTCTAAAGGTCCCCGTTAGCAAGCATATCGCCATGACAGGACACAGATAGGTGACGCACCCGCTGGAATAGTTCAGAATGGCCGTGGTATCCTGCGCCTCCGCGACGGAAGTAATGGGCCGCCACGTCCACTCCGCAACCTCCTCCGGCCGGCTCCAGAAGTCCGTCCACGCGCGCGCAGCGACGTACGTCTCGCGGTCTCGCGGGTCGACGAACAGATACACGCGGTCAGCGGGGAGACCGCAACGTTCGGCGACGCGCGCGGCGACGGCCGCGCCGGCGGGATGCGTGAGGAGGACTCGTGCGTTGGAGTCGCGGAGCTGGTGTTCCAATTCTGGTTTCGTCAGTCATTCGCGGCTTTATACGTGCGCTGGATGACGGATGGTGGGGGGCGAGGTGGGGGATACCATTCTCCGAAGCAGACGGGTTCGCCGCGGTAAAGACGCATCGCGCAGCGGTCACGCCCCAGAGCAGCACGGGGAAGTAGAGGTTGTTCCCGGAGTAGAGCAGGACCTTGTCGTCGGGCTGGAGGTGCAGCTTTGTCTGGAGGCCGTGCGCGACCTGCTTGACGTAGGTCTGGGCCTGCGCGAGACTGTAGTGCCGGGCGGGCGTGTCGGCGTCGAAGAACTGCGGTGATTGATGCGCCGCGACGTCGCCGGCGAAGATGAACGAGGCGATGTCTGTGGCGGGGATGGGGATCGTGTGTGGTGCTGTGTGGGTTACTGGGGTGGCCATGTTGGAGGGACTAGGTACTTCGGGTCTACAGGTGTACGGGGAGATGGAGGCAGGGGGGGTCTATGAGTCTAGATATAGCTGCATAGTATTCCATGTCTAGAATCATTGATCTAGATGTAGCTTCCCCTCTCGCTTTGCCGAGCTTGTGTTGGGCGCAATACCCGAGGACCGACTTGATATTAAGTAGCCTTTTTCCCTGTGGGGTTAGTATAGATCTATACTCGTAAGTGCTCGATATCAACGCCATGTATTTATCCCAAAATATACTCTAATCTCACGCGGGTATCTTATAAAACAGATGGCCGTCTAGGCATCATATATCCATGTATCCATCGTATACGGCATTCAATAAACGCTCCCTCTAATGCTCTGATCCTCCCGTCGCTGGGCCTCAAGCTCCGCATCCTCAACCCCATCATCATCATCGCCGTGGTGTTCCTCGTCATGCTCACCCTCGCGATGGCTCAATTCCGGCTCCACAGCCACCCCTTCGTCGGGCTCTCTCTCCCCGAAGCTGGCGTCTTTCTTCGCCAGGTTCCGTCTCATTGTCCCGTGGAGATGATTATGGCGATGACGATGGTGTGAGCGCGCGCGCCGCGGCCGTTGTGTTTGCGAGCCGCTTCCCTCGTCGTCGCCGTCGTTCCCAAGATCCTGAGACGGTTTAGACTGATGTAGCTGGGGACGAGGGTCGGGCCGTGCTGGCGTTTCGTGCTCATCTTCCGATGGGGCGAGGCTATTCGTGCCGCTCATGGACCCTCCCCCGTCACGGCCGCCCAAATGGAACAGTCCGTAGTTTGACCGCGGGGGGTGCAGAAGATGGTCTTCACTGTCGCGGTGGAAGCTCGCCAAGTCTGGTCGTTTGGGAATAGGATTAGGTGCAGAGGGGGTTTGGCGATCCAAGTCATTTTGCTTGTTAGTCGCACTGGTCATGGCATGGAGATTTGTTGCTACCCGAGCGTCGGTATTGATCACGTTTGTATTTGCATCGAGTCCGAGAAAAGTGTACTGAGGTCGCGGCGAAGGTATGGTGTTTTGCAGGGGCTTTGCCTCTTTCGTCCGATCTCCCAGTGCGGGTTCGGGAGCCATCAGCATTTCCTGCTCCGTCGTCTTGGGGGTTCTCTTCGTGCACACGTCTGTAGTGTCTTTCGTCTCCTTCTGGACAGGCGGGTCGTGGGGCGCGATGTCAGTCGCTTTATGCCCGTGTCGGTGGGACTCTGTCGCGCTCGGTTTGGTGGTGCGCAGTGAGCCCTTACGACGAATGCCGTGGTTACACCCGTCAGGACAACCACCCCACTTGCGGCGAATGGGAGGAGTGGTGTCCGACGGCGTCAAGGGAAGCGGACTGAGACCCTTCGCCGTGCGGTCTCGCTGCGTCTCCAGCGCTTTCTCGCGTCGCAACTCGGACCATGTGCGCAGTTGGTTCTGCAGGACGTACTTCCCGTTATCCGGGTTGAGCTTCATGATGACGAACTCGCAGTGGTTGATGTTGCGGAGATCCTCGAAATACTCGACGCTCCAATGGTACCATTTCATCAAAAACACCCGGGTCATTAGCCCGTGGGTCACCAGGACGCAGACACTGGCAAAGTCGTCCTCTCCGAACAACCGCCACAGGGACTCGTTGAACCCGCTAATGCGATCATAGGCATCGGCGGCCGACTCCCCGTTGGGGATGCGGTAAAAGAAGTGGCCGTAGTCCGCGCGCTCCAGCCACATGCGCTCCATCTCGGCGGAGCATGGCTGGAAGTTCCCAAAGTCCTGCTCGCGCAGCCGCGGCTCCTCGTACACCTTGATGGTGTGCCGGGGAAAGGGGGACGGCGCCGGCGAATCGGAAGTGAGCGACTGGAGAATCCCCTCGGTGGTCTCGCGCGTGCGGCGGTACGGCGAGGTGAAGAAATGGATGGTGTCGTCAGGTCGGAGAAGCTCGCGAAGGCGGGAACCGGCTTCCAACGCCTGGCGGTGCCCTTCCGCAGTGAGCCTAACCCGGTGATCGGGAATGGTCTGATGGATTTCGCGGTTTTTGTTGCCTTCCGACTGAGCGTGGCGGATCAAGATGATCATCTGTGGATTGTGAGCAGGCACATACGGGCGACTGCGTGCGAGAGAGAAAACTCACCCGCGGCTTGCCCATGGTTGCGGTAGCATTCAGGTTGATATGCAGCGAGGGGAAATGTGGGGTTCTAACGGGGTGATAATGGGGGAAGATGATGACGGTGTGATGGGGAGAAAGGGGGTCACGAAGGAGGATGGGGCCCTCTATAAGGGAAAGATCCGGACGAGAGGAGCAGCGAGAGAAGAGCAGAAGAAGAAGACGAGGAGGAGGAGAGATTCTTCACGGTGCCTGAATTGCTCAACTCGGGCTGGGTCGGGCGAAGAGTCTGGAGTGATGTCAGGGGTGCCTGAGGCAGAATAGGAGCTACCATACCTATCTCTCCTACCGGCAATAATTGCTATAGTTAACGATAATGCAACTTCCAGAACGATCTCCTTATTCTAACTATTCAAAACAGTATGAATCATGAAAAATAGGTTCTGTTCTGTGCACCATTATCGATAACGGAGATCCTGCGCCAGTTGCCGCAGAGGCCGCCGTACCGCATCGCATTGGATCTGGCCAGTTTCTCGTCCTCTAATAATTGACTGTCCGTCGTCCAGCTTCCTCCGCCACCGTCCCTCTTCCCAAGTGAACGCATGCACAATGGCGGACTATCTCTACGAACTTCTGACGCCGCACTTGGCCTCAACGGACCCCTCCCTGGCTCCTCGCTCCCCCGAACACGATGCCACCACCGCGCAATATCTCAATCGTCTGCCCACGCTCTCCCTGCAGGCATTGCAGGAGACAGAGCCCCAGTCATTAGCTCAATCATCCCATTCTACTCTCCTCTCTCTCCAGGCATTGTCCAATCGTTCCCATAAGACCTTCATCGCCTCCGCTGACTACCTCTCCAACCTGCGCTCCGCCATCCCAGAACTGTCCCGCAACGCGCATCAATTGCGAGATGCGATTCCGAAACTCGACGAGGAAGCGGTGCGCTTTTCGTCCAAGTACAGTCGTTCCGCAGAGAATGCGTCTCTAGAACACCGGAAAAGGGTCATGCAGCTGGCGAGAAATGTGGATCGACTGTCTGATATCCTGGAACTCCCGACTTTGCTCTCGACGGCTGTATCTTCCGCCGCCGCCAGTGGCTCGGTCTCTACCACTTATTCCTCGGCATTAGATCTATACGCACATATCAAACGGTTGCAAACGCTCTACCCAGATTCCCCCCTCGTGAGAGATGTCGCGTCCCAGGCCGAAGATGCAATGAAAGACATGGCGACCAACCTCATCACCGGACTACGGGCGCAGAACCTACGACTCGCAGCTGCGATGCGAACGGTTGGCTGGCTCCGACGGGTGGCACCGGAATTAGAGACCCTTGCTGGTGACGGGGAGGGTGCGCTCGGGGCCCTCTTTCTCATCTGTCGGCTAGCCAATTTGGTGTCCACGCTAGAGGCATTGGATCCGTTGCGAGAACTAGCGGACCAGGAGACACACCGCAGAAACCGAGCCTCGGAGAAGAAGAATGGGATGAGCGGTTCCTGGGCGGATGGTCATCAGACGGAAAAGTTCCTCAAGCGCTACATCGAAATCTTCCGAGAACAGAGCTTCGCCATCGTCTCTCTGTACAAGAATATCTTTGCGCCCGATCAGCCCGAGTCCGACCTGGCTGTCGCAGGTTTACGGGGAATTGACGCGCGGATTAAATCCAACACACCTAAACCCGGTTCCAAAGATCCTCTGCAGTCTCTCCCACCGGCACTGGCAACTTTCCCCATGCATCTGGTGCAGTTATTGACCGACACATTACGTGCCTATCTACCCAACGTCCAGGACAAAAGCTCTCGCGAGAGTCTCTTGACGCAGGTGTTGTATTGTGCTGCGAGCCTCGGCCGACTTGGGGGTGACTTTGGCATGATCCTGACCGAATTGAGCGATACCGGAGATCATATTGACGAAGAAGAAGACATTGGCTACGAATGGGAGGAAGTGACGAGAAAACACCGAGCTTTGGCAGGCCGACTGGAGCAACTGACAGGTGGTCCTACAAAGAGCGCCTTACGGGTGGCCTCTCCATAGAGCCTGTCCGAATGGGGCAAGACTAACCGCATGGGGTTCTAGAGCGGGCGGGCGCCCTTTTTGGCCTCCGCCGCCGCTCGCCGTTGTCTGGACCGTACATCCTCCTCCTCTTTCTTCCGCTTTCTTTCTTTCTTTCTTCCTCCCCTCCCGCAAAGACTCATTGTCATGTATAGCGTTTCTTTGTTATATATCCGCTCTATTCTTATCTTATAGTCTTCCTTCATGATCGGTGCTGGTCTACCGATCGCTCTCCCTCCGTGATTCCTGTGTGACGCTGCTCCCTTGCGTACGGCAATCTACCCGGTACCCTCTCACCGAGACATGCGAGATTCTCCTTAATCCATGCGGATAAGGGAGTTTAATCAAGACGCAGACACCCAGATTGGACAACCTCTCGTGATTTAACACCTCCCCGATGGCTACCTCCACACTCTCCACCGGCGGGTTGATTGATCCAACCAAACAAGCCGAGTACCCCGTCATCTTGGGTGATCGACTGGCTGGGAAGCATGGGAACTCACCATCACAGTTGATCAATGTTCAGTATAATTATCGGACCAAATCCTCCACTGCGCGATCCGTCATCACTCCGTCCTCGCAGTCCCGGAACCATTACAACCTCACGATCACCGATAAAGCGCCGAATGCCGAACAGAACGTCTTGACCTACTCCTACCACGGCAGTGTGGATCCAGATCAGTCCGCTGCACCATCCGACGAGCACCATCTGGTTCTAGTGTTTGATCCAGATCGGAAGGCGTTTGTTTTGGAGCCGGTCGCAACCCAGCTGAATTTCAACCTTCGATCGGCGCCCGCCAAGACAGAGAAGCAAGTGATTGAGCAGTATAAACAGTTACGAATAATCCAAGATGATGAGCAAGGTTCAGGGGACGATCGCGCGTCTGGGGATGCAAGTGGAAATGATGAGGGCCCTGCGGATGAGTCGAATCCCTACGACTACCGCCATTTCCTTCCCAAAGATAACGCCGATGATGACAAGTCTGCCTCTGGGAATGCTACTCCTGAACCTCAGTCAGGGGCCAGTAAAGCCAATACACCGTTAATGCCAGCGACTCTCAAACCGACTCCAAGCCCGAAACCTCGCCCCAAGACACAAACGAACCCACTGCGACAACCGAAGAAGACGGCTCCAGCTGCTAAACGGGAGACTGCAGCAGTACCCAAGGCCGCGGCCAGGCCTCAGCCTAGTATTGAGAAGGAGGAGACAAAACCAAAACTAAGGGAGGACAAAGATGAGCTCGTGGAAGACGATTCCAAGTCTCTTTCCGACACTGGCACGGGCGGTACCTCGACTCGCAAGGCGGCTCCCTCGCCAGGCTCCAATATTATCATCGACGGCGACTTGATCATTGATATGGGCTCGCCGCCCCCTTCGCGGCCGGCGTTCAAAGTCAATCCTGCCCACTTCTCGTCTAATAATACGCCCGCCAACGATGATGACGAGGATGAGGACGTTGAGGACCTGCGGCTTCCGTCTCCAGCCGGGCATTCAGGATTGCAGGCGCATTCCCATGAAGCTGAGCCTGCGCGGACTGCCCCCGCCGAGGACGATGAAGTCGAGGACGACGATGCGCTGGCGGCCGAGATGGAGGCTGCGTTTGAAGAGAGCGCGCGGGAAGAAGAGGCAAGGAGCCAACAATCGCAGCAGTATCATGTGCAGAGTGAAGATGAGAGCGAGGTCAGCGAGGAGGAGTGATACTTATATGTGTATTTGCGTCTTTTCTTCAGAAGCCTATGCATTCTCGGCGGGCATACTGCGATGCATTTATCAGCCAGGATTTCTATACGTCTCAGCGGCGCCCTTTGGTGTTTGGATACGCCACAAGGACTTGTTCAGGTCCGTGGATTTAGCGAGCAATGATACCAATTTGATTGGAGTTTGGGCATCTGTAGGCTTGACTGTTATTAAGGACCACTATAGTAGTTAGGTCGCCATAGTTGAACCCTACGGAGTACATGTGGAAGGTGCCCTTGATTAGCGGAGTGGATTCTGCCTGAGGACAGCCATGGAACAACGTTGATCCGCAGGGTCTCTCCAAGCATCTCTTTATTCCGGCTTCAACGACCTGTTCGTTCATTCCTCCCAACTCTTTTCTTGTGATTCCACAGCTATTGCTAGAAGCTACCCTCCCTTCGAACTAGGCGACTCCCACCCAACACTCATCTCGGTTCATATCGTCCCAGACCCTTTCAACCTGCCCGACCCTCCCTCAGCCGCCTACCGTCCTGGAGGACTCCAGTCAGTCGAAGACGCCGGTTCTGCCACCGACCTCGGGGCCTTACCTCACCATGCTGTAGACGAAGTGTCACGCAATGGTCAGCTTGGTACTTGGAAACCTGGGATATTGGACTCTTGTCAACGGGAAACGCATTGGAGATCATCCCGTCCACAGCTCAACCATCGATCCTTGACTCTTTGATCCGTCGTCATTTCGCCCGCGTACCTGCGTCTTTCTCGATAATCCATACACCGCCTCGATGGCGTCGCCTACGCCGCGCCCTCCAAGACCGGTCCCGGCACCATCAAATCCAGTTCTTCTCGCCTCCCAGGCTCAGTGGTTGTTCAGTGATGAGGAGCTCACGCGTGCGCCATCGCAGCTTGACGGCATGACTTTGGAGGCGGAACACACGAGTCGCAGCAAAGGGATCAATTTCATTACCCAGGTGGGCATCATGCTAAAGCTACCCCAACTCACGCTCGCAACTGCCGCCGTCTATCTACACCGATTCTTCATGCGGTACAGCATGGTCGACCTGCCCCAGCGACCCGGCATGCACCCGTACCCAGTCGCCGCGACATCGCTGTTCCTTGCAACCAAAGTGGAGGAGAATGTTCGACGAATGAAGGAGCTGGTGGTGGCATGTTGTCGCGTGGCGCAGAAGCAGCCCAATCTGCTAGTCGACGAGCAAACACCGGATTTCTGGAAATGGCGCGACACCATCCTCCACCACGAGGGTCTACTCCTAGAGGCTCTCTGCTTCGATCTGCAGCTTGAGCAGCCCTATCGCATCCTCTACGACTTCACCTGCTTTTTCCGCGTCAACGAGAACAAGCCCCTCCGGAACGCTGCCTGGGCCTTCGTCAATGACTCCATGTTCACCGTCCTGTGTCTTCAATTCCCGGCCCGCATAATCGCCGCCGCCGCCCTCTACGCTGCCGCGCGCCATTGTGATGTCGCTTTCCCAGACGACAGCCTCGGTCGCCCCTGGTGGGACCAGATCGACGTCGACTTGACCCAGGTCCGACGCGCGTGTACTCGGATGGCCCAGCTTTACGAGTACAATGCCATGCAAAGGCACAGCCAGTACTTCCCGACCACCCCCGTCATGTCCGACGAGGCCACTGAAAAGACCAGGATCCCGTATGCGGGCAGCCCGGCTGGGACGACCCCACGTGGCGATGCGGACAGTGTCAACGGGAGGAAGCGGTCGAGGGAACCGGAAGACGAGGCACGAGCACGCTCTGCTTCGCAGTCCCTGGCTCCTCCAGCGTTGCAGAACGGTGGACGCTCCCCCAAGAAACAGCGCGTCGGTTCAGATGCCGGGGAGAACCTCACTGCGTCTTTCAGCTCTCCTCAAGGCTACCATCCCCATCGGCCTCACCATAACCACCATCATCCTCCGCCGTACTCCCACGACCGACAGCACACAAATGGGCATCATCAGCCTGCGCCACATCACCACCCACCTCCCCCTCCGCACTCTCATCACCGTTACCCACAACCTCCGTACCCACCATCCCACCGGCCCTACCCGCGTCGAGACAGCGACACCCGTCCTCCCCCCGCCAGTGGCAACCCCAGTGCACCCGTCGACCCAATCCAGCAACGCATCGATGAGATTGTACAACAAAACTTGCCGCCCACCCACGGAAGCCCACCCCAAGACCGCACCCGATCGGAACGGCGATACTCGTCCGAACGATATCGAGACCACGAGGACTCTGACCGCCGGCGTCGCTTCTCAAACGTCTCGACCACAAGCCGCGGATCTGCCGGCGAACAGCAACATGCTCCCCCGCCCCCGCCTCCAGGCCCGCCATCCCAGCCTGATCCCCCACCTAACCCTCCAGACAACGACGACGAAGGTGGTGGGAGCGAGGAGGGCGAGTTATAAAAGAAACTCTGGCTTCAGCAACTTCGCGGACCAATTTATTTTGGCGGCATGCATCCGGTGCCTTCCACCCTTTTGTACATACATGTGGATAGCGACGAGGATCCCTCGCGGATGTCTCCCAACTTCAGTTATTTGGAAAACTCCCACCGAAACGGGTCCTTACTACTTCATTTTAATCTCTTTTCTTATTGTATTCCGCATGTGCCAATTACGGATTTCTGCTTGGGAGATGGGGTCTAAAGAAAGGAGCCCTGTTTGTGTAGGCACCTGCATTGTTGCTTGCGCCTCATTGCATCTCCGACTTGGATGGGATCGTTCCGTTACCCTTTTCTTGGCTTCTTTACGTGGGTGGGGGTATCATAGCGTCGTCTGGGACATTCTGTACATAGATTTTACATCCAACCTCAAAGTAAGAGGGGCTTATCTGGGGATTCAAAAAACCGAAATCACTTGGCATTATAGGCAAGAACACGGGTTCTACCTCTAAGAACAGTATACAAAACGAACCAGACTTCACAATCTCCCTGTTTCCAACTGAATATTTTTGTCCCACAGATAGTCAATAGCCCGCAGTCATCATTCCCGGACCATGGTGGTCGAGTAAACTGCTAGGCGCAACAAAGCTGAATCCGCCAAAGGGGTCGTTCTCACCACCGTCGTGGCCAAATGACAACGCCGCACGATGGCTGCCCCGGTGACGTCCGGCGTGGAAGTCATCGAATGCGCTGCCGGTGACGATCGGGCTCAGCGGCAATTGGGTGAAATCCAGAGAAAAGTTCTCGGCCATGGCGGGATCTGTCACAACGGGGTTGATGGGTGGCGTGAGCTCGCGACGTTCAAGGGCCTTCCAGTCAATCTTGCGGAAGAAGCGGTGTTTCTTGATGGTCTGGAGGTCCTTGGGCATGTGGTAGCCAAGGCGCTTTGATGGCTCCTTCCGCAGGAGTCGGGTGAGGAGGTCCTTTGCGTCGGGCCCGAGGAAGTAGGGCAGCGTCAGCTTCTGCTTGAGAATCTTCTCTTGCAACTTGGCGTTGTTGTTCGCGGTGAACGGGGGCGACCCGGTGAGGAGGTCGTACCCAAGCGCGCCCAGTGACCACCAATCACACGCCTTACCGTACGGTTTACCCTGGATGACTTCGGGGGCCATGTATTCGATGGTGCCCAGGGAAGAATCGCAGCGAGCGTCGTCATCCACCGCAATCTTGCTGAGACCAAAGTCCGTCAGGAGAAGATGACCCTCGTGGTCCAGCAGACAGTTTTCGGGCTTGAGATCGCGATAGATCACTCCGACATTCTGGTGGAGATGCTCCAGCGCAAGGACCATTTCCGCCATGTAGAAAGCAGCGACATCCTCGTTGAACATGCGTTCCATGGCCAGATGAGTGAAGAGCTCGCCGCCCTGGGCGTATTCCAGGATAAGGTAGAGTTTCTCGTGGTCCTGGAAGGCGTAGAAGAACTTGACGACAAAAGGGTGACGATTGACGCTCTCTAGAATGGTGCGCTCGGTCTTCGTCTGCTCCACCAGCTTCTTATGCACGGTAATGGAGGCCTTCTTGAATTGCTTCTGCGCATACAGCTTTCCTGTGAGCGCATGGCGTACAAGCAACACCGTCCCGAACGAGCCCTTTCCAAGACAGAGCAATGGTTCGAAGTCATCGGTGGTCATCTTCCGGCACAGTTGAGTGCGCATGTCACGAACGCTCGAGGTGTTCTGAGAGCTCTCTTCTGCCGCGGCATCTGCGCTAACGTAGTCGTGTTCCAGTGGAACTTCGTAGCTAGTCAGAACTTCAGTTTGGTCACTGTCTGAGCAGACACTGGCATTGCTTGGCGGCTCTGAGCCTAGGTCGCTCTGCGTGCAGGGCGAAACTGAGCCGTTGGAAATATTGAGAGAATCCAGCTGAAGCTTGAGGGCGCTGACACCCGCGCCCGAGGCCTTCGCTCTAGGGCTATCTCCATTCTTCCCCACAGGACGTGGGTGTGAACTGGGAGCCCGGGAACTGGCGGCTGACAGATCGGACTCTTCGTCACCAGAGCCTACAGGGTTAAAGCCGCGTACCGTGGAGATGGCCGGTGCAACGTGGTTTCCTTGCTTTTTCTTCTTCCTGCCTCGATCTCTTTTCCTGGCCAAAGGATTCATGTTCAGGTTTGGCGCGGGAAAGGGTTGGGTTCCGTCGGGATCCTTTGAGGGGGACGTTTGCTTGCGCTCCGGACTGCCACCGGTCATCCGAAAACCCGTATCCCTTTTGGGGTCCAGATGCATTCCGTCGGGAGACCGCGCAATGTCCGCCTGCGGAGTGAAGACATCACCCACGGAGAGGTCATCATGCGATGAGTTTGAGATGTCCATTGGATCCATCATGTCCGTTCTAGAATGGACCGACCGGAAATTGCGTTTGAATCTATAAGGTCTGATGTGCCAAAAACCAAGATGCCGACAAACACGATACGTATGCGGCGGCGGAGTATATCCACTCAGTTACGAACCGGGAACAGGCATTCGGGTAAATATGGAAGAATACCTAGACGAACAGAAGGGGTAAGCTAGACACACAAAAAGTGGGGTACTTGGTGTGAAACACCAAGCAAGGAGAAAAGAAGAAAACGTACGATGGGTGCTTGTAGGCGAGGATAGATGAGGCTGCCGCCCTCAGGTACCGTTCGTTGAGGATATAAGCCTAATTGTGCCGAACTTCAGACGAATGCGATTTACCGTCCGCCCTGATATTCACTCAGGACGGACCATGGACCCCTGCCCAGACCACGTTGTCTGCGGAGAATTCGGACAGATCGGTCGACCGGTCCTGAGAGAGCGACAAGGCGGAAGGCAGCCGAGAGATCGCACAAGCAGGGTTGAGATCGGAGGACAGGGAGAGAGGGCGGAGGTTGGCAAAGCAGCCGGCGACGGAAATCAAAGCGGACGATGAGAGCGAAGGCGCAGACAAGCACATAGAGGAAATCCGCGGGGGTAAGATAGAAGTAAATATCCAAAGAGGGCTATAGGAGAGAAATTCGTCCCGGAGGAGAGGAAGAGGAGTGGGTGAGCGAGAGGAGGAAGCAAGAGGGAGAAACGAGGACGAACGAAAGAAATGAAGATGACGAGAGAGAAATACCCCTAGCCAATCAGCGGCCGCGCAGCCGTCAGCAACCCGTCCTAACCTGATCGGGACTTCACGTGAATATATACAGATGCGTTCCAGATGGACATCATCGAGAGAAATCAATGGATTATAGCTATATAGATTATACTGCGCATGCAGTAGCAAAAGGTGTGATCAGTAGGATCCATTATTGCTGACCGCGCCGGCCCATCAGGCTTTCTGGTTCCGACGGTGCCTGATCGTCGTCGCATCTTGTAGATCATCCCGAGGTCTCGAAGAATGCCTGAGATCGGGTGATCTCAACTCCTGATCGCTCAACAAATGCCAGCGCGCTCGGCTTCTCAACCTTGACAGTCACGCGTTCGTTCTTGAAATCCACAGTCACAATACGGGCCACGAAGGTCGCCAATGCCTCCACCGTCTGGAACGTAGTGGTCTCAACTTTCTGCTCGTCGCGTTAGCCTGATCTCCCAGATGACAGTGTTTAGTAGGAAGAGAAGCCACCTACCTCAGCGACAGCCCTCGTCATGGCTTGATACGTATCCATCACGGTGGAACCCCAAGCCAACTGACCCGGTCCCTGGAACGTCAACGAGACAATCACCGCCTGCTTCTCCACGCGCTCATGTGAATTGACCCCCAGAATACAATGACACCGGATCCCCTCAATGCGGAACTCCTCTTCCAGAACGACAGGACACCGCTCCGACGTCTCGCCAGACGGAGTCTCGCCATTCGGCTGGCGATATCCCCACCTCGTGACGCTACGATAGTGAAGCCCGCCGTCGGCGCGTAACAACGCCTTGGGAAGATGCAGCCACACCTCACATTGTCCGAACACCCCATCAATGGGGGACGTCGACGACGAATTGCTGAAATCGAACGTGCCAAGCAGATTACTATGTCTCGGCCCTTGGTGCACATGCGACATCCGCCGGACCCCCGCAGCTGTTTCATCCAGAAGCCCCAGCGCGCAGTTCGCCACGAGGGCCGCGGTCAACCGTACGTCCTGTCCCACCTCCGTCTCCATCATCGAGTTTCGTCGACCTCCCTCCACGCTGATCAATTGGTGCCCCGGGTGCTCGGCATGCTTGCCCATCTGGCGGATGTCCTCGTCCAGACGACGGTATAGCTTGCCGTAGTCCAGAGACAGAGAGACGTCGTCAGCAATCGCGGCCGCAACAGCGGACGAATAAGACAGTTTGAGCGATGCAGTGCAGGGTTGGGACTTTCCCAGGCGGTGCCACGGGTCTGGCGCGGCGGGCAGAGGAAGCTGGATGTTGCGCAGCTGCACGCTGTCGAGCACGGCCGGGTATGACGGAATATGAACATTGACCCGTTCTTCCGCCATTATGAGCTGTATTGGTCGGTTCGGGCGTGTTTGAGTGAGATTGGTGTGTAATATATGGCAGTTGGAGCTGTTGTGACGTCAAGTGGGAGTTGAGATAATCACCGCCTGATAGACATGAGATTGCAAACAGGCAACTAGTCAATGGTTGAGTTGAAGGATGTTTCCAGCTCGTTATGGTATTAATTGAGCCAAAAGCCCGTTCCTGGGGGTTGAAGTGCACGATGAAGAGTGATGATGATGGCTGATGGCGGGGGAAACGGAGGGAGACGAAGAAAAGAAATGGTGGGGTAAGCAGAACCCTCCTCGCTGACCAGTTGGCGCCTCCCCTACTACAACAGTCTTCCTACGAGCCACCCACTGCTAGAAACATCCACACAACTTCAATTGATATGTTCTACTGCTTCTCCGCCACCGCTTGGCCCATCCACCGGTCCTTCGCAGCCACCGCATCCCAGCTACTATCCTGACAATGCGCCTTGGCCTCCTCCAGCCAACCATCCCAGTGTTTCGTCGAGGGTGCCATACGACCTTTCTTGACCCACTCAATCTCCTTCGTCTCGCGTATAGCATACCAGAGCACTTGTGTATAGTTCGTGGGCTGATCCTCCGGGTTTTCTGTGGTTTCCTCTACCTTGTACCGCCTCATATCCCATGTGTGCTGCGTGGGAGTCAACAACGCCATCGCCCAGTACAAGATGTTCAGGATGATGTACGCGACACCGACGGCGATCTGCATTGTGCGGCCGCAGTTGCTAAAGAAGATAATTGACGCCATGAGAAGGACCGTGCTGCTCGCCAACAAGAGCTGGTGTCGTCGACCAGTATACACGTACTGACACACCTCCATACCGCCGTACAGCTCCCGGGTGATCTCTTCCTGGCAATGCACGACCAAAAAGGCGCCTCCGCGGGTCTTGATGACCACGTCTCCGGGCGGTACCTTGCCTCCCGGAGGCCGCTTGGAGAGTTTCGGGCGCCATTGCGCGGATAAACAGGCAGCGCTGGTGGAAAGGGACATGCTAGCGAGACCAATGAGGGCAACGCCATCATGAATGACGCCAGCCCAGATGAACAGGCCAATTGTCATCAGGATGGAGAGGACGGTGACAGCGTTCAAAGCCGACATGGTTCGCACAGGGACATGGACCTCCTTCTCCGCTGCATCTTCGGTCTTTTCGACATCCTCGTTCGAATATTTAATGCGGTAAGACCGGAATTCGAATGGCTGTAGTGATTCAACGTCGTGAATCACATTGGCAAAGAAGTTCAGCTCGGTCGTGTGCGTGCCGGAATACACGCCGACCACGACCACATCCTTGACCGAAGGGAGTCGCAGCGGTCGGTCGGTGTCGAGAAGAGTGTCGGGCGCTGGGAGGAGACGCGGGACTGTGCCTAGGTGAGATGCCGTGATGGTTTGTTTATGTTTCTCGATCGTGGACCCTCCAATCACAGCCAACAGACTGACAATGTCGAATTTCCAGCTCTGCTCGCCCGAGTCGAGCGTCGACGGGAACCAAGCCATGCTGCCTCTCTTCCTGGGTGAAACCTGCCGAGGGGATGGATTTTCGAAGAAACACCAGTACACCATAGATGATGGACCGGGGGGGTTAAATAAGAAGCTAAGCCTGCAGAATAGCAAACTATCCTTACCTATAACGGTAAGACAATACGGGACCGCCCTCTACCCAACCTCTTCTGTTGTGCAAGGTTCTCCATCGAAAAAAAAATCGGCTCAATCGTCAAACGTGGGTTGTCCCTATTCCCCGCCCATCCATGCCCAAGATCCTGTCGCCCCAACGTGAAAGAACCATCGCGGAGTGGCATCACAGCAATCGGACCGCCAGTCCGAGTCAGTCGAGGCAGGCTAGACTCTGCATGGCCCACAGGAAGAACCACTCGATCGGTTGCCTTCAGTCGTCTCCGCAACTACTACTGACCCCTTGGGCTTCTGCAGGATGCGCACGGGAGGGCATGGACGAAACAGAGTGAATCGGCCTCTCCGAAGTCCAGCGCTGACCACGCTATTTTGTGAGGCTGGCTGAGGGGCGCGGTCAAATGATCCAACCAGTCTTTTCGCGCTGTCCAGTCCGCGCTCAAGCCGCCAGGAACCCCGGCCCACATCGTCCGCATTGCATGAATGGGCTGCAAGTAGAATCCCAGCTGCGCCCCGGACGAGCTGTATGTGTGAACAGGACAAATTACAGGACATCAACATACATAAGTCCTCGTCTCTCCATGCCGATCGCTCAGCTGCTATGCGAGCGATATCAGATCGACACCAGCGATAACGACTGAGGGCCGTTATCATTGCCAAGTCTTTATTTCAGATAAACTAGATGCTATCCACACGATCCATCGGGTAGACCCGCCGTCACTGAACTTTGGCTCGCTGGTTGATTGGCCCATGTGTCTACGAACACCCTGACAACTTCTCAACAACAATGCTGCTGGTGCTCCATCTACGCAGTACTAGACCTTCTCGTTGGACAAAGCCTGCTGCCCCGCATTGCCAGCGCCCAGTCTCTCGAAATACTTGGCCGCGGTATCATTGATAGTTCCTCCCGCGGACACAAGTCCCAGAACATGCGCAATCAGCTCAGCATGCGTGAGAAAGCCGCACCGGATTACATCGTCCATCAACTGCATGATACTATGGGGGCGAATTCCCCGCTTGATCCGTCCTACATCAGAGTGATTTATGGTCAGATACATGGCGCACAGAGGGAGTCGGGGTGGGGATTGAGTGGAAAGTGGAGGGGGACAGTCTCAACTCACGTCTCAAAGCCCAGTTCTGTGGCTTGTTGATCTTGATCTCGTAGCTGCGCACCGACGCCAGCGGGTATTCGTTCGTGAGACCAATCTCATGGCCCTGGCTGCGCACGACGTATCGGCCCTGGTGAGTGAATTCCAGCTTGTCTTTGGCGGTCTTCTCCGTAGGGCTTTCCTCCTCCACTGGCGACTTGTGGTCTTCGTGGGCATCCTCTGCTCATCAGCATTCAATCAGCATGGGCATGGCTTAATTATGACAAGGCCCTCAGTGCAGGCCTACCTTCGTCGTCTGAATCGAAGGTCGGGTCAACCTCGGACTCGGGGAGCTGTGCATCCGGGTGCGTGTCCCGCTCCGCAATCAGTTCCTCAAAGACTTCTCGATCCTCTGGGTCCTCTTAGCGAGTGATACCGCTCCAAAGGGGGGAGACCACTTACTGTAGACAATGATTCCCTTCTCAAAGCGCGCATTGGCCGAGTACGAGATCACGAAAAACACATCCACGAACCCGATCAGACGGATCTTTCCCGGCCATTGCTGGCCATCAATCTCTATCTCCCACGGATGGATATCACTGCATCACTGTCAACGCGCCAGAAAGGCTGTCTGGATGAACAAGTGCATGTACCAGTCGCATTCAAGGGTTTTGTCCGTGACGCTCCGGCCGAAGAGCTTTAGCACGCGGTGATAGGAAAACATGCTGAGTGTCTGTGCAGGAGACACGACGTTGAGGCGATGGAGTAAAGTTCCCCTCAAGACGCAGTACGCTCCGTAAATTTAAGTCAAAATGTCAGCAAATACGGGATACATTTACGGCGTTTCGCTCCAAGTGACGGATACGGCTAGCTTCTTCTCGCAACCCCCTCTTTAGCTAGAAAAAAAAAGAAAGTGCAGGCGTCTGACGTGGCTTGCGTTGACACTCGTTTGGATCTCAGCTCATGCATCTACCTCCTGGGGGGTGGAGTCCATCAGATGGGTGGAGAGCGAATGATCCATCTAACAGGTCTTCATCAGTGAGCTAAGACATGCCCCTCATATGGAGTCCATGCATGCCGTAGACAAGAGGAGGCAGTTTGCAGTACAAAATAGCCGACAGACGGCAGTCCAGCTCCTCAGCCCTCCCGCCGCCCTGGTCCCTCTCCCACACCATCAGTCCAAGGCATTGTCATCCTCATCTTACCGCCCAGTCTCTCCAAGGAAGGCCCAATGTCGTCGTTCGTCACAGATTGGGCCCAGTCCAGTCTCTCCGAAGCCCTGAAGGACAATGTCGTGGACAAAGCAATAAACAACGCGGTGGTCAGGGAGGCCGCAGCACTTGGAAAACTCCTGACCGACTTCAAGGAGCTCAAGAAGATCCTGAACGGGGAGCAGAAGTACAAGCTGCGGCGTCTCCTCAACCACTTCCTCTCGCCCAGCGTCAGGCCCAAGTTTATCCGCGAGTTCCCGAAGCAGACGGTTGATAAGGACCTCATCCACGGGTTGCCGGCGTCGCAGGAGGTCCAGACACCCTTCCGCATGATCGACATCGACACCAAGAACATGGTCGATGCCTTTCCGCTGGGCCCAGACGACCAGTACTGTATCATCTCGCATAGCTGGAAGGGCAGCGAAATCGACTACCAGTACTTTATGAAGGCCAAAGCGCTCGACCCTGAGCACCTCACCGCAGGCGAAAATGTCGACCATAACGATATCGACTTGGTCGTCGCACTGTGCGACAAGGATCTCCGCGAGGCGGAGGGGAAGGTCCTTGCGTTCCTCTCTGATTTTCAGGTAGACTCCATCGAGGAGCTGCTCAGGCAGTTCTTGAAGGTCAAAGCCGTTCAGTGGGATCTCGCAAGCGCAGAAGCAGGCGTCAGGCGCGCCACTGCGCATCGGAAGAAGGTCGAGCGGGAAGCGAAATACTATACGGACCTAGTGGAGGACTTCCAGAATACGGGGGATGTGGAAAAAATCTCCGACACGGCCATCGGAAAGGCAAAAAAGGAAGAGAAACTTGTCCACACCAGAGAGAGGCAATGCAGAGAAGCCAGGTCTGACCAGGATGACTGGATCAAACGCTTTGATCAGCGGCGACGGGAGTCCTATATCATTGAGGACCTGTTGTGCGCTCTGCAAAGGAACAAGTCTCTGCGGAAGATCCTCAACTCTATCAAGCACACGAAGGAGCTGTTCGAATCTAGACCGTTTCCTCGCAAAGGCAAGAAATACGTATGGCTCGACACGTGTTGCATTAACAAGGCGAACGTCAACGAATATACGGTGTCAATGCCCTTGATGGGAGACTGGTACACCAACGCCGACCTCTGTCTGGTGCATCTTGATACCAAGCGGTCCGACGAAGAATGGGTGAATGAATGGAAGTACTGGAAAGAGGAGCAACAGACGTTCCTGGAGCGAAACGTTGAGCAGTACGATGATATCACCAAGGTCTACAGTACGAAGACGGACGAACACGGTGAGATTGTCAAGAACAAGGTCGAATGGGCCACTCGTGGTTGGACGTTGCAAGAACTGGTCCTCAGTAAGACGACCTTCTACGTCAATTCTCTGTTTGAGCCACTGGACCGGGACATCGACCGAATCGGGCCTTATTACCACTTCTGTCGGTTCATCCGACCTTATTATAAACACTCGACATGCGCTGAGATCAATAAGGATGTGTTGAAAAAGAATCTGAGCGAGCTTCGTCAAGGGAACAAGGTGAGCTTGCACGCCTTCGGTGCCGCTCCATCTGCTCGGCTACTAATATCGCTTAGGATCACACCTCTCGAGTCCAAAATGCTAGTAGAATCATCCACCTGCTGGAGGAGATCGGATTCACAGCTCCCAAGCACATTGTGGACTTGACTGCAAAAGCTTTGATCGAGGATGCAGTCGCCACTGCGGCTGAGGCTACAGCGGCCGACGACGAAAGCTCCTCTCTAGCGAAGCGAGATGAGGATCAAAAGTTCCTGGAAACTCTCTGCAAGGGTCTTGTCGACCTTGCTCTACCAAAGGGTCAAGGAAAGAGAAAAGCGGTGCTTGATCTTTTGTTACGGGCATTGGCGATCGAAACAAAACCGGTCGTCCGCAAAGACCGAGACTACATCTCTGATTTCGGCCAAGTCGACACCCTAGGAGGCTGGAAGAAGGATATCAGCCCCGACAAATTCTCGGCCCACAGTGTCATCAAGACGGCATCTGACCGAAACACCACGGTGCCCGTGGACCAGGTGTACTCTCTGATGGGCATCCTGGGGGTTCGCTTTCCCGTGTTCTCTGCCGAGGGGGTGCCGAAAGCCCTGGCACGTCTTCTGGACGAAGTCGTCATCACGTCGAATGACGTTTCGGTCTTCAACTGGGCAGGCAGGCATTCGGGCAGTCCTGTTCAGGGGCGGTCGCTGTATCCGTCGAATATTCAAGCCTTCGAAGTGGATCCGTCGCCCATGAATGAAGCAGTGATGAATACTATCCGAAAGGAGCACTTGCATAAAAGCGAGGTCACTGGACGGGTGAACAAAATGCTTATTGGGGCCTTCGACACCGTGAAGCAGCTAGACAAGGAGTGCGAGATACTCTCGTCCCTGAAAATCCTTATTGGAATTTTGCAGGAAAAGAAATTCGCATCGATCCAGTTACGCCTTGAACAGTTGGAGAATGTGATGAGAGAAATATCGAATGCCGTCAAGGAGGAGATAGAGGAAAGACGGAAGGCGAAGGAGCAACAGGAGAAGAAGAAAAGTGAGGAAGCCATGAAGGAGCAGGGAAAGCAAGATGAGGGTGATCAGCAAGTTAAAGAGGAGGCGAGCAACACTGGGCTCTTCAAGAGGAAGCCGTTTAAGACACCTTCATTCAAGCTGCCTGACACGGACATCAAGTTGTCGAAAATGGCTTCTGCATTCAGCCGGGGAAGAGACGACGCGCCCTCTCCATCACAGAAATCCTCCATGGACAAGTCTCCAGGGGTTGGGCAGGAGGAAATCGAAGTCAGCAAATGGAAAGAGTTAACAGAGAAGCTGGACCGTATCATCAATACCCTCAACGAAGTATCTCGAGGGAATGACGCCCCAAGTTCCATCGCCACAGGAGGGGACGAACAACCCCGGTCCGACAGCCCAAAGGACATCACAAAAGACAAACCATCCGAAGTGGAGCAGGAAACAAAGATGATTTGCCCTAACCCCATTGCAGTGACCAGCGCTGGGATCCGTGGAGTCTTCGATATCCAAAGGGTGGTTGTGACCATGCAAGATGCTGATGCCCTCAAGGCCAACGTTGCCAACGCCATGAGTGGCCAATACATTGACGGATGGTGCACCATCAGCACGGGCTTTGCTTATACCTTGGTTGCATTCTCGTGCGAAAGGGATGTCCTGAAACAGCAACTAGACATCGTCCATCTTGTGAATCGGGAAATTTCCGGGGAGGAAGAATCTCGCAACGGGAATTCATCTCAGAAGACCGGGGGAGTCGCTGGCAATGCATCCTCAGAAGGGCAAACACTCTGTAGAGAGAAGGCAACCTCTGAGACGACATCCTCTGAGACGCAGCGTGATAATCCCCCAGACAATAAAGAAGACGATCCAAGACATATCACCCCAGCCCAAAAGAAGCTGGGTCGGATGCTCAAGTTCGTGCAGGAATCTGACCTCCATGCTATCGCCGGTGAATGGGTGCTGGCGCGGTTCTCTTCAGTCGAGGGAGCCAAGTGGTTTCTCTGCCGTCTTGAGCTGGGATCCGGTAATGACTTCTACGCTCGACGGATCTCCACAGACGCATTCACCTTTGTCAATGCGATCCCTGAACCAGGCCTGATCCGCTATTGGGATCTCTTCATGTGGAACAAGAAAGCCCTCGCGTGCTGGATGTTATCCTTGACCCTGGACAGCATGATGAGCAACAAGTCCGCCATGGATACGCTGAAGAAGATCGACGATATCCGGGAGCAGGGATTCGCGCAGCCGAAGGAGGGTGACGACAAAGCAGCTCATCCCCACGACCTTACCCCCCAAGAGGTGGGGATCATGCTGAAAAACTTCTTCATGGGAGAGGCCAAAGGACAGTGGGCCGATCATCTGGCCGGCAAGATTGAAGTCGATGCCATGGGAAAGATCCCCGTCCGGATTCAAGGGGCCATTGCCGATTTGGACAAGGGACAGAGTCTGTTGCCATCGATGTTCCACTCGGGTCGCGACATCCATATGTTCTGATTTTTGTGCATACAGCTCTTAGAACAGCTTAGTACCTAGGTACTTTGTATGACAAGGGTGAAGAAAGATTGTTCACATGATGCGACACGTCCTGTGGATCTGAGAATGCATGCATTGTTCCTATCTTAGGAATCTTAGGAACTGAGGGAGTTGCTGGAGCCATGATGGACGACCCTTTCTGTCTTGACTACAACACGGTTCACAAAATCGAGAAGCCTCCATTACCATACATTCCCGGTCATGAACTATCAGTAGCACGCCATTATCCATCCCCTCCACCGCCGAAGTGGCATGGAATCGCCCTCAAATACGAGGTTGCTCGAGAACGAGAACATGCCGATATTCTGACCCGGTGTCTTCGCCATCCCCCGACTGAGGGGAGATTTGGTGGTGAGACGCTCCATTTGAAGATCACAGACACCATTCGAGCCCGCGATGGCCAATGTTCACAGCTTGTTACTGTGCGAGTACTGAATCACGGCTTGAAACTGTCTGGCCGCGAAATAGTTGCCAAACTCTATGGTCCTCTATATTTCAATCATTACCAGGATGACTTCGAGCCCTTTCTATGCGCAGATCGAGAGTATCGGCGTGAGTCCGCCGCATATGACCGTCTTTCCGGGATTGCAAACATCCCCGAATACTACGGGTCGTTTTCGCTCGAGCTTTCCGTGGATCAAGATCGATCCCGGTTTGTTCGACTGGTTCTCATCCAGAAGGTCAGTGGCATTCCAATGAATGAACTCAACCCGTCAGATTCCATCATGTTCCAGCGGCAAACGATCATGAAGAAAATCATCGACACGGAGTCACGACTCTACCAGAGGGATGTCAACCATTTTGACATGCACCCGCGGAATATCATTGTGCGGGCTAACGAGAGTGACCCCAACGAAGTGGGCATTACTGTCATTGACTTCGGCCATGCTATTATCGGACGATTTTACGATCCGGAAGGCGAACCAGAGGAAGAGGCAAAGATGCTTCCGGGGCAGTACATTAGCCCTATTGTGCGGTGGGCAGTGCCTTGCGAATCAAACGCAATGCCCGTCTCTTTCAAGTGTTGGATCAATTGGGACTGGAATTCCTGGTTGAAAGAGCAGTACAAGGATGATGAGGTTACAGACCATATGAGATCCGAGTGGATGCCCGAGGACACGACCACACCTTGGCCACTTGATTGCGGTGAAGAATCTACATGCAACTCCAGGAAGGCCAAGCCAATCGTTATATCAGGTTGATTTCGAGAACGAATTTTAGTCCAAAGTACAATATCCTCCTGATATGAGCAAGATCATAATCACATTGAGCGTCACAACCGTCCACGCGTCTGTGCTGAGTAGGCCGACCCATCTCACCTCGACAAGGAAATCCGGGTAGCCGTGCGATCACCCAGGACCAGCGCGATATGCATCAGCGGGAGCTGCTCGGTCCGAGTCTGATGCCTCCTGTGGTCCAGGCGAAAGCGATAAAGCCATGTTCGATGTTCGACGAATGACCATCGCGAAAGATAACTAGCACGCAGGGAGTTCATGAAAAGCAAAGGCACAAACGCACAGTGGGTATCCGCCATGCATTTAAACAAACCAACCAACATGGAGACAAGCGAAGCATCTACCAGTAGCCACGGCGATCATAGGGGACATATTCGCCTCTGGGAGGAGTCCGAGGGCGCCCGTATGGCCTTGGCTGCATGTATGGATCATCATAACGAGGCGGAACAGGAGGGTAAGGGTCATCATAGGGGCGACGCGGAGGCGGGTAGTCATCAATCCTGGGGCGTGGCGGAGTACGGCGACCGTAGCCGTCACGCTCGTAGTAGTCCCGACGGAGCGGAATAGGAGAGCGTTCGCGGTAGTGAGCACGAGGGCTGTAGCCACGGGGTGGAGGGAACCTCCGGTCATATTCATCTATGGGGGGGTAGCTCCTGCGTGGTGACCGAGACCGGTAGGGATCACGGGAGAAGCGATCATCGTACGCTTGGATCTAAGAGAGGATGAGGATTTCGTCCGGTTCCTGGGGCATGGCGAGGTCCTTACGTCTGCAATGCAACTGACTCTGGATCCCTTGAACTCTCGGCCGTCAAGTTTTTCGACAGCAGTCTTCAGATCATTGGCCGTCTCGAATTCAACAAATCTTGTGATCCCGGTGTTAATGAGGTCGAAAATCGTTCCGGAAGACATAGAATTGACCTACCCTCTCCCGATTTCGCGACCGGTTTCGGAGTAAACGACGTCAAGGCCAGACTGACGAGCGAAGTCTTTGAGGTCCTGTAAAATCCACCGGTGTAAGTCCATTTTCGAGCAAGGGATGGAATCCAGAATCCGTGGGCCACCGGTAGTCCTCCTGGGCAAAGGGAAAAGACAAGGCAAGTTGTCCAAAAGGTATGGGAATAGTGATGACCAAGCCAGCGAGAAAGAAATTTCCTCAGGCCATGGGAAGCTGTAGTGCTGGCGATCAGGCTCCTATCCAGAACGACGGATCCGGTTCTTGTACTGCACGACGGTGCGTTGGGAGTTCGCAATGCACCTTCTTGTCACCAGGCACCGCAGTGGATGGGTGGATGGGTTGGTGGAAATAGTCCGTCACAGAGAAAAGGATCCATGTTATCCGGGAATTGATGACAGCCATGTGGCATTCATAGACTGTCACCTTGGCGGAACAAGCAAAAAAGCAAAGAAAAGGTGGGATAGAAGCATATTGGGAATAGTATGTCAAGAAAGCACCGGCAGGGTTGTAGAATGTCCAGGATTCCTAAGGAAAATGGGGCGTGGGCTGCTAACCTGCCAACTTGTTTCCGGAAGCCCAGAAACCAACATGCGGAAGATCGTGCGACGGGGTCGCGGCATGTTCGGACGATCCATCGGGCCTGGGAGATTCTCTTTACGACGAGGGCCACGCGCAAACTGAACGGTGAGTCGCTCTCCTTTGAAATCACTCCCATCTGAATAACCGATTAGAACATATGTTTTCGGAGGCATCGATGCCGGGATAGACACGTACGGAACGCTGCAGGGTTTTGTTAGCCAGATGACGGAGCCAGGGATGGGATATACGGTGGAGATTACCTGGGACGACGTCACGGGCATCCATCGCATCCTCATATTCGATGAAGCCAAACCCGTTCATCAGCTTGATCTCCGTGATCTTTCCGGAGCCATGGGTGCTGAAATGTTCTTCGATGTCCTGTTTGGTTACTGGGAAAAGCCCATGGCGCCCCGAGAGGCGCCATAGGGATGATGTTAGCTCATAGCGAACAGTTCCTGATAAGAGACAGATATCGGCGTGAAATATCCAGGTTCGAAAGGGGATCCAAGCCAGTCGTCAAGAAAATACACCATGTATATCTTCGGGGAGAATAGCCCAGAAGGACATTGATCAGAAAGCTCTTTTCTGTCGTCGAAGAGACCCGAAAGGAACATAAACACTGTGGAATATCCTGGTCTGTGGACGAGCTGGTGGAAGGGCTGGGCTGATGATCCAGATCGGGCTGCGAGGGGGAAGATTGACAGGTGCCTGCATACCATTGCGGGGAAGATTCCCGAGATAAAGTCGCGTCGATGAGACTTCGGTCATGGTTGTTGACTACACCACTGATCGCGGTCGACAATCCAGGGAAAATGGGAAACGAAAAGTAAACAGATGACACAGCTAATGGATTAGTAGGAGTTATTGTGTGTCCGGGGATCCACGGCGTCCAAAGAGATCCGGATCGGGTGGGAACGGCCTTTGAAAAAGGAGGAGAATAGTCCGCGGGATTCTAGCGATGGAGGAATCCTGATTGTTTAGATGATGGAAGATGGTCCGGATATTAAGTCGGTGGGCCCAGTTGGTCGGGGGATGAAGAGCTAACAGCTCAGACTCCAGGAGAAGAGACCGGACGGACGTCCTCGCCGAGGGGACAGAACCACGATGAGAGTGGAGGTGAGAAGGAAGAGGATGAGAGCGAGACGAAGGGAAGAGGATAGACCGAGAGGAGGGAGAAGAAGAAGAAGAAGAAGAAGCAGAAGCAGCAGCAGAGAGCGGAGGTCAGAACGCAGGACAAAAGAAGATGGTGGGCGCTGACCGCCAGGCGAAAGCAGCATATCGCATCTGATTGGAGACACCCGCCTCACTTTGACCAGCGGATCCACGTGGCCCGCCCAGCGCCAGGAATGTTCTTTACTATGTCGGAGTATGTACTTTAGTAGTAACTAGTATGGGGGAATGGAGTATAAAAAGTACTTAAAAGGTACCTTACTCCGTACGCTCTTGGTCTTCATCAAACCACCTCGGTTCATCGATGTATACGCATGGCATTGGTATCCCGTTCAACATGTCCAGTACAATCGACTACTTCAAGCACACCGCCCGAACATGACTCCATGTTCAATCTTTCAAGCATCCTCTAAATGTGGGCAGGTTCTCGACCCATCTCTCCTCGACATCCAGGTGGGGGATGTGAATCCTAAAGTTCCTCCAGCGTCCATGGTTCCGTCCCGCCGTCCCCACGGGGCGTTGTCCACCTCTCTTAGTCACAGATACTCAGAGTAACGTCCAGTAGTTATAATCACACCAAGCGACTTGGCTTCAAAATTGCCGGACAATGGCCAACCTAAGTAACAATACTATGTACAAATATATCCCGCCCCGGTCTAATCAGCTGCTTTTGATACAAAGCTCAAACAAACACAATCAAAAATACAACGGAACACCCAACTATGTCATAAAGTACTTGGGGCCCTCTCCACCCTGAGGCGTTTGCCAGTTGATATCTTGCGTCGGCACCTTGATATCACACGTCTTGCAGTGGATGCAGCTGCAATCATCGTTAGAACTTCCGAGTCAACCCACAAAAGGACACTTCACAACTTACTTCTGAGCATTGATCTGGAACCGAACGCCGTGCTCCTTGCTCGGATCCTCCAGATATTCGTACACGCCGGCGGGGCAGAATCGGTTTTCCACGCCCTTGTACTTCGGCCACGCGGCGTCCTTGTGCTTGTCCCAGTCCTCCACCTGCAGGTGCACCGGCTGGTCCTCCTCGTGGTTGGTACCGGTCCGGCTCACGCTGGTCAGGATATCGAAACTGATCACCCCATCCGGCTTGGGGTACTCGATCTTCTCGCATTCCGAGGCGGGCTTGGTGGCCGCGGCATCCGTGCCGTGGTGCTTCAGCGTCCATGGCATCTTACCCTTGAACAGGTAGGCCTCGAGACCCGAGTAGAGAATACCACCGTAGAGGCCAAGCCGGGTGCTGAAAGAAGGGCGCATGTTCCGGACCTCGTACAGTTCTTTCCAAATAGACGACTTGCGAAGGGCGTCCTCGTAGTCGAACATGAAAACCGTTCCCTTGTCGTCATCCTTCAGAGCTGAGAACGCAGACTCCGCAGCCAGCATGCCGGACTTCATCGCGGTGTGGGTACCCTTGATCTTGGGGACGTTCAAAAAGCCAGCGGTGTCACCAATCAGAGCACCTCCAGGGAAGGCACACTTGGGAATAGACTGGAAGCCACCCTCATTCAGAGCTCGGGCACCGTAGGAGATGCACTTACCGCCCTCCAAAACTTCCTTGAAAAGAGGGTGGTGCTTGAGTTTCTGGAACTCGCCATACGGAGACAGCCAGGGGTTGGGGTAGTCCAGGCCGACCACCAGACCAATGCTGACCATGTTGTCGCCAAAGTGATACATCCATGCACCGCCGTAGGTGTCCTTGGGAAGCGGGTAACCCATGGAGTGGACGATTTCACCGGGCTTGAACTTCTCCGGCTGGATCTCCCAAATCTCCTTCAATCCGATACCATATGTTTGAGGCTGGCTGTCGCGCCGAAGGTCATATTTTTTGATCACCTGTTTCGTCAAACTGCCGTGGCAACCTTCCGCGAGAAGGGTGATGCGCGCGTGGAATTCCATGCCCCGTTCGAAGTTATCCTTCGCCTTGCCATCCCGGCCGACGCCGAGATCGTTCGTTGCAACACCGAGGACTGAGCCGTCGGACTTGTAGACCAGCTCACTGGCGGCAAAGCCAGGATAGATCTCCACTCCCAGCTCCTCAGCGCGCTCGCCCATCCATTTCGTCAGCTCGTTCAAGCTAATAATGTAGTTGCCGTGATTGTTCATCTGCGGCGGCGCAGGGATGGGGAAGGCCGATTTTTCAGTCAAGAAGCGCATCTTGTCGTCTTTGGCGGGCGTGGCGCCTTCGAATCGGGAGGGGTTCTCCTCAGACAGCCAGTCTGGAAGGAGCTCGTTCATGGCGGTCGGTTGGAGAACATTACCCGACAGAATATGGGCACCTAGCTCTCCAGCCTTCTCTAGAACAATCACGCGAAATTCCTCATTTCCAGCTTCGTTGGCGAGCTGTTTCAACCGAATCGCAGCGGCAAGACCAGCAGGGCCTGGGTGGGTGAACAATTAGCATTCATCCGCGCATATTCAACCCCCTCCACGGAGCAGATACGGCAGTCAAACTTTAACTACGGATCAAGGAATTTCTGGGACCTTACCACCACCAACAATGCACACATCAACCTCGTCCGATTCTCGCTCCACCTGACGGGGGTCAAAGTTGCCATGCTCGTCCGTGAGTTGTCTCGATAGCGACTGCGAAAAGGTCCGAATCTGACCGGGGGTGCGACTGGGAGTGAAGAGTGCGGCATGACGAGAGGTTCTGCGACCGGACAGCGAGCTGTTGGATCTCCGCACGGACAAGGCAAACGAGGATAGAGACGAGGAGGCTCTGGAAAGCCGCGAGGGAGCAGGTCGCAGTTCGCACCTCAGCAGAGGCAAAACGGCTCCCTTCGAAGCCATTGCGAGGATGTTAAGTCGAGTGTAAGAGGGAGGGTGGCGTGGTGATGGAGGGTTGGTCGGCGTTTAGAAGCTACAATCGGGCCAGGGACATGACACACGATCGAAGGCCGGGTAAAGAGGAGGTAGTCTTTAAATGGGGCGGACGCAATTTCACCGAGAGATGTTCTCCCACGCTCTGCTTCGTCACCGGGTCGGAGATGGCAATCGGAGAGTGACTAAGGCGGATTTTTGGCGGGAGGGTTAGGTCAGCGGCCGCCAGTCACCCGTACCCGAGGTAAGCACAGCCAATGGGAGGCGCGGTGATGGGAATCAGGCTCGTCTGCCTCTTCCGCCGTCCGCTGCTGGCCCGTCATCCGTCGCGAACCGCGCCCATACAACCTATCTGTTGCTGGCAGCTCTCTCGCTCAGACTCGGATAGCTGAGAGAGACTCCGCGAGATTCAACCCTTCTATATAAGGTGTTGTGTGCCCTGGAGTGCAGTCAAGTCTGCTATACATTCTTACTACCTACTTAAGTACGAAACATCTAGACAGCTGTGGTCATCATCATTCAGTCATCGTCACATGAAGATACCCTGTATTGGTTGGCGTCATTATTATTTGAGGACAGTACGGAGTAAATCTGGATCATGTGAGAGTAGCTGGGTCAAAGAAACTCCGGTCCCGGTCCCCTTTGGTGAAGTTCTCAACTGTTCAGGTGACCAACAAGGTCGCATGCCTGCCTGCATAACATGGATAACGAAATGTAAACATTTGTTCCTTTGTACTCCGGTGGAATGCCGTCTCATATTCTATCCAACTTAAAGAGGCTTGTCCATCCTGATACGGTAATAAGTCCTATCCATCCTTATTGCAAGTTATGTGTCCTCAACAGAAGAGGAAAAATGGCATTCAGCATACCCGTAGATACATATAGAAGCGCATACTGTATCTAGGAGTACGTGTTCATTCAAGAAATGCCTCCTGCGGAATCGGGGGGTAAAGGAAGGAATACTACCGTAGATTAGACAGACTCCGTACTGGACACCTGTACAAAACTTCTTGCAGAAGGGATCGGTGGATGACGTCTGTGCGGTCCAAACGAACCCTCCGCGGGTCAGCGATCAAACCCCAGTGATCTGACAGATCGTGAGAGGGGTTCAGGGGATGAAACGAAATCTGAATTTCCAGTGTGCATAAAAAGGAGAGTGAAATCAAATCTCAGCTGAGAGATCCAGACGGTGGATCACAAACGAATAAGAGATCTGGGGAAAGCGCCTGGCCAGTGACGCCACCACTGGCGCCGACAGGTCGCCTTCTCCAATCAAGAAGCCCATGCTGGTTTGGGGCGATATGGATCTATCACCGGCACAAGGATTCGACAAGGCTTGTCAAGCGCTCAGATAGTTAGTGGCCTGCGGAAGCTGTCGGCTAGTCGCGTTGTGGTCGTGTCGTCGCGTCTTGGATGCGATGAGAGTGTACGATACATGATGATAAGCCGAGACTGGTGCCAGTCGACTTGATAACGGTCAAACACACGTCAAACAAAACGTGTCCCGCGTGTAGATTCATCAGGATAAACAGGACAGATCATCCAAACCAGTCAAAAAAGCCTCCTTCGCGAGGGGCGAGCGACCGACTTTTTGTTCAGATGGCCACCGCTAAAGCGGCAAGCAGTTGACAGGCGCGTTGAGAGGGAAACGCCGAGAACAGCGAGGAAGCACGAAGATTGGAGGACACGGAATGGTGGTGGGGCGGGCTATCAGTGGGAGGAGAGAGTGGCTGCAACCATGGCGTCGACTGGGGGGAGGAAAAGAGGTGAAAAAATACGTAAGGAGGAAACGCACCAACCAGAACAGAAGCGCCCAAGTGGGTCACCCAGACATTGGGAGCGCCGATCCACGAACCAGAGACGAGACCACCCCCGAATTGGTCGAGCAGAAGCCGCTAGTGGAGCGCTAACGGGCAACAAACCCATGGATGCCCATCGCTGCTTTTGCCGCCGCCGCCGGGCCCAGCCTCCCTTTCCCCCCCTGAGGCTGTCCGTGAGTCACCCTATATAAAGGCCCAACCTCCCGTTTCTGACCCCCTCTGGGAATTCTCGATTTTGGTCTTGGCACCGCCCGGAACGCCATCACAACTCCCTACCTATCCACCACCTTCCCCTCCTCTCTCCCCTCCCTCCCTTTTCTCCTCATCGCGCAGAGCTTAGCTTCTGCTGCTTCCGATAAGCGATTTCCGGGAAGAGTTTTCACTAATAGGAATTCCACGCGGGAAACCCTCTTCTCGAGAGGATTTTTTTCGGTTTTCCTGACCTTACTCAAACAGGAAGTTTGCATCAACCCATCTTGTTGCATCTTTCATCCACACTCTCTTTCACACCGCAGATAGACATCCCCAAATCTCAAAAAAGAAACGAAAACAAAAAAAAAAAAGTTTTTTGATTTTCTACCCAAAAAAGAGTCATCTTCACTCCCTTTCCTGCACGGGTTCTGTCACCTTCCTCATAGTTGTGCGAAAGTGACACTTCCTTCCTGCCTTAATCCTCCATCTAGAAAACACTTCACTGTGCTTTTCTAGTTTCATCTCTCTCTGTCTCTCTCCCTCCTCTCACTACCTTACCCTCTGGTGTCTCTTGTGGTTGTGGATCCTGATCGAGTCTTGCATTCCTCGACTTGATTCTTGAGCTCATCCGTTTGGTGTCTACACAACGGTGCAATCATCTCCAAAAGCAGTGTTCCTATAGGGGAGGCATTGACTTGTCCATCTCCTTCAACACCACCCACAAGGTACGTTTAGAATTTTCTTCAGTTTGACTTTTCTTGTCATCTTCGCCTCCCACATCATCCCGAACCGGAACCTCCCGTTGCGACCGTCTCTTATATATCTATCTACTTCGTCTCACCTGACTTCGCCACTCCGCTCCCCTATCAATCATATCACCTCTCCACCAACTAACTTTTATCTCCCTTCCAGATTACTGCTTGATAGCTTTTGCATCTCTTCAGCCTTGGCTGGTCTACAGCTCGAGTATCTACTCACGTCGCAATGGATTCTCTCACGACCCATCCCTCCACCGCGCAGCAGGCCCGGGCCTTCACGTCTCCTGCTTCTCTGTCCTTCCCCGGTGGTGCCGGTGATCTGACCCCACCGTCCGATAAAGACCCAAACATGGCGATGAATGCGCAGGGTGCGAACGGAAATGTGAACGGCCAGCAGCAGGGAGGAAATGCCGCCAATGGCAACGGGGTGACGCCCGCTACTCCCGCTGCGACCCCCGGTGCCAACACTCCGGGGAGTGGAATTGTGCCTACGTTGCAGTGAGTATACTCTTGCTGTCTTTTCTGGTTCTCCAGAATACTGAACAAGGATTTTTTCTACCCTTGAAGGAACATTGTCGCTACCGTCAACCTTGACTGTCGTTTGGACTTGAAGACCATCGCGCTTCACGCAAGAAATGCGGAGTACAATCCTAAGGTATTACTTCCCACACCTCCCTGAGTTGTTCTTCAGGGTACAGTGTGGCTGAACTTGTCTCTTTTCTTTCTCCATAGCGTTTCGCGGCCGTGATCATGCGTATCCGGGAACCGAAAACCACCGCTCTGATCTTTGCCTCGGGCAAGATGGTCGTGACTGGTGCCAAGTCGGAAGACGATTCCAAGCTGGCCTCCAGAAAATACGCGCGTATCATCCAGAAGCTCGGCTTCAATGCCAAGTTCACGGATTTCAAGATCCAGAACATCGTCGGTTCTTGTGACATCAAGTTCCCCATCCGTCTGGAAGGTCTGGCCAGCCGCCATCACAACTTCAGTTCTTACGAGCCTGAGTTGTTCCCGGGTCTGATTTACCGCATGATGAAGCCCAAGATTGTGCTCTTGATCTTCGTCAGTGGCAAGATTGTCCTGACTGGTGCAAAGGTCCGCGAGGAGATCTACCAGGCCTTCGAGCTGATCTACCCTGTGTTGTCTGGTATGGCACCTCGGCATCATCTTCGCTGCGGTCGCGATGTAGCTAACCTGAACCCACAGACTTCCGCAAGGTCTAAAAGGCCTCGTAAGACACGGCACTGCACGGGAGGATCATTCTCTCCACCCCATACCACTTTCATACCCTTGTATTATCAAAAAAATTTGCCCCGTTGTCCCTTGCTTTTGTTGCGAGGTTGTATTATGAGCTCCGAATCGGCCTCGCTGATGCGGAAGTTTTCCCAACTCGCACGTGACGATTTCTGATGCTAGCATTTTCACGGCGTTTTAGCGATTTGGTCTCGTTTCTTCCCCGGTTTTTGTTCCAACGTTTCTTCCAAGTGTTTTACAATTAGATAGTCGCACACCCGCGGATCAAGGGGGCGGTACTGTGCGCTGGTCGAATGGTTGCCTCCTTCTAATTACCTATTCGTTGCTCGTCTTTTTCTGGCAGTTGGCCTGCTTGCGATGGCTTGAATGGTGGGTTACCCCAGGGGAGAAGAAGATATGGATCAGAAGGGAAAAAATATCTGCTTTAGACCATTATCACAAGTGGATGAATGAAATATTGAAATGTCATGATCAGTTCGATAATTGTCGCCTAGCATCTGAGCGTCTCCAAACTAAGAGTACACTAATGCCATGACCATGGAGTCGGTACCTACATAAGCAAGGGTTTGTTGCAGTTCTCGATGATGTGGACTCCAAGCATATGTTCCCTGTGCCTTGGTGCTCATTACAAAGTTATATATGTCCGGGGTCGTTCGATATATATTGGACCGATATATATATATATATATATATATATATATATATATATATAACTCCCAGCCTGATGTGGATACCCTTCTCATACGTTCTACAAATATACATGTCCATAGAACACCACTATATACAGACACGCAACATATCTACACGGAGACATAGTGCAACTCTACAAAGAGCTCGTGCGCTTCGCCTTTCTATCCTTGATCAACTCCTCCGTCAGATGCAACCCCTTCGGGCCCGCACGACTTCCGTCCTCTGTCCCGAAGAACGTAGTTTCGTCTACGGGGTCCGGCCAGGCCCAGCTATCGCGGAGTTCCTTGTCCAGCGTACCCTCCAACGCGTCGACGACCTTGTCCCCCAGCACGGGCAAGAATTTGTATGCGTGGCCGCTGCCACCGGTGGCGACGAATAGGCCGGAGTACTCCGGGTGGTGGGTGACGATGAAGTCTCCCTTGGGACTGGGTTGGTCAGTATGGTTATATTCGATAAATATCCGTTTCTTCTTCCTGAAGTACACTTTCCTTTCCTCTGAACAAAACGGAAGGGGAGGCGGGAAACTTACGTATCGGTGTACCAGCAGACGCGGGTCTTGCAGAAGGGTCGATCCGCAAGAGCCGGGACGAGCTGCTTCAAGGCCATGCGGAACTCATTCTCCGCATCCACGGGGATGGGGACGTCGATGTCAGGCAGACTGATATTGGCAGTTTGGCCGTCGGCGCCGGGGACGGGCGTGGGCTTGGTGTTGATGTAGCCGTAGGCGTGACAGGCGATCTTGAGGAGGTTGTTGCGGGGCGGGAGGATGAACATGCCGGTGGAGAAGTTGAGGATGGTGGGCATATGGGCGAGGCGGGCTTGTTCCTCGTCGGTGATGCGCATGTACGCGAGGGCCTGGCCGGTGGCGACGGCACGACCGCGCAGGTCGATCAGCTTCGCGGTCCAGGCGCCCGGTGGCCAGGATGACCAGGTCGGCGGAGACGGTGGCTCCGTCGGCGAGGACGACGCCAGTGACCTTGTGCTTGTTGGCGGCGTCGCCGAAGAGGAGGCGCTGCACCTCGCCGGTCTGGAAGCGCACCTTGCCCTCCTCGTCGAGCTTCTTCTTCGCGTACCGGACGCCCTCCTCGGCGTTGCTCCAGCCGGACCCCCAGTTGATGTAGCCGCCGGAAACGCCGAGGTTGGGGCCGAATGCGGGGGCGACACGCAGCACGTCCTTCTCAGACGGCAGCAGTTCGACGTTCTTGCCCTCCAGCTTCTTGACGTTGTGGTAGCTCTTGATGGCGTAGTCCTTGCCCGAGGAGTCGCCGTCCGGATACACGAGAAGGAGTCCGTTTTGGATGTAGCGGTCCTCATGGCCCCATTCGGTGTTGCGCCAGCGCTCGATGGCCTCGACGGCCAGCTTTGCGTAGATCGGGTTGGAGTAGTCGGCGCGGACGATGCGCGAGGTGTCGACGGACGAGCCGTGGGGGTTCGGGATGGTGGGGGAGGCTTCCAGCAGGGTGACTTGGCTTGTCGGGTGTCGTTTCGTCAGAGAGAGCGCAGTAGACACTGCGGGGGTCAATATGTAAGAATTGATGCCGCCGAGAAGAAATGGGGGGTGATCAACTCACATCCGAACACGCCTCCTCCGACAATCAGGATCTTGGACGGAACAGCCATTGTGAGTTGTCACTCGCTGAGAGGCGTGCCTATGTACAGCAGAGGAGGAGGGCGTGAAGGCGAGCAGTTCTGGATAGTCCCGGCTCTGGAGGAGGAGGAGAGAGTGACTTCTGGGATGCGGGGAAGGGAATTTTGTGTCCGGCAGTGCGATAAGCGTTGATGGGCTGATGAGGAGCCTGCCGCCGCCGGCCCGGTCTTGGCTTTGTCGGAGCGCGGTCTTTTCTCCGATTCCTTTTTCTGCCTGGACGTTACTGCACCGGCTTCTCTCGCACAACTTCCTACGAATATCCAATCGCGGGGGCGACATCTCCTCAGCGCTTCAATTGAGCCGCTCCAGGTTAATCGACAGGCGGTACCTGGTCGTCCCGGAGAACCGCCCCTTTTGTCTCCGACATCGCATGGCATTGCATCACATCCGCTGCGCTGATCGACCACCATGAGTGCATCGCGAGCAGGTCGGGCTGCCCTGAAGAAGACCAAGGTACCCAAGCCTAGTCCTCCGCGGCCTGGGGGCAAGTCTCCCGTTGAAGGGCCAGGGTGAGCGCCTACCCCAGACCCTCTTCATGTACCTCAAGTTCAACACATGCAAGCGATATTGTCACGATCTAACTGCTTCCAGCACATCGTCGGCCGCGCGCTCGCTACCAAAACGAGCCAATCCACACTTGCTGAACCTCAAACCAGACCCAGAACCCCAGACCGCCATGTCACCGCGGGTAATGACCATTCTCGGCGTCAGTGCTCTTGGAATCAGCACGTACTGCGGCTACCTCTACGCGTCCTACAAGCGCGAGGTAGCCCAGGCGCAGAAACTCAACGTCCCGGAAGATGTGTCGGACCGGTACAACCGGACGGCGGGCACCTTCGACGCGGACGTCGAGATGTCCGAGAAGCTCATGCGGATGGGCAAGAAACGCCGGGAGCTCGTGAAGGAGGCGCGAGGCGACACCCTGGAGGTGAGCTGCGGCACGGGACGCAACCTGGCGTACTACGACCTCGGCGAACGGCGCGGATACGACACGGACGGCCGCGCGGATGTCCGTGGATGTCGCTCGGTGACGTTTGTCGACCTCAGCCCGCAGATGGTAGACATTGCGCGGGAGAAATTTGTGAAGCTCCACCCGGACTTCAAGCATGCGACGTTCCGTGCGCAGGACGCGAAGGACGTCGCTCCCCCCGTCTCGCCGGATGGGAAGCCCGCCTATTATGATACTATTGTGCAGACCATGGGCCTGTGCTCGATGCCGGACCCGGCGGGCACGCTGCGCCATTTGGGATCTATCGCGGAGCCGCATCGTGGTCGGATTCTGCTCCTGGAGCACGGCCGGTCGCACTACGGCTGGCTGAATGATATTCTGGATAACCTCGCTCCGGCGCATGCCGACCGGCATGGGTGCTGGTGGAACCGAGACATTGGGAAGATCATTGAGGAAAGTGGGCTGGAGGTGGTCGAGGAGAAACGGTGGCATTTTGGGACTACCTGGAAGTACGTGTTACGGCCTGCGCGGAAGAATTAGGTGTATGATAGAGGATGTAGATAATCATTGTACATTAACGATAGACTACGTGTTGAGCGGTTGGCTGAAAGTCGGACGGGACATAGATCTGTGATAGTATACTAGTATATCGCTTATCCAACCATATGCTGGAGTGGAGAGGTCTATCACTACCATGTACATGTACTGGGGTACTCACGTCAGTATTACTTTTGCAAAAGCCTTTATGACAGCACTCTTTTGTGGTCATATCCAAACCAGTCAATTCCATGTTGATCATGAGGAGAGGCGGTTGACTGTTGTAATTTGAAAGACGATCAACACGATACCCAAATCAGAAGATATCCCGAAGACGGATCTTCCCCAGACATCAAGATGAGGTCAAGATGGCGTGTGTACCTGCGGGGTAGGAGTGCGCAGGGACTCATGCACGGCTAATGTACTTCGCCCAGTTGCCCCCAGTGGTACTCCGCATCTTGATTCTCCTGGCATCACAGCTACAGATATCGACAAACCATGGAAGTATGGAGTATGGAGTACATGAAGTTTTCTGTGCCATCCCAATTATTGGGAATTTCTCCGATACCCTGCATGCAGGCATCTTGATCCTGGTTTCTTAGGTACATGGGGTTAAGGCCCAGTGTTGTCGCTTTGCCTGATGCGGCAAGTCACAGACACCGAGCCGGCTTCTTTGTACAGAGAGACCATCTATGATTCGTGATCTTGGACGAGCGCTACCACACTCAGCTGAGTTGTGTTGATAGGATTAACCCCTCCTGCAGACGTGTAGAGATTCAATGGCCGCGGCAGAGAAATTTCGCCCCTACAGCCCGTATAGTATATTAATTGCCACGCTGGTGCAGTTGCTGCAGGCGGTGAAGTTGACACTACGGCCGCTGGATACTTCATTGCGAGCCACCGTTACTGATGGGTAGTAACTAAACTACCCTACTGTTTCTTGATGTACATGTACATGTACATGGACATGGAACGCATGAAAACGGGCTGTTATGAGGAAAAGGGGCCACCACGCAACTGAGCCCAGGGATGGCGAAAAGGAATGGATGTGCATTCATACCTCTATGACAGGATAATCAGGGCAAGGTTATCCCTTGCCGGTGGTGGGTGATACATCACAACCGCAGCGGTTATCGAGCGTGATCCAGCATTCTTCGCACATCCGAGGACCCAACCGTCGACCAAGCGTCCATCATTCCTTGTCCATCCATTTTTTTGGGGCCCTGTTCCATCTGTTCGTTCCGAGTCGGCATTCAGACCATGACCGGCCGCAGGTTGATTTGCCGCTGCTGCTCCAACGGCGACGCTAGGCACGATTGTCCTGGAACCCCCGGTCATCGTCATTGGATGGGTGTTGATTCGTGGTGGGTCCGGTTATTTTCGCTCTTGCTCTCTTTGGGCTAGCATGATCCACTCTTCTTTTTTTCGATTACCTAGTTTTGCTTTAAGACAGACGGCCCTAGCAACCATCTCGGTTAGTGGGAGGTTGTTTAGCTTCGACTAGCGCTCACTAGGCGAGATAGCTACTTCTGTCAACCCGAGCTGGAACGCGACGAGGAAGGAAGAAGAAGAATCGGTTGGACCTCTGTACCATGGGATCCAACCAGTGATGATGCAGTTACCCGGAGATGAGGCACCCTTCTTGGAGATGGTGTCTGGGATGATGGGTAGGTAGGCAGCTCCCGGTTTCACCCTATCCTGTGTGGCCATTTTCTACGGGGACAGCGATGGAGACGCCGACGCTGGTTGGAAGGCGAACACGGAGTTTCAGACGATTTTCCTGGGGAACAGACGCAGATGTCGGTGAAGACCCTTGTCTATCAAATGAAGCTACGGACGGCGTCAGGGTCAGAATTCCCGGGTCCGGTCAGTACCCTGTCTACGGGGTGTAGGCCTACTCTACTCTGAACGCGCTGTCTCTGGCCGGTTGTTTGTTGTGTTGTAGAGTCTTCCCTGTCTGCGCAGCAACCGGCGGTTCAGCTGCAGGTCTTGCAGTAGTTACCCGGACTTGCCTCTCTCCACGGGCGCAGACTCCGTCATGGAGTCGACTCCATGCAGAACCTCAGTTGATCGCTCCGCCTGGTGCCAATCAGATCGCTCGGGGTTCCGTATTTGGTCGTCATAGAAAAGTCCATCGACACATGGTGGGCTCCACCGCAGTTTTTGCCCCTTCCACCCGGACGGATACCGTCTATGCAAGATGTGTGTACTTCGTACAGTACGTACTCTTACACTTGCGATAGTTCACAAGCGGTGAGTCGAGAGATACCGGTAGATGATGAGGTAGTTTATCTATCACAAGGAGGGGTAGGAAGATTCCACAATGGCTGTATTATGCAAATAAATGCAAACTTGCCCTGATACTATCGGCACAATGTTATGAATACTTCTGAAATATTCATTATTCATGCTGGTTTCCTGGGAGCTCCTAGAATTTTTTTCCCTCCAATTCTTTCCGGCATTCTTGAGAAAAAATGAAAGAAAAAAAAAAAAGAAAAAAAAATCCAGATGGGGCTCCAGGCTCCATCGTGTATCGGACCAATTAACGCCACCTGAAAACCCGCCCGCCCTTTTTTTTTTTTTTTCTTTCACGAAGATCGAAAGAACCCACAAGAAAGAAAAAAATAATAACACAACCAAACGGCCGATTCCTCACGACTCCATCTAACCATTCTATGACCATTATTTTTTGATCATTTTTATTATTATTGCATTATTATTGTTATTCTGATTTTGTAAGAGCAGCGGCGACTGGCCAACGAACTCTGCGGTGATTACCTGGGACTGGATTCTCCCGTCCAGCCGGACCTCACCTTCCATCCATCATCGACGGCTCCCTTTCCCTCCCTGTTCTCATCCATCCTCTCCCATCCCATCCCATCCCCCCCCTTTCCTTTCCCTCTCCCTCTCCCTCTCCCTCTGCCTCAGTGTGTTATTATTATTATATTATTATTGTTGTTATTATTCTTATCCCCTCTGTACGACCATACCTTCCCATCCGTATCTGGTGGTTTGCCGTTGATCGTTGTCGTTTGGTTTCCTCGTGGTTTTAGTTTGAGTTCAGTTCAGTACTGTTATACTATCATTACCTATTCTATTCGCCACTATCCCTCTCTCTCTACTGCTATACTTTCCTCTCCTTTCATCATCATCCTTGTATCCTACTCAACCTCCCTAATCCATCCATCTCACCATCATGCCTTACAACACTCGTCGCAAGTCTCTGTCGCTTCCTTCGCTGGGGATCCACCTCCCGAGTACTTCCCGTCGCTCTCCGTCGGCTTCCAAACCACCTCACGCGACCGACGACTCGCTCCCTCCATCCAAGAAAGTGAAGAGATCGCACGATTCACAATCGCTCTCCCCCGAGCCTTCGCCATCCTCGACTGCCTCGGCGACCTTGTCGGCCGGGCGCACAACGGGTCGACGCGGTCCGCTGGAACAGACGCCGCCACCCTCGCCGACGGACGGAACGCTCAATCCTAAAGTGGATACAGAGGGCATCAACGATGATATCGTCGTCGCCGTCATCGAGCAGCTGGAAAAGACCGGGAATCGCCCCCATCTAGTCAAGGAGCTGGCCGCCGTGCTGATTACCCTGAACGAGAATGTCGCAAAGTACGTGTGGGATCCACCTCCCCTCCCCTCTCTCCCTGCCATCTGATACTAACAGCACCGTGCGCATCTCTAGCTCTGCCAACCCCGCTGCTCTCCTCTCCTCCCGCCTAAGCACATACATGAAGCGCCCCTGGACCGCTCTGGCGCCCTGTCCGTTGGCGAAGGAGCTGATTCTCGTCCACCCTCGCAAAGTGTACTATTACTTGACAACATACCCTCGCCAACCCATCCCGGAGAACTCAGACGACGTCTTGGTTCCCAGGTTGGAGGGAAAGAACATCACGCCCAGCGTCTCTAGCGCTGACTTGGACGATGACGACGAGGACGCTTTAATGCGGGAGCGCTCCCGCCTCAGCCCCAGTCCGGAGGTTGATCTATCTTCTCCCGACTTCGAGGAAGAGAATATCGATCTCGATGGTTCCTCTGCCAGAGCCACTCCGGACTTCCACCATGCGCGTCTCCTGCACTCCAATCGTGCTGCTTCCCCGCCCCTCGAAGGCGACGAGAAGGAGTTCACGCAAACTGCCAGCGCTGTTCGCGAGCGGGCCTCGGAGCAAAAAGTCGGCCAACCTGAAAAGTCCAAGTGGGGGTTTTCTGCGCTGTCGGAAGGCCTGAACGAGCTGGAAGAAGGGGGAATGAGTATCTGCGACTCTGCCATGGACGACAGCCCGTTGTCCTCCATCAGCGAGGAGCGGATGTCCGACTCGTGCACGGGCGATTACTTTTCCCACAGTCCGACCCAGGACCAGTCCTCCCTCCAAGAACACCTTCAGCAACAAGAGTCGGAAGATGCCGCTGCAGTTGCTCTCTTTGGCACATCCCCCTCTCCCTCGCTCACGTCAGTGGCCTCGTCTCTCTCGTCTGGTACGAGTGCGGCTTCTGACGATGGGCTGGATATTGAATCACACTCGGCTACGGTTGGGGCCACCCCCCAGATCAGCCTTCCCGAGGATCCCAATATCCCGACAGTCTCCACTCTGAAGCGGTCTATTGATATGCTCAATAGCGACATTCCGGATCTCGACATGAAGATGTCTGATCTGGCGGAGCAGGAAAGCAAGGTGTCTCTGGCCGCCGTCGACACGGACGTTGAGAAAGTCTATGATTCGTGGAGAGAGTTGCAGAGCCCTGAGACCGTGGACGTCCATGAGCTCGATGAGATGTTCGGAGAGATCTGAACGCGGCCAATGCACCATGTACGAATCTTTCACTGCCAGTGATAGACTTCTTCCGGCGTTTCCGAGACCTGGTTCCTGCTTGTTCTTTGACTAGAATGACCCTGGATGCCCACCGGCTTCGCCACTTCCTGCTTCTCCACTCTTATCAGATGCCTGTGCCCCATCGGGCGCCAGCATTCTGTTCCCTTCATACTCGTGCGATCTTGTCCTGTACAGCGTTACCTAATTTCCGCTCTACCCGCCACTCTCTGGCCGATTGGCCCCTTCACCTGTATATATATCTGTTGGTTCTTCCGATTGGCTTGTGTTGCATATGCTCTCGCTTTTTAATATCCCCTGGTTGTTGGATGCGTGTATCTTGCATTATACTGTTGAATTTGGGAGATCTCCCAGACTGAAAAGAGGCCGGCGCTGTCTCCAGGCAGTCCGATTGAAAGTTTCTGGAAAAGCAAAATGGGTGCTCAAGAAAGAAAGATCTATTGTTGATGCCTATGTATGTTTAGCGTCTTGTGACACTGAAATCTGATTTGACATCACGGCAATTCGTGATGACGACGAACCCATGGGTCTTGGTCTATAACTAGTACAGTACTTCACGGAGTACATAGGTAGTTTGGACACTTGTATGGCATTTTCACGTGATTATTGTGTACACTCCACCTTATCACCACGTGATCACATATGTCGTCATAGGCTGGCGGCTGTCTCTCTCCTTCCATCGCAATTTCTCCCCTCTCCCGCACGTTCCATCGCAAACAATCGTGCACTTTTTTATCTGCTACTGACAGGGTCTAGATAGAGTCGCAGACGATTCTGTTTCTGCTACTTGCGTCAACAACTCATCTTCCAATCATTCTCATCTCGCATCACGCGATTGCGCGCCATTGTGGCTCGTGGTTCGCCTTCCACATCATGCCCATCCTGTAGCTTGAAAATTTGCCTTCTACTTGAATCGAACCAGCAAAGTGGCCAGAGTAGCCCAGCATATCCAATCAGCATTCTGCAATCGACCCTCTTAACCTGCGAACCTTTTTGCTTCCGGGCGACCACTCTTCGATTGATCGGTGGCAACAGTCCTTCTCCCAGCTATCCACTCGACGACGGAGCACGATGGATGCGCCGTCTAACCTCCCACAATCCGGCGATTCGAAAGCCCGATCCCAAATACCCTCTCAGGTCCGGTCCGGCGATGACTCCCAGATCTTGCCCACCGCCAACCCGCCTGCCATGCCAGGGTCGGCGCCGCATGCCCCGCAAAAATCCCACGCCACCGGGCCAGGCACCACCCTCCACGGAAAGAAACAGCTCGTCTCTAATAATGCCAAAGTAGCGATTCCTCGCCAGCGCGCGGGAACCACCCCGCGGTATAGTCGACGCGTGCCCTTGGCGTGCGAATCCTGCCGTGCGCGAAAGACCAAGTGCAGTGGCGACACCCCAGTTTGTCGGCAGTGTAAGGAGCTCCGCGTCGAATGCAAATATCCAGTCTCATGGAGGGAGCGAACTAAGGGGTATGGGCAATACATATCTGCTGATGTGTTGTTCGGTGACTAATATGCAGATAATCCAGGGAGTTGAAATCTCTTTCCGCGAAGACGAACGAGTATGAAGCGCTCCTGAAAGAAATCGGCACATTTGTTGATGGTCGGACATCCGAGCGCATCCGGAATACGCTAGAGAAGGTTGGTACAATGGCCCTGTATCCTGTCTCCTACACTAGGACTGACCGTTGGACAGTTTGGAGTGAACGGTGAAAGCTCCTCGACCCCTTCCCAACAGAACTCGGTCACGCCCCAGGACGAAGACGCCTCCGTGGATGACGCTAGCTATCCCTCATCGATCGGGTCCCTGGAAGCTATCGACAGGGTCGATGAAGATCTGAATCGAACGGCAAGCTCAAGGGCCACCGGCTATATGGGGAAGAACTCCGAGGTGACATGGCTGCAGAGATTGCGACGGGAGGCAGAGCAGCGGTCGAGGAAGTTGTCTGGGACGTATGAAACTGAGCCTGAGGGTGAATTCGCACTTCATTCTATGAACTATCACCTGGATGATATGGACATTTCGGTCCCAGGCCCGGTTCACGCATACCAGATGCCTCCACGCCATATCGCGGATAGGCTTTTCGAAGACTATCTGGAAACGATTCATCCGTTCTTCCCCATAATCAGCCGCACACTATATCGAACACAGTATGCTACCTTTGTTGATAGCGTTGCACGACCTGGCGATAAGTGGCTAGCCATTTTGAATATGATATTCGCTATCTCCGCCAAGCATGCCCACCTCCGCCAGGCTCCCTGGCGTGGCGAAGAAAATGACCACTTGGTGTACCTGACTCGTGCTCGCATCCTTAGTATGAATGGTGATGTCCTGTTCAGCCACCCTGATCTCCAGCAGGTGCAAGTGGAAGGGCTGATCGCTTTCTATCTTCTTGCTTCGGATCAAATAAACAGGTACGTTCTTGCAGGAAGTCTTCATGGTGCTAGTATCCATATCTAACAAATGGTCTAGGTCCTGGCGCATCACGGCCCTGGCGGTTCGCTCTGCTGTAGCTCTCGGGCTCAATATGAAGAATACTAGTGAACACACCGCCGGGATCTCGAAAGAGGCTCGTTACCGTGTTTGGTGGTGTCTTTATGCATTCGAACATATGCTTGGGGTCATGACAGGTCGTGCCTCGTGTATTTCGGATGGGATCTGTACAACACCCTTACCGCTCCCCTTCGACGAGGACCAACTCCGAGAGCCAGTGGCTGCAAAGCTCCTCGATGACCTTGAGTTACGCCAGGAATGTGTGGACTCAGCCCTGGCGTGCAACTATGTTCGGCAAGTGTCTCTGAACCCTCCAGGTGGTAGGGATGCCAAATATACGGACAAGACGCGGGACACCTCGTGGCTGAAGAGCGTGCCTTGTAGTCGCTCGCTTGTCTTCCTCTATTACATGGACTTGTCAGTCATTTCTCAAGAAATCGTGAACAGGGTGTATTCTCTGGATTGCATGATGACTCCATGGGCACACATTGAGAATCGGATGGGAGAACTGAGGGCTCGAATTGACCTCTGGTTTTCAAACTTGCCAGAGTCACTCAACTTTACCCGGACGGACGACCAAGGGCCGGATTTACTTCGTTCGAGGCTCTTTTTGGCCTTCAACTACTACAGCGCGCGAATTACTCTGGGGCGTCCGTGCCTGTGCCGTCGCGATGCGCGACAGCAGGCAGGTCCAAGTCAGACAACTTTTAGCCATGACATGGCAGTGAGCACTCTGGAGTCTGCACGGCGCATGTTCGACCTTGTTCCTGATGTGCCAGATGCCCTGCGCCTCTACAGCATTTGTCCCTGGTGGTGCATCCTGCATTACTTCATGCAAGCGACAACAGTGCTCCTCCTCGAGCTATCTTTCGGGAGCGTGCACATGCCGGAGGAGGAGAATAACATGCTAGAAGCATCGAAGAAGGCCATCCGGTGGCTCTTTGCGATGTCACAGTGCAGTCTCGCTTCGCGACGCGCATGGGAGTTGTGCGACAGTAACCTTCGCCGGATCGCGGTGGGCATGAACTACGATCTGAGCGACATGCCACCCGCATCTGAGTCGGCAACGAAGTCGGTCGACTCCGTTGATGCGGAAAATGTCGACCCGGTTGCTCGCCAGACTAACGTCACCCCGGCGTCGGTTCTACTCAATCCAGCTGACCCCCTCAGCCAGCCGGTCGTCGCTGCAACCCAGCCTTCGGACCCTGGCGTTCAGTATAATCCGACCCAACCACCTCTATACTCTGGCTTTCCGACCTCGTTCAACCCCTCTCCGTCTACCTTTGACATGGCAACGGATGTCGATGCCTACTTCCCGTATGACCCGATCAGCGGAGAGTTCATCCGGTCCTTCTTCCCAGCTTCCACTGACGAAGACCCGTGGGAGCAACCATGACGGCTCAGGATTTTTCACTTCTTTGTACATCATTTCGGATTCTCTTGTCATTTGCTTTGAATGTGTGATGACTCGGCGTAGTGTGATGGCCGAGGAGGGATAAAGGTGTTATGGCATAGACTGAGGGATGATCTCGTAACACGCAATGTTTATTTGACATGCGTTGTACTAACTAACGAGTACGCGAAGTCAATGTTTTGTTTAGTGTATTGTACATAAACAAATAATACCAACCTCGTTCATACGATAATATACCTTCTCGATCGAAGTGAGACGCAGACACCAAACATGCCCGAAGAGAATACGAGGAAGCTAGATGGACATTCATTATAATACATGGCAATCAGATCTATAGGGTATATATACACTGCATCGACCGTCTAAGCAGGCACCTTTGAATTCCGATCCAAAGACGCAGACTGCTGCGCTTTCATCCTCCTCTTGGCCTCCTTCCTCTTCCGATAGAGAAGCCCCCCGACTTCACGGTTCGTCTCGGCCTGGCGCAGCCGGAACCCTTCAAACTTCCGGATACAAAATTCCAGAATCTCCTCTGCGGGGTTCGGCTGCTCGCCCAGCTTGGCGGCGGCGTGGTCGCGCTGCGCCTCGAACGCGTTGTATTCCGCCACAGCGGCCTGCGCGATGATCCGCACGGTGTTGGGGTTGGGCAGGGTAGCCTTCTTCTGGATCTGCTTGAAGTAGTACGCGTCGAAGTGCGGGTCGCCCTTGGCGACGTTGCGCTCTTTGCTGAGGTAGAGACGCGGGATACCGCCTTCCTGGAGACGGCGGAGCGCCGGCGACTTCAGATCGAGACACCAGCGTTCCCAGAGGCGTTTGCCTGCGGCGCTGCCTTGCGTGTCGACGACGGCGGAGAGGAGGGAGTGGAAGGCCGTGATGGGGATGTAGGGGACGGCGCTGCGGGGGGTGGGCTTGTAGGTGGGCGTGGCGGCGTGGGCGACGTTGCTGAGGGCGCCTGGGAGAGACCGGAATACGCGCTGCAGGCTGTAGAGGGCCATTTCCTGGAAGCGGGACTCGGAGCGATGTTGGAGGTCGTTGAATTCGCCGCTGAAGATCCTCTGCAGGAGGTCGCGGGCGTTGGAGAGGTTCTTTTGGAGCGAGTCGGCGTGCTCGGTGCTTGATGGGTGTTGGAGGGCGTGTTCAAGCCGGATGATCTCGCCGGCTAGTGCGGTGACGTTGCTGTGGCCCCACGACTTTAGGCGGTAGTCGCGGAGATACTCAAGCATGAGAACCGCGAGATCCCACTGGCCCACGGCTATCCGGAAGTTCAGTAATGCGCGGAGAGTGTTGGTCGAAAGAGGCTGCGTGAGAGACCGCGCGACGGCGTCGCCGAGAGCGTTGTTCTTGGTAGCAGCTGCGAACCGGATGATTGAGGGAGCCAGAGCTTGGTCTCCGTAGGCGCTGGGAGGGATGGCGGGTCCGTCGATGTCGTCGGAGAAGAACAGCCACTCTCCGAATGCAAATGCCCGTGATACGGTAACCATGTCGAGTAACTCGGCCAAGGTGATGGGGGATAACTGGGGCATCGGCGACTGGAAAGGTTTGAAGGAGGCAAGGTTGTCCACGTCAAATGTGGGAACGCGTTCCGGAGTGTCGAAGTCCACTCGTGAGGAGAAGAAGTCGCCAATGCGTTTCATTTTGCTAGCGTCGACCACTGATTGAAGCCAGGCAAATGCGTTGATAGCGTCTCCGCAGAGACGGCGAGATGCATAGAACCGGATAATGTACTCGATCAGACCTATTAGAGCAGCAGTTTCATCGTAGACCTGCGATAAAGGAAGTTGCTCTAGTTCTTCTTCATCCATGACGTGCAAATCATGGTCCCAAGGAGGCACGACGTGTGGAGTGACTCGAAGGAATTCTTCGAAAGCTCGTGGGTCGGCCTCTGGGTCGAATCCACCGGACTCGATTACCCTCACAGCAAGCCAATTATATTCCTTGATGGTGGGAAGAGGTTTTTCGTCGGGAGTTGCCGACGTTACTGCGAACCTGAGGGAGGAGACATACCGTAGAAGCGCTGTTGGTGATACACCGCGCCAACCCAATCCCAAGTAAACAAGGTTGGGGAGGTTATCGAGCAAAGATGCAGCAACTTCCACGCTGATGGTGCGCTTCCCTAACCCATTAAATGGGGTGACGCTGCCACGTTTCCTCAGTAAAGTCCGGTCGACATGATCTGGATGGCGCCATAAGTCTTCGGCGTCGACTCTTGTTTTCCATACCGACTCTGGATCCTGGAGAAGAGGCTTCCAGCTTTTGAAGTGCCAAGATAGGTCACCCTTTCTCTTCCTCATCCGCTCGATGAGCCATATTCCCTCTGTGATATGACCATGCTCGACACAGCACCAGAGGATTAGCTCCAGCCAGATCTCAGGGCCGAGCTCTCGAATGCCCATCTTGAAGGGCAGATAGGGGGAATCTTCACCGGCCGCGGCGGCTTGAGCCGCGACTTCTTCCTCGTGAACCAGCCACGCCGCATCTGATAAGACACTCATAATAGGGGTAGAGAGAAGATGGAGACCGGGAGGCCGGAATGATGTTTGGTGATCGCTCGGAGGATCATATTTATAAATTCTGTCCGATAGCGCACCGGAGTGATGGAGACGTGCTAGGATGCGAAACACATAGGACATTGCTAGCTTCGAGTCCTCTGGCGAAGCATCGGCGGCGTCGAGCACAATCGAGCCCAGGCTCTGCCATACTTCCGCCATTAAGCGTTTTGAATGTTCATCAGCAAAGGGACGCTCAGCCAAGGCGTCTAAGCTAGTCAACCCAGGAATGGACGGCGTTCCTGAATGCGGCTCGATTTGAGGAGCCGAGGGCAAGCACTGATCCGTAAGTTGATCAAGTGAAACCCCAGATCCAAATTTCCAGTCCATCCCATTCCGATTGTTTGCAAGGAAGGAAACCTCTCTAAGGGCGTCGGAAACATCGAGTAACCGATTCAGAAGGGCATAGACGGCAGGCCAGTTGTTGAGTTTGAAGCCAACGTGGGATAGAAGGTCAAAGTTTCCAGATGACCTCGCATGAAACAATAGGTTGTGCAGCTCCAGGGTTTGCGCGAGGTCGTCTTGGGCGTCGCGCGATCCGGAGTCCGACGTGACAGCGCGCTCGGAGGAAGCACGGAGCGATGGCGGCAGATACGGTTCCAGCTGCGCAATCCACGCTTCGGGATTCTTCTGTTGTGGCCCGGCTACTGGGCATCTTCTCATCTCCAACCGAACATAGTCTCGCAGTAGCTGGGGGCGGATGGCCGGGGGCTTAGAGCTGACGGAGTAACGGCGGCCCCATTGTCGCCATCCCAGATAGGGTCTCCCGTCCAGGAGCCCCTTATGCCGAGGAGAGGAATATGGACGAGCCGAGGGAGTGAGCGGAGGGCGCAACGAGGACCTGCGGACCAGACACAGCGGGTGACTTGGACAGAGGCACCTTTTCATGACACGATCGAGGACCTAAAGGTTGAGACTTCCGGGTGGAGGGAAAATGGATCTCGAGATAACCGGCGACGGAGGTTTCTGTGGCGCATGTCTAATCATTCAGTTGATGCTTCATGATCCCGAGATCAGCAGAATTGAACCAATGGGCTCCTAGGGACAATCAAATGGTCGGAGAGAGTATGATGATGATGCTTTGATTGCGCCGAGTCCGCGGCGAAAAAAACATCTCCGGTGTTGCTGACTCATCCCACCCAACCAATCATGGCTGGAGGATTTCTATATGCTTGGGGAGTGAGCAGTGTTCACAAGAACTAGTTATAGATATCTCTATTGAATGATACTCATTTACCTCGTCTTGCAACAGTGGGGTATTGTGAGTGGGAAGGTTCTGACATCAGGAATGACCTCAAGAATCAAACTCATCCTATGGCAGGTAAAGATGAAGACTTCAGACAAACTACAGAGCTACCACTTTGTCAGCCCATTTATCAGTGAGGCCCTTTCGGTTCTTTTTTCCATAGCGTGGAGAGAACGTATTCTATGATTTGGGTTGAAAATCTGACCGAACCATGAGATATATGCGCAATAGATCCAGTCTATATACGTGAGAGAAGTACGGTTCAAAAGTACCTCAGGGAGACACTACGTCGGTGAGACTCACAATTGTTTATAAGGTAATGCTAAATAGCTGTTGTATGACCTTGTTGCAGTACGTAATATCTCAATGAGTATACTTGCAGGAAATATTTATGGGTATAAGTTAACGTCCTCAAGACTCAGTTATTCAGCTGCTATCATACATGGTGACGCGGTCACCTCAAACGAACGACTGGCCCAGCAGCATCCATGCATATTCAAGCATTTCCGAGAAACAAGTACTCCCAGATACGTCCCACACGCATCACAATCCACAGTATGACGTAGACAAGTGCATCTAAGCGTCAATGGGCCGGAACTGACGGGCGTGAGAACGCTCGAAGCCCGGAGGGAAGGGAATTCCAGTTGCAGTCGGGACGGGACCGGAGGGAGCGGTACCAGTAGGAACCGGAGCACCGTTAGGCCAGGAAGCGACAGGAGGCACGCCTGGGGGTCCCGGAGGGAAGGTGGGCGGCTCAGTGCCGGCCGGAGGCGCAGGCTATGAAGGTATGTCAGAGTCGATTCACAGGCATGATCATGGGCCACGAGAACCTACCGCGGGGATCATAGTAACCCGGTCATTGACACCGTCAGCAACGGCGGGGGCGAGGAAGAGAGCCGCAGCGGTAGCAAAGGCAGCGAAAACCTTCATGATGATTGAGAACTAGAAGCGAAAGAGTGGAAGTAAATGTATAACAAATGAATGTAATATTGGTACCAGGAGAATGGTGTGCACAGCACTGTCTAGAAGAGGAGAGAGTCCAGCAGAATAGCTACCACTCAGTTGTATATATGGCCGATAGGGTCCCTTAACAGAGAGAAATTTTTTTGGGCTCTTGAGGGGACCCTCCGAGGGGGCCGATCTGGATCTACAAACGCATAGCCTCAATTGGAAGCTTTGATACCACATTGTTGTGCTGGGTGGATAAAGGACAGAGGCCATCCAGGGCTCCAGACGTTGATCGACGATAGCGCTCCCGAAGAAGGGAAACATGAGAATATTAGCCAGACACGAGTGCATCACCCAGAAGACGACAGAGAATGGACCGTCACACAGGCTAGGCAATGCGCGAGAGCGGTTGCAAGGGCTGCAAGGGTTGCATGCTGTCGAGTGCTTCGTGTGCAGCGACGGAGCATTCACTTCTCCAACCCGAGGCCAATTGTCGATGGAAAAGGGCTGGCCGGGTGGTGAATCGGGAAGTTTTGCACGCCGGTCAGTGATAAGCCGATGCCGGCACCGTTTCTTAATGGGCATCGGCAGCGGCGATCTCCGACTCTCTTTGAACCACCCCGTCCGGCGCAGAACAATTGGTGGCCATCGGAACGAGGAGGATCTGGCCAAGCGGAGACAGTTTCCTTGCTTGTCACAATCGCGCAGACAAAAAGTTTCCCGTCCTCCTGCCGATCAGTCGGTTGTCTTGCGTGGCGTTGAGTGGCAGAGACCCTTGGTACCCGAGATAACGGAGACGATCAACCACCACGCACTGCAGGGTCATTGCCGATCTATCTGCAGCTGAGGCTGTACTGCCCTCTGCGCTGTGGCGTTTCGATCCAGGCAACACATCTGAAACTCATCGTCGCAAACTGAAACTCTAAACAGACAGCCTTACTCACGGTCTAGACTCAAACATGACGCTACTGGAAGTATACGAAGTACACCATTTACTTCTTTACTAGAAAAAAAAGACGTATGTGGCGAAGGGTCGCTAGAAAGTCCGGGCTTAGAGCATAATAAGGGTTATTACTTTTAAGCTCAGGCTGATTCACAAAATTGTTCTGCTCCTAAATGACGTGGTTAGAACGGCTTTGTTTGGGAGCTGTGGCCTGTTTAACATCATCTTAGTCGTCAGATATGAACTGGATCAGCTTTTCGGCCTGTCCAATTCCAGCTCTTATATTTAACTGGAGCTAGTAGCTATACTTGGTCCTTTTTTGCGTACTAACAGCGTAGCGCTTTTTGAGCAGGAGCCCTAACCGACGAGCATCGCTGTTGTACATGGACTTCGCCGTATATGGTGTATAATGGTTTCCCGTACTTAGGTCCAGCGTTATATCCACTGGACGGGACCCCTGAAGCCTGTAATGGAGGCCGATAGGCATAGGAATCGAAATATCTACATGGCCGCTGTCCCTGGCCTTTATCGGCGTAATAAAGAACCTTTCTACCTCCCCACGTTGGGTTAAAATGTTGACATGGATGGGACCACCGCTTCTGGCTCGCGTCAGTCACCGATTTTATCATACGTCGCCAAGCTGTCTGGCCCTAGTGGACCTATTTCATTTAGTCCCCGGTCAGGCGGAACACTTGCCAGATTGCTCGGGCGATAGGCAGCATATGCTTTGTTCAGGCAAGTCCCGAAGAGGACTGTCATAACCGCCTGTGCAACGAGTACGAGCTGCCTACTAACACAGTCGGGAAAGGTAACTAGGACAGTCTAACGGGCACGCCGGCCGGGAGTTCGTAGTGTTCTATGATGCAAAACTGTGGTCGATCTGCTGCTCCTTATCTCCATCTCATGCAGTCGGATGCGATCAACCATTCCCCGCGAACGGGGTGAGTTGTACGGCCCCGCAGCTGCACCAATATAAATGCGAACTGTGGATTTGTCCATATTACTGGTTGCGATATTTGCATATACCCCCTGTCTAGGTAAATCACGGCTTTCACTAAGGCCCAGTAAACTAGGTCCTGTAAGCGCCGGGGCTGTAATCTCGCTGAAACGAGCAAACTAACCTTTCCCGACCCAACTCACCGCCGCTTAGTAGCTGTTTCACACCCGGACAGGTCGCATTGGTTATGCTGGATATATATAATGTCATGATGGCATTCTTCCGAGAGGTACTCCGCAGCTGCAGGGTTGGCGCGTAAATTTCCCCTCCGCACCTGCTCCTCTATATTACGAAGGCAATCATCCACCCCGCTGAGAAACTTGTCGTGATCCCTCTGCATGATCTTTCTGCTGTTGCTGGAATTTCTAGGGCCATCTGCGGACTCGAAATTTCTGTGATCTGGGGTCCTTCACACATCTGTCTTATCGACGCCACTGCTCCCGATCACCTCAGGTATCGATATTATATCGAGGTCGCCTCACAATCTCCCTCCGACAACATGATTTCGCCACGCTGGTCCAAGCAACTTGACATCAGAGCTTTTCTAATATTCCAGAGGATCCAGCGGATGTATAAGACCTTTGTTGTTTTGGCTGCCCTCATTAGCGGCCTCGCCGTTGCCGCCCTGACCCTCAATGAATATCACCCTCCGTCCTCCGATTTGATTTTTGCCTCGGAGGGCTTCCTATGCAGTTCAGCTATCACTGCTATTATATCGGCTGTCCTAGCGATAATGCTTCTGTTCCAGTTTGAGGGATCGCAAAGAGCAACAAGAAGAGACTTGGCGGTGGCATGGGCTCCGTTGGTACTGCTTGACTTGGCGGTAGTCGAGTTCCTCGTCGGGATGGTCTGCTGGTATTGTAGCAAAAATGCTCGTTGGAGGGGGGCTCTCGTCACGGCTCAGTTGGTCGGGCTGCTCGGTCTGTGCGCGGGTCTTTCGACATGGATGTGGTTTTACATGAGTCAGAAAGGCAATCTTGGAGTGGAAGAGTCTCAATCCGGCGATATGCAAAAGCGTGTTGCAGATGAATAACGCCCTCGTGATCTGCTGGACACGTCCCTCCGCTATTCGATATTGGACCCATCTCATCCCAAGCAGGTTCGTGGAGAGGCAGGCGGGCGAGGAGGCCATCTACTATATAGACCACGCACCACGATGCCAAGCGACCGCGACGCGCTTTCCCAGATTAGGCATGCTATATCAGATGCAGTAATTCGCCGTCACCGCAGAATACGGAGTAGAATCGAGAACACACGGCTTGCGACGCTCTATGCACGTATATACATCATGGAACACAAGTCAAGCCATAAATCATCAACAGACGGAACGAGGTGAACAGAAATTGGTATCAAAGTAGAAGCTCACTCAAAACCCAAGGGGATATTGTACCAACAATCAAGAACCAATTCCACGCAGAACATCCAATAGCGCCTCAAGAATGATGGACAAGACTCTTTGATCCTGGGGGAGGCAACACTCGCAATGCTGAAACAAGGCGTGGATGTGTGCGCAAAAAAGAAAAAGAGAAACAAGGCACAGCCAAACTCCCTCTGACATTCATCAATCATCAAACCTACCCTCCCTGAAGAGTACGCCGCGCAGCTTTAACCCTCGAGAGGCGCATCCGCATCCATAGGGTCGGCGTCGCCTCCCAAGCTCCTGCTCCACCTCATCGACAACGAAACTCTCGTAGTCTTCCAGACCCTTCTGGATATGGACCTTGAAGCGGATCACGTCATTCAACATGCTCTCCACGTTCGTATGGAGCTCCTCTCGCAGCGCGTTGGCTCGCAGCGTCAGTTGTTCGTACTCGATGTTCGTGTTCATTTCGCGCTGTTCCATCAGCTGAACACTTTCGCTCAACGTGTCGCGCATCTTCGCCAGCTCCTTCTCCATCTTCTCAATCTGCGCGTCTGAGGCGTGTTTCTGGGTGGTGGTGATTTCCTTCATCCGTTCGAACTCCTCTTCCGCAGCGCGTCGCCGGTGCTCCAATGCTTCCACCTCGCTCCGCTTCTCGTCCATGGCCTCCTTGATGTTGTCCAAGAGATTCCGCCGTTCCAAGTCAGCGTCGATGGCTTGCTTTCTTCGTTCGTTAATTTCTTTGCGAAGGGCTTGGAGGTTGCTCCGGATTTGGCCACGCAAATCGAGATTCAGTAAGTGAGCGGGATGATACCCTGTGAAGGGTTCGGCGAGCAGTCGATCGCCTTCTGGTGATATGCGGTTCGGGGCCCCGCCGATTTGCGACGCAGAAAAGTTCGTCTCATTCACATTGAGGCTCAGTTCGTACTCTTCGCCTTTCGCATTGACAGCGGAAGCGGGAATCAAACTGTTCTGGTAGCCCAAGGTGTTGTATGCCTTGACGATCTCCTCTAGGTCCTCCAGCTTCTTGCTCGTCTCAGCCTCCTTGGCCATCACTCGCGCGTGCGTTTCTTCCAGTCGCCCAATCGTGTCGTCGAGACTCTTTTGCAGTCGTTCGCGCTCCGTGTTCATCCGATCAATATCCTGGATCGTGAGTCCCTGTCTATCGACGCTAGCCTGAAGGCTTGACCGCTCTTCCTCCACTGCCTGTAAATCCGCCTCGGCCTTTTTGAGTTCGTCATCCAAAAATTTGATGCGGTTCTCGTACTTCTCGATCTTTCCTTGAACGTTCTGGTTGTAGTCCTCAAACTTCCTCTTATCATCTTCCAGGATTCGGAAGTGCTTGTCTAGCTTGGCCATATCGGGGGCGTTCTTCTCCAGTTCCTCAATCTGATCACGTAGCGCCCGGTTCTCCGCTTCGAGAACTTGCATTTCCTGCACGTACTTCTCATTACCCTTTTCGAATTCCTGGGCCATAAGTTCGATATGAGGGACGAGCCTCTTCTCTGCCATCTCGTCGTCTTCATCCTCCCCTCCCTGTAGCCAGTCATGGTAGGCCCCAGTGAGGAATCTGAATATGATCCGGTCTCCCGAAACATCCACCCCGGCTTCTGCACAGGCCTCGTCGTACTCGCCCATGATGAACCTATCCATCATCTGAGCCAGTTGCATCAGCCAATGCAGCATGCCAAGGAACGTGGCCCAGTTTTGACCTCCAACGGCGGAGATTTGCGACTTCGTAATTCCCTTCTCATAAGGGTAGCGCAGCTGCTTCAAGATTGGTGGCACTTCCGCATCCATGCTCTTTTGGAACCGATATCCGGGATCGATGCGATGGTAAAGCCACTGGAAGATGTAGTTGAAATCTTTCTGGGTCGGCGATCTTAATGTGTTTTGACCAAGGGAGTGCTTCATCTCCAGCTCGAAGTTGTTGTGGGTGAGATATTCCAGCAGCTCCTGCCCAATCCGCGCTTGATAAGCCCGATCGCGTAGAGGTCTCGGATCCCTAGGAACACCGGCAACGGAAGGTACTTGAGTAAAAAAGGACTGATGGCCCATCGCACCTCCTACCGAAGGTCTGGAGAAGACACTGCTGCGTCGCTGGAGGTTCTGCGACGCCGGGTTGGAAGACAGGGAGCCCGGCGCAAAGCTGGGGCGTCCGGCGCTGGCGCCGTGGAAGATATTACTCGAGACGGAGCGCCTGACGGTCGAAAACCCGGCATCGGCGCCAAAGGCCCCGCCAGACGAAGACCGCTGGAAGTTAGGTTGCTGGGGACGACTGGCCGAATTCATCAAAGACATTGAGCGCGTGTGCTGCGACGTGAAGGGCGGGTTCTGGAAGCCGATGGAGCTGGTGCGCTTTAGGGCCGACGAAGGCTGTGGTAAAGCAGAGTAGTTTTGGACGCTCCCCAAAGTCTGTGCCATAGACTGTGTTAGTTCTATGTTAACCGGGGTGGACTCCTCGCTTTGTTATTTCAAAGCGCATATAGCCTGGAAGCCATAAGGCCGAAGGAATGCGAAAAACGAGCGCTTCATACCTCACGGGGTCGTTTGACACTGAACAATCCAGTATCCTGCGACATGGTGACTAGGAAGCCGCGACTGCGGCGACTTGATGGGTATATCAGGCAAAAACAAAGAGTGACTTTGACAAGATATGAATATTAAGCTGTATTATGGGATCGCGAGGACAAATGCGATCCTCAGCCCACCAAACACTGAAGAATGGACAAAAGATGGTTTTGATCACAACAGAGCGTCGGTTCCAATGTAAACAAGCACCGTCCCGCCGCGACCGGAAGCAGCAGGCGGTGAAAACAGAACCGGACAAACATGACCTCCGAATATCCGGCATGACATAAGCGGGCCATCACGAGACTCCGGGGAAGGCTGTCCCAAACGGGAATAATCAACCCCCCCAAACGGAACTTCCGAGGTCCAGCGCTCGGTGCCGATGAGTTCGCTTCCCTCCATCTCCCTCCCCCCGTACCTTGCCTCTCCTCTCACTCCGACACCCTTTCCCATTGTTCCTTTTGCGGTGGTTTATTATTCTATCCTCTCGAACCAGGGCGATCGCATAGTCCTTTATCATGGCTCGCGAGGAGCTTGTCTCCTCTGCTGTAAGTATCTAGTTGTCCGGGGTAGTATTCACCCATGTGCGGAGTCGGAGCTGACCGTTCTTCGTGATTTCCAGGTTACTTGTATGTCCACAACACCGTCACCTTGTCTGTTCTCTTTGCATTTACTAACGCATAACAGTCCTTCAAGACCCGTCGGTCGCGTCGTCGCCGATTGAGAAGCGGGTTGCTTTCCTTCAATCCAAGAATCTGACAAAAGAGGAGATTGAGCTTGCGCTGTCCCGAGTGGGCGAAGATCCGGCTGCTGCTGCCGCTGCCGCCGCGGGTTCCTCGTCATCGGGCTATCAAGCTCCTACACAGCAAGCTGTCTACCGTCCTCCTCCTTCACCCGCTCAAGGATATGGATATCCTCCGTATGGTCAATGGCAACCGCCACCACCTGAGTAAGTAGTGTGTCGCCATAGAGTAGATACGTGATCTGACGCCATTTGCTCCGTCAAGGCCCCCTAAGCGCGACTGGCGTGATTGGTTCATCATGGCGACGGTGATGGGAGGTGTGGGCTACGGACTGTACTACGTCACCAAGGTTTGTCGCCCTCCAGTCTAGATGGGGGATCACATGCTAACATGTTATGATCAAGCGCTACATTTCCCCCCTGATCGCTCCTCCTACTCCGCCTCAGCTGGAGCAGGACAAACAGAACATTGACGAGCAGTTCTCGCGTGCTTTTGCCCTCATCGAACAGCTCTCTACAGATACGGCTGCTCTTAAGTCAGCTGAAGAGGCGCGCACAGAACGATTGGACACCGCTCTGCGGGAGGTTGAGAACCTCGTGGCGGACTTGAAGACCGCATCGCGCCGGAGAGATGACGAGACTCGCCGGATCAGTGACGAAGTCAAGTTGTTGAAAGATGCCATCCCCAAGGCCCTGGAAGGTGCTCGGGAAGGCAACGAGAACCGGTTGAAAGATTTGGGCAACGAGCTGAAGAGTCTGAAGACATTGTTGGGTAACAGACTTGGCGGCGGTAGTGCATCTGGCACTCCTGCTCTGGGACGGACTGTCGGCGGTAGCACCCTCCCTGCTGCATCTAAGCCCTCTGAGGAATTGTCGCCCGCCGCTTCTCCTGCCACTAACGGTGTTACAAACTCGACTACCGAAAAACCCTCCCAGCAGCCCTCAGTCAGCGACGGCGCTCCGGCATCCACGCCAGCCGCCAGCACCCCTACCCCCAACCCTATCTCGCAGTTCAGTCGCTCTGCTTCTATCCCGGCCTGGCAGATGGCCGCTGCCAACCGGTCGAAAAACGCCTCTCCCTCAACCACCAGCTCCACTCCTGCGGACAACTCGACCAGTGAGCAGCAAAGCGCTCCTCCCAGCTAAATCTGGTATTAGCATATGTTATGCACCGTTTCATGTAGAAATTGCTTTTCTTATGTTGGTCCTGGCTTTCTTTTCATTCACGTGTATTTATCAATGAAGCATGCATTGGGAATCGTTCTGGGCAAAGAATATGGCATTGGTTCTCTTGTTGGATTTGGACGTGTGTAGGTAGTAATCGACGAAGCAAATACCCTCTGTTCAGATTGAGTACCTGGGTGCATGTCCCAAAACGGCAATGGAGCCAAAGCTTGGCATCCATCGCAGTCAACCACTAAAACTCTCCGAGCCTCACGATAACTTGAATACACCACGCTTTGAACGAACAGAAAACCATGTCGCCCGACGACCCTACCTCCCACAGACGCCACACCTCGCGATCCCATCGCAGAACCCATTCGCGCTCGCGCTCGCGCTCCCCGGACGACAGAGCCGACAGACACGGACGTCATCGGCATCACCGACATCGCGATCGCGACCACGACCGGCACCATCACCACCACCTATCCCACCGTCACCATGACCGGCGCGAGAAATCCCCGTCATCTTCGGCAAAACCAGTCGTGCTTCCGTTTCAGGCGCGGGAGCTTTCCAAGCGGGATCTCAGCGAGTTCGCGCCCATGTTTGCCATGTACCTGGATATCCAGAAGGGGATCATCATGGAGGAGATAAGCGAAGAGGAAGTCAAGGGACGATGGAAGAGCTTTATCCGGAAATGGTAGGGAGCATCTTTCCTTTCGTCATCCTGCATGATCAGCGAGCCAGGACTGACATAACAGGAACCGTGGAGAGCTCGCCGAAGGATGGTACGATCCGAATACTCTTGACAAAGCTCGCCGTAGTGCCGGAGACAGTCAAGTCCCGCCCGCATCTGCTACAGAACGACGTCGGTCGTCGCCGGATTACGGACAGGACCAACCGAGCGCAAAGGACACGGAAGCTGGACCGGAAGACGACGACGACGAGGACGAGTACGGGCCCGGTCTGCCCCAGGGTGAGCGGATGGGCCAACTATCCGGGCCTGCGATTCCCTCACTGCAGGATCTGGAGCTACGCAAAGGTACGCTAAACATATTGTGACGCGTCTATGTCTCGTCCTTACTAACGTGGACCCGAAGAACTGGCCACGGAAGACGCAATCGCCGCACGGCAGGACTCCCGGAAACAACATCGGGAAGAAGTGCGCTCCCACCGCTCTGAGCTACGACATATGGAAGACGAAGTTGCCCCGCGTGCAGAACCGGGCACGCATGAACGGCGCATGGAGAAACGGCGTGAGACGGCGGCAGCCAATCGCGCGTTTGCGGAGTCCCGCCGAGGTGGCTCTCCCACGGACGGTGCGCCTGATGACGAGCTGATGGGGTCCGGGGAGAATGACCTGGCCGCAATCAAGAAGGCGCGGGAGAGTGAGCAGCGGAAAAAGAACGAACGGGAGATTCGGAGGGAAGAGATCCTCCGCGCACGGGCAGCTGAGCGGGAGGAGAGACTACAGCAATATCGACAGAAGGAAGAGGAGACCATCGGATGGTTGAAGACGCTGGCAAAGCAGAGGTTTGGTTAATTGTGTTTTGTCTTGGGGATTCTGGGTGTAGACCATGGTCTGGGAGCTCAGATATCTGATATCAATTTCTTTCCCTATACCCCTGTCGCCAAATTCAACTTTCACTATAACGACGCACGATCGTCTGAATGACAGACGAAGTAGAAACATCGGTACAAAACGGAACTAATTCCACTTTGCCGCCGGCGGCCTCAACAACATCGCGTCCCACGACCTCATGCAGCTGGTAATCGTTGCCCTTGACCAGGATGTCGGGCTGAATGGCGCCGATAAGGGTCAACGGGGTGTCTTCCTCGAACAACACGATATAATCCACGCATTCCAGAGCTGCTAACATGTCAGCTCTCTGGGACTGGGGCACTATAGGTCGCTTGTCGCCTTTCAGTCGCCTCACAGACGCGTCGGTATTCAGTCCTACCACAAGCAAGCTGCCCAAAGCCTTAGCCTTGTTGAGGTATTCAATATGGCCGACATGCAGAAGGTCGAAACACCCATTTGTGAATACCACTTTGCCATGGCTCTCCAGCCGGCGCATCAGCTGCATCTGGGAGAGTAGCTTCTCCAGTCCGACGACTTTGAGCTTGGACTGCGGCGGTGTTCCAGATCCCACTAGTGAATCCTTCCAGGACGCCTCCAGCTCGCACTTTGTGACGATAGCGGTCCCGAGTTTCGCCACTGCAATGCCGCCTGCATTGTTGGCCACCGTAGCGGCCTCTTCCAAGGACCGCCCACATGCAAGATAGGCCCACGCAAAAGCCGCAATGCAAGTGTCGCCTGCGCCGTTGACATCACGCGGCGTAGCGCAGGTGCTTGGAATGACAATGCCTCTCTTCTTAGGCTCGTACAGAATCATCCCATCTGCGCCACATGTCACGAGCAATGCCCCGGGCTGGGCCTTTTGCAAGACAACTTGAGCGGCAATATCAATCTCCGAGGGAAGTGTAACGGGGAGACCGGAGAGCAGCTGTAGCTCTTTCAGGTTCGGTGTCAAGACGCTGGACCCTGCATACCGAGCCCAATCCCCGGTCTTCGGGTCCACGATGACCTTCTTGTCCAGACATGTGGCTTCATGTACAAGCGCTCTGATGACGGGCTCGCACAGGAAGCCTTTGTTGTAGTCAGAACAGACGAGACCCAGCGCGCGAGGCAAGCACCTGCGGACAGAATCCAGGGCGGCCAGTTGCTGCCCTTCCTCCAGGGGATGCACGACCTCTCGGTCTATGCGGACAATGTGCTGCCGTTCGCCGATGATCCGGGTCTTGCGGCTGGTAGGCCGACTCGACAGGATCTGAACCTCCGAGACATCCACATTGACGCCTGCCAGAAGGGACAGCAGCCGTTTCCCTTCCTCGTCATCCCCGACAGCTCCAACCAGCACCACTGGAATACCAAGGGCTGCAATGTTGCTCGCAACGTTTGCAGCCCCTCCGGGGAAATACTCCGTCTCCTCTTGCTCCACGACAGGAACATCTGCTTCCGGTGAGGTGCGGTTGACGGAGCCGCGGAGATACTCGTCTAGTATCAGATCCCCAGCTACGACGAGAGTTGATGGGCCTTTGCCATTCACATCGCTCTGATAGACATCCATCATGTTCCCCTGGATGATGCCAGCGTGCTCCTTAGAGGAAGGGAGGAAAAGTTAAGATAGGATGAGGAATGGGATCATACAGCGCCCAACTGGGTCATTCCTTGGTGAGACGTCGCTTGGTGATATGTATGGAAGACGCCATGCGTATGCTGCAGAATTAAATATATCGTGAGACCTGTATAAGGCACCACGTGATATAAGCACGAACAATTCGCGTCTGAATTGATTACCCACAGAAAAAGCAACAAATCTGATTATAGTAAGATGGACCCTTATGAAAATCCTGCCGTCTGGGATGTCTTAGACATGTAAGGGGGCCGCAGTCGATACTATGGTTTTATGGTTCCGAGGGTCTTATAGTTGACCCAGAGCCCTGGTTCTTGGATTTACTGGAATTAACTTATGGCTTTTGACAGAACTATCATGGCACCCTCGAAGAAGGCAGACCACTGCCTGATAAAGCTACGATGTGGTCAGTGAACCTGAAGGTATCTGTATGCCTGTCTCGTAGCTGATTTGATCGTCGCTTTTATAGGAGCAACTAAGAATGACTGGGGTAAATCGATTACTTTTTCCACAGGAAGAAAGCTACGACTGACATATTACTCTATGAAGGTAAAATCGGAGCAGATTCGCTAGTTTTCAGGCTCATTGAGGCTGGAGATGAGGAGACTGAACTCGACAAAGATGCGCCATATGCAGAATTGTGGATGGGAACTCACCATCTCCTCTGCTCCCAGCATCTTCGAACCGGCGAGACTCTTTGCAAAATCCTTGAAGAAGACCCAAGTATCCTTTCTGTCTCCATCAGCAATCGCTATCGGCAGCGGTTACCCTTCCTCTTCAAGATACTCTCCATCAGGAAAGCCCTCTGTATTCAAGCACATCCAGACAAGACACTTGCTCAAGAGCTTCATGCGCGCGATCCATTTACGTATCCAGGTGAGAAAACTCCATCTAGATCTTCTGTCTCCACATGTTTTGTGTATTCCACTCGATATCTTGTGACGATTGGTTCTAACGCGACCAAAGACAGCAACCACAAGCCGGAGATGGTAGTCGCATTAACACCGTTTGAAGCTTTGTGTGGATTCAGGCCTTTTCCAGAGATTGCATGGTTCCTTCTGACCGCTGCCCCCTTACGCCGTCTGGTGGGCGCACCCGCAGATGAATGCATATCACTGATCCAACAGGATGCGAGGGACCTGAGCGAGGAGGAGGGTGCTCTCAAGCGAGCCTGGGAAGCGTTGCTCCGAGCTTCCCCGAGTCAAATCGCCTCATGCACGAAGGAGCTTATGACTCTCCTACAGCATGATGATCAAGAGACTGCTCCCGAATTGCGCGGCCTGGCAAAGTTGATCACCAGGCTGCATCAACAGTGGCCAAACGATATCGGGCTTTTTGCGGTCTTCTTCATGAACCATGTCACCCTGACACCTGGCGAAGCTCTATTCGTGCAACCCAACGAGCTGCATGCATATTTGAGCGGTGGTACGTTCCCCACTTGTTGTTTGGTACATCTTAAAGCTGTCCTTCTGACGTGTGCCCCCAGATGTCGTCGAATGCATGGCGTCCTCGGCCAATGTGGTCCGCGGTGGACTCACCAAGAAAAAGAAAGACATTGAGACGCTAGTCTCAATGCTATCATATTCTTATCGTCCCCCTACTACACCGAAGATATGTCCACTGAATCCATACGTGCTCTCTGCCAAGGAAACAGCAATTTCAGTGTTATATGAGTCGCCAGCGGAGGAATTCGACATTGTCAAGACAGAGCTGTCTTCTCCCGACGCGGAAGTCCATTTTGGGCCGATACAAGGACCAAGTATGATGATCTGTCTGCAAGGAGGCGGAGAAATTGCTGCAGGATGCCGTGAAGACAAGATTGAGACAGGTTCGATTTGGTTCATCAGCGCCGGGAATATTGTGTCTTTAAAAAACAGAAAGCCTGGGAACTTGACCGTATTCCAAGCGCTGTGTGACTCCCAAGGGACAGGAAAGGAAGTGGCTGCCGTCTAGGGCTAGTAAGACATATATGAAGAAATTAGTCACCAGGGAGATGCGTCAGTAAGCACAAGGACAATAGAAATGCACATAACTGGAGGAAGCGGCTAGCTACACTCCAGCCACCACAGGTCATTTTTGAAAGGTCAGGCTACATAGATAGCGATCATAAACCCAGATTTATCTTGCCTTCTGGCCCATCTCAACCAAAGTCCACGCGCATTCGAACCCATCCTTTACTAACAATCTTTACATTTCCTCCCAAGACCTTCTCAGCATGATCGTTGTCACTGGTGGTGCGGGGTTCGTCGGCTCCAACATCGTGAAAGCGCTGAACAAGCGAAATCGACATGACATTGTTGTCGTGGACGACATGAGCGATGGATCCAAGTTTGTCAACTTGGTCGACTGCGACATTGCCGACTATCTCGACGTGGATGACTTTCGCAAGGCCATCCGTGATGACACACTACCCTTTCGCCCGACGGTCATCTTTCACAATGGCGCTTGCTCCTCCACCACGGAGATGAACGGCAAATACATGCTCGATGTCAACTTCACCACGTCCAAGGAAATATCCCAGTACTGTCAGAGGAACAAGACAAGATTCATCTATGCCTCTTCCGCTGCTGTGTACGGGAGTAGCCATTCTCCCGCCGCGGGGGAGAAAACTCCCCAAACGCGCCCTCTCAACGTATACGGCTATTCCAAGATGCTCTTTGACCAATACGTGGTGAGCCATCTAGTCGATAGGGGCTTGCAAGTGGTCGGCCTCCGCTACTTTAATGTATACGGTCCGCAGGAGCAGCACAAGGGAGCCATGGCTAGTATCGTGTACCAGATGTACAAACAGCTTCAGGAAACAGGTGCGATTACATTGTTTGGCGAGTACGATGGCTATCAACCCGGCATGCAGCAACGGGACTTCATCCACGTTGACGATGTGGTCAAGGTCAATTTGTACTTCTTCGATCATCCATCCTGTTCCGGGATATTCGACGTCGGGAAAGGGCATGCGGATACCTTTATTGACATGGCAACGGCGGTCCAAAAGATTTGTGGCATGACCGGCAACATCGCTTTCAAACCATTTCCAGAACATCTGAAAGGGCGATATCAGAGTTATACGTGTGCTGACGTTTCACAACTACGGTGCATAGGATTTGGAGATGAGTTCAAGTCAGTCCAAGACGGCGTTCGTGAATATGGACAATGGCTGATGGCCCAGTCGCCATAACGAAATTTCAATTACATGGAGTCCGCGCTTCTGGACCCATAGAATAGTCCATAGATGGTTGCAACAGAGGCGTTCAACTTCACACAAAGTACCGGATACTATCCAGAGGTCCTACCAGACATATACAATGAAGATGGATGCTCCTAGTAATAAAATAATGCCAACGCTGTCTAATTCTGGAAAAGTGAGCAAATTGTGAAGCCACACAACTCGTCATCCCCACGGAACATGTGAAGCACTGATCGCAACATCAATCTATCTGGTAGTTTTCGACATCCGTGCAACACAGGTATCAGGACATTTCTCCAGAGTTGCACAGGGGTTCTCGGAAAAGAGGAACTGTGTCGCCTGTTTCCCAACCAGGGCTTGTCATTTCAACCTGTTCCAGCCACAAGACTACTCGTCTCGTCTTCAGACTTCGCCTCGGGAATTATAGGCGAGACTGGAGATTCTGGATTGGCCTCTCCTGTAGTTGAGGTACGGTAGGCTGGTAGTTTCGGATTCATCTTCCCTGTAGCTGCAATAGGAGTGTTGGGCTTCTGTTGGTTGAGAGTTTTCGCTTTTGGGTCCAGCCTTGCTGCAACGCGGTATGCTTCAATAGACCACCGTATAAAGTCGCAGATGGTGTCCGGAAGGGACTGCAGGGGCTGGAAAAGTCGCAAAATATAGTACACCAACGCCACTAGTCTCCCAAGGGACTGTTGATTTTGTGCACAGGGCACCGACGTCACTGGCAACACCAGTATGAAACCTATCCCTAGAAGGACAAACCAAAAGATTGTCGTAAAGGCTCTGACAAAGCAGACGCATGAGGCAACTCCGATGCGCTTTTTAGCTGCATCACTGATCATTGATCTGGAATGGGATAAAAACTCGGGGCAGACTTCTGCTTGCCGACTTGAGATAGCTTCCCAGAACGTGGCCTCCTCGATTCGCGTGAAGTCCGGAAGTAGCAGCAAAATGCGAAGGCGACAGAAAGAAACATGGCGACAGAAATATATAAGAATACTGACCGTCAATGCAAAATCAGATGCGGTTGTCGTGCTTGAAACATAGCACATCACTATGCATGCCACAAGCAAGTCAAAGATGACAGGGAGAATGTGGAAGAGGAATGTTCTGACGGCATTACTGACGGCCAGCCCTTGGCTTTCCAAGTCCCCAAATTTGCAGCGGTCTAGCTCTTCATGGATCTCTTTAGGTAGTTCCATGACATGGTCGAAGAGAGAGGTCACGGTATTGAGGTAGTATGATTGTTCGAGCAATGACCATGAGCATTCCTGAAGCAAGGGTATGACACTTGAGTCGAGAAGCCATAGAAGACCAAGAAAAAAGAGATCCTTGTATGGGACAACTTCTGTACAGCTGTTAGTTAGAACTGGTCGCATTGTACGTTCAATTCGAAGAGCCCAAAGTATGAAGAATAATCGCACATACCCGAGTGTCGAGCGTCCACAACGCGCCCTACTTGGAAAGGGACTAGGATAGCCAGAGCACGTTCCACAATCAGGAAGAAACCGATCCCGGCCCATATGAATTTGTTCGAGCGGATGTTCGGGTGGGAAGAAGAGGTGGGAAAGAACCGCATTAGCGGCTGCAAGTTAGTTAGCGACAGCAAGTGAAAGATCAATCGTGGGAAGATCACCTCAGTCAATTCGGCCCTCCAGTTTATAAGTCGCTCTTCCGATTCCCCATTCCGACTATCCTCCAATCCTGAAGAGTCTATACAGTACGGGTCTTCGTGGATCTTAGAATGCAATTTTGTATGCATTCATCGACTTTTCTGAGTTGCGGGTCTGGTTCTTGAAGGCGAATGTGCTTGGGATTTTGCACCCGAGATATGACCGCGAGAATGAAGAGGAACAACAACAAGCTCACACGAATTGCCCAGCTGGTTACTAGAACAGGAGACAGTTTATCTGGTGGTTCATTTTGCGGATTTGATACGAAAAGGAAGATCTCAGCCAGGAGATATGGTGCTGCATATCCCGAGAAAGAGAAGCACGAAGACATCTCACTGAAGAAACAGTGCGATGCCAGCAGCCATGCATTTGCCGAGCTAAGACTGTAGTCCTAGTTCGCGGCAGTCAGTTAGTTCTGGTTGAGTTGTAGGCAGGAAAGGGGCTGTCATACATAGGTATAGGAAGTAATTGTGGCGCCATAGTTAACCGGAATAGTACTGTCAATCCACTATGCAATTGTTACAACCATCAGATCAACCAAAGATATCCAGGTGTAGCATACAAACGTAGCGGTGATTCCGACTCCACACACAAGGGTCAGCATCCGAAAGATCTTCGATTCGTTCTGGCGATATCCAAGGACGCTTCTGACCAGGACTTTTGCTATGATTGTCAGACTTGCTACCGCCGGGAGAACAGGATATATCAGGTTGAGGATCATCGCGGGATAAAAGAACAATGTCGATGGTGTAGAGGGAGATGAAGTTGAGAGAGAAGTTCAAGAGAAAGAGTGAGAGGAAGTGAGTGAAAGTTGATGAGAGAGAGTAGTCACAGAAAGAGGGAGCTGAAATGGAAGGAAGTTGAAGAGATGAAGGCAGAAAATCAGGAAGACGCGAAGAGCACCTAAAGTAGTAGGTAGGTAGCAGCCTGTTTCGTCATGTAGCAACGATATTGACATATTCCAAAGTCAACCGGTGTTCTAACTCTATATAACTTTTCTAGCATCATAAGAAAACAGTCATCATCACGACTTTCTCCCCAGGTCAAGATCAGCAACCAGCTTCAACAAATCGGTTCCATCCACCGCGGTATCTCCCAGCCCGAAGAACGGCTTGACAGCAACATCCACCGTTTCCTCGAAGAGACGACCCACGACCAGATCTTTGAGCGCCTCTCCTGTTTGGCCAAAGTCGGGGTATGCGTTCATCTCGAGTAGCCAGGGAGTCCCCTCTTTGTCGACCAAGAAGTCGACGCCGAACAATTCGAACGCATTGGGAAGCGTCTGGAAATGGACCATCATTCCGCGCGAGGCAGCCTCGAAAATCTCTCCAGTGACAGCACAGATCTGGTCAAAGACTTTCTCTTTCCAATCGGGAGAGAGCCCTGGTACATGGGGATCAAGCTGCCAAAACTGCCGAACACTGCCTTCGTTGGTACTTCCTCCTTCCTGGAAGCAGGTATTTGTCAAGTGTCGCGCGAGGTCTTTCACCTCGTCTTCTTCCTCCCATGGGGGACAGTACGGCTTGGCAGCAAAGAGGGCCAACATCTCCTTGAAGACGTAGACTTTCAGGGAGCCAACAGCTAGAACGTAGGTCCGAATGTGGAATTTCCTGTTCGACGAAGACGGCAGAAGGAGAGGAGGATCGATGTAAGGTTGAGCGATGAAATGGCGTAGCTGAGAGGTGATTACCCCCTGCCCATCGCTGGCTTCATCGTCTTTCTCGGGCTTCTCGGATCCGCTCTCATCATCCGACTCATCTTCTTCCCACTCTTCGAAGATTTCTCGCAGTTGATCTTCGCTGTTAAAAAGACGGATGCCCTGGCCTCGATCACTCATTCCTGGTTTTAGGATCCACCATTCCTTTTCAGACTCCGGTCTATCCTCGTTCTTCTCTAGGCTCTCACGCAATTCGTAGGCCTCTAATAATGCATCATCAAGGAATTCGGCGTAGTCGAGTTCGAAATCAAAGGCAAACTTGAAGTGCTTGCTGAGAATGCTGTCCGGATGTTTTGTGACCCATGTTGAAACCGTGTTAGACAAGTAGTGTTTGCGAATCAATGCCTTGCGAATGATATAGGCATTTGTGAGAGACGATGATGAGTTCATCATGGCATGTTCAAAGTCAATTCGTTCGTATTCGCGATATTGGAAGATCGGCGTAGAGGACGAAGGTAGATCCGCCAGGGACGATATCGTCTTATGACGACCACCTAGTCGGCGTTGCAGTGCTTGCTCCATCAGTCTCTGGACATATGGGTCATCACTGTCCACAATAGAATATAGACTTGGTTCGTCATTGTCCGAGCTACATAGGATATCTATCAGAACCCGATTTCCGGAAAACCTTGACCAGGGAGAAAACAGAGAGATCAAACAGGGGGATGGGGCAGAGTGAACCAGCTAGCTAGTATATCCAAGCATATCTATGGTCTAGCGCTTCGAACTGAACTCAAGTCTGCCACCGGAATTCCCACTCACAGCGTAATCTCCCCTTGGATATCGGGATTGTGCATGAAGTTGGCCCTCATAGGTGTGACACTGTGTCGTGTTAGCGAACTACAAGGGCGGCGTATAAGCATGCACAAACTGACCTTGACATTCCTTCCTTGACAGCCCAGCCATCATTGCCCGGTTGACTCCTCTCGACACTGTTGTACACATCGGAGAAATTCGGGGACCATAGGAAGTGTTTGTGCTGAATGCGATTCTTGTTGACGGGCGCATTGGGAGTCGAATCCACCTGCGTTTTCGGATCTTGGGCTCGCAGCACCTTCTCCCTCGCTGCAGGGTCCACGTCCGACACGGAAGCATCCACGGCCTTGAAGCAGCTACCCGAGGTCCACCGGTTATCCAGCATATTTGTATACAGGACTTTATTCTTGCTCACGCCAGCTTCTAGTGGGACATTCACATTGTAGAGATCGACACCTTCACCCCAGTTTTTGACCAGATACTCGATCAGCCGGACGGAATGGCTAGATGCCTCGGCAATGATGACGGGGTCGTGGTTCCGCGACTTAAAGGCGTATGACAAGGCGATTGACCGTTTTCCACACAGGGCTCCCTCCATAGCAGCCCCAATGGTTCCGCTTGACAGCGCAAACAGGGCCGTTGTATTCCTGCCATAGTTTGGACCCGAGACTACCAAGTCAATGGGGCCCCGGTCCTGGAACAAATGATATAGACCGATTTGGACACAGCTGGCCGGTGTAGAATTGACGAGGACCCATTCATCACCATCCGCATCATCCTCATTGTTGTGGCCTCGAGGGAAAGGGTGAATTGTCCCATCATCCTGATGCAGCGCACCCGGCCGGAAGTAGGAGAGTTCAACAGCGGCGCCGATGAAATGTGCTTTACCGATCCACGATCGCTGCTGGTGGGGCAGAACTACCGAGACGACATGCCCAGCTGACTGTAGCGAATGGATGAGAGAATGGATATACGGCGACGACTCGTTCGACGGAGGGCCGTCGTCGTTGGTGATCTAAGGAGCCGGTGCGATTAGATTTCATTCCGATCGGAAACCAAACCCGCTCTTCGTCGAACACGGACGAGAGGCGGCAAACAATCAGAGACTTACCAGGATATGCATTTTGGAAAGGAGCTGTGCCGCGAAGAGTGAACAGAGGAAGTCGGAGGAGGAGGGGAAATAAATGCGGCAGAAAGAGTGGCGGCCGATTTCCCCGCTATCAAAATGATTTCCATTTGCGGACCCACCAGCATCGGATCAAGTACGGAGTATACTCAGGCCACAAACGTTATGAAAGCACTACACTAGAAGAGACCACCTTAAACAACAGAAGCAGAACGCTGGCTAACAGGGTATCTAGAACACGTCCCATTCTCGTAGATCTCATGGGTCTCGTACACACGCCAGTCCGAGTCGGTCTGTCACTAGTGATCTTCTTCCTCTTCAGCCCGCCGGCTTCTTCGTCGTTGGAGGCCCCGAGCCTCCGCGCTCTCCAGGCCAGTCCCCATGCTAGAATCTCCTGAAGGACTCGCAGCAGGGACTCCCGTAGTGTCGCTATCACTTTCATCATCGGCCTGGTACTCTTCTTCTTTCTTATTCTTGGTTTCCGCTGGGTCGTTAGAGGGCTCCGGGGGCGTTTGTAGAAGCGAGGTTGGCTCAGCAGATTCTTCCTTCTTGATAACGACGTCATCGCGCTCTTCGGGCTTGATTTCAGGATCAGCATGCACCCAAGCGCCTTTGTATATCGAGGCGAAAATCAGCCAAGAGATGCCGGCAGAGGCCATGAACGTGTTCCAAAACAAGAAGCTGAAAATAACGAACGAGGTAATCTTCCAGTTATACATGACCCATCTGTGGCTTTTATTAGCTTCGGCAGGAGGCAGAAACACGGACCAGAGGGAAGTCAAGCCCTACCGTAGGCCAGTAAACCGTGCCCTGAATGCAACCTTCGCGCTGTAAAACTGCATTGTCTGCGAGCTATGAACTTCAAGGCGCAGGCTGTCTGGAACATTGCGCCATCCGCCAGCAAACTCCACACTTTCCATCATATTCACCTGTAGCCGCTCGACTTCTCGTTGCCAGCCTGTTAAATAAAGTGGCATGAATGCGAGCTTGGTAGCAGTATCGACCAACTCCGAGCTGAATGTAAGGATTGCGGGGCGTCGTGACCGCAGAATAGGATGCACCGAAGCATTGCCTTGGATTTGGGGACTCGGTGGAGGGTGAGGGAGGAGAGCCAGGTCGAGCATGAAATTTCCAGTCGCAATATTCGAGGGTGTTCGCGGCAATTCAAGCTCAACGCTCACGTCGTAGGGTTGGCGCGAAATCAGGCCAGGACCCAAGCTCGTCGTACCCCAAGGATGTCCGTCACTATGGATAGCGCAAAAAGCACATTAGCTATTTGTGCCTTATCTGAGCGTGCAGTTCACGTCTCTCCCCGTGCATGTGGGCGTTTGACTAACCCGAATTGCAAATGTACCACGCGCTCCAGCCCAACCTGCGGTATGAATCGGTAGTAGAAGATGCCATAGGCGATTGCGGAGACCAGAATCATTAACGTCGATACCGTCAAGAAGAGGACTATACCCAGATACGTCTTTTGGGCTCTTTTTGAAAAGAAGGGACGGACAAATTCGGCCAGCGCGTTCTGAATAGTCCCCGTCGTTAGCCACCTGACCAACAACATGCGATTGGGGGATGGAGTAGAGCCTGTACCATCGCAGTGGAATAAACAGAGGCTTGAGGATCAGCATCTTCGTCACTTGCATACTCCGGTTCCATCTTGGTGACGGCAATGCGATTATGTGAAAGGTGAGAAGATGGAGACGGGGAAGTTGGAGAGCGCGCGGCGCGTCGACGTCACCCGCTGCTAATCTGTGGACCCACCAGCGCAGGCAGGCATGTGATGGAAGTCAACAACTTACTGTAAGGTAAGGTTATCTGCAAACATTATATTTTATTGTAACGCAGAGGTGTCGTTTCAGTGTCAGAAAACAGAAAAAGGGAGGAAAAGCAAGCCAACCCATGGACCCCCCCGTTTTATACTATCGTTACAAGCCACCCCAATACCATGGCAAATGGCAAACCAACCAACTAGCAAAGAAAAAGCATCCATGTAGCTAAAAAAGAATCATGCGGACATCCTCGTATGCATATCCCTCCCAGAAACCCGACCGAGAAAATAAAGACTAGAGTAACAGAAATCGGATGGAAAGCGAAACCCTTCAAATCATACACCTTGGAAAAGAAAAGAACAATATCAAGAGGCGCCATAAATGGAGCTACACGTCATGAGCAGCAATTGCAAACACAATGCGAGAATCCATCGTCGCAAAATGCATCACATCGAGGCATGATCAATACTTCATAGCAATAGAAAGGAGACGGTGGGTTTCGGCCCACTTCCGTGCCTAGGCCAATGCTCTAGGACTTTGTTGTTGAATATGCTGCAGGAGGGCATCGAAAAGACGACCAATCTGGAAAACAAAAATTAGGATTAGCTATCTCAATAGATGGAGATCGGTGGAACTTACCTCAGGCGCAGCCTGAATGAAGGGGAGGCGGAAGAAGGTATAGCTCCGGTTCTGGAGCAGTTCCTGCAGAGTGATGATCAATCCCCAGGGATGAGGACGGTGGACGATGAGCCGTTCAAGGAGAACCCTGATGATCTGCTGTCTGATGTCGGACTCGTCCTGTTCCGAATAGTCCGCCCCAAACAACCGGAGAATTGCGAAGCTGAAAAAGTATGTATGGCTGTTGGGGTATCGGAGCTGGTTCGCCATTGCGCTCAGTAGGTAGTAACGAGCCTCAGGGCGCAACGCCTTAGCTAGCGTCTCCAAGAACGCGGAATTCGGCGAATTGTCGAAGGCGGCGCGGATGTTTCCCTTGGAAGCATTGGCGGAGACGGCGCCTTGTCCAACATAGAGAACCAGAGCATTCAGCAGGACAACGTTCACGTTGATAGGAGTATAAAAGAGCCCGGTTTCTTTCGTCTGGGGATTGTACACAGCATCACAGATCTGCTGGAGAGCGGGCTCAGACAAGCTGCTCTGAAGTGCACTGTCAACCACACTCTTGATGTTGGCACGCTGCAAGGGAGCGGCAATGTCACCCGCGATTCTCGGGGCTTCCCGCATCTCCTCTAAGCGTTCCACCTTGAGACCTTCCCGGAAAGGGTCGGGTAGTTTGTGGAACGACGACGGGTAAGCGCTCAAGACAAGGTTGCGAAGCTGAGCACAGTGGGCTGGGATGACGTTGCAGAATTGGAAATGGTTCTCCGCCACGAATTCAGGGAAATCGTGGTGCAGAATGAGCAGGATGCGAAGAACACCCTTGTACAGATCCTTCGCAACATAGGAGATATTGGCAGGCTTCAGCTGCTCCCCGATGTAAGCCAGTAGGGCTTGCATGATTTCACAATATGGCCCCCAGCCGGTTCGCTCCGGCATGTTAAGCATCCCAGACATGAAGAACCTGTGCGAGACCAACGAAAGCCATCCGTACACGAACCCTGGGATGTACTTCGGTTGCAGAGACAGGAATTTGTTGGCAAGAGCGAACATCATGTCCTGGTGTTGTTCGGTGTGCTGGAGTCCATTGATGGAGTATTCGCAGAGTATGCTCGAAAAAAGCCGGAAGAACACCCGCTGGTTGAATGTCTCACCTCTCATAACGTGATGATGGTTCAGCACAAGGACAAGCAACGACAGGATCGAGTTGAAGTAATCAGACTTGCTAGTCTTCGCGGCTCCCGCGCTTTCATCCTGGAACTTGACAAGCAGGATGACTAGCTTGGCGAGCGCATCGATGTAGAGGAATGCCTCATCCAGGCTACCGCTGGGGTTCTGCGACTCATGCTCAAAGATCGCGACGGAAATGTCGATGCTCAGGCGGAAGAAGAGGGCTGAGTCTTCCTGGTTGTCCATAACCTGCCGCTGGTGCAAGTCCTTCAGGAAGGAGTGATAGGTGCGATCAATTGCTCCAGGCGCCTTATAAATACCAACCCATTCGCTGAAAATATACTCCATCTGGTCCCGTTTGGATCTGGCCTTGTCACTGAGGAGGGGGTTAACCACTTCCGGAATCCCAGACTCGCGCAACTTGCGGATAATTTCGTTGGCAGTAGAAACATTGGAATCTTCCGCCAACCATTGGCTCATTGCTTCAAGACTGCCGGAGAAATCTGATCTCAGGGCCGATGGCTCTTCGTTGAAGAGGACTCGGTCCATGAGATTGGCGAGCACATCCAGCGCAGCGGTGTTCTTCTGGAGGATGAGTCTCGTCAATATCATATCAACGCGGCGGATATCCATGAGACCAGCGTCGATGAGGGCGACAGTCACTGGAACGTTGAACATGTGCTCGTCATCAACCTCCGACAGAACCGCCCAGGCATACCGCGCGACCAGAGAAGACATGTCACACAATTTGGCGAGAAGGTGTACCAGCACTTCAATCTCTAGGGTCCCCTGGGTTTGCGAATAGAGGATGCTGCATATCTTCAAGGACATCAGCCTGGCCAACTCTTCGCCATTTGGCGAGGCGAGGATAGCACGCAAAACTTGGTTGTACTCCTGCAACACATTGCTATCCCTGCCGAGTTCTTTGACGCGCTCCTCCGGTGCATTTCGTGCCGCCTGTTGGAGCTCAGAGACTAAGGTTTCAACCTTTTCACGGGGATTCTGTGCCTCGAGGAATCCGTTCAGCTGAGACTGAGCCCCAACAAGTCCCGACTGTTGCAAACGAGCTTCCTGCTGTGCTTGCGGCGTCCTGTGGGGAACAGCAGGTTGCTCTGCAGGTGTGGAAAGGTTGGGAATTGCGGGATAAGATTCTTGAAGGACATCTGGAAGCTGCCGACCAGAGTCGGTAGACACGTTTTGGACGTGAGCCGTGCTTGGTCCCCGAGACTGGCGTGCGAACTCTTCATAAATAGCCAGCTGTTCCTTGTTCAGGCCACCCGGGGCTTGACGGTAAGGCTCGGGAATGAAAAGACCCCAGCGGTTCATAGAAGGATCGATGAACGGTTCATTGGGACGAGCAGCACGATGACGTCGGCGAGCCTCTAATTGAGGCTCGATGACTTTCTCGATTTCGGGGAGAGATTTTTCTTCTGCTGCTTTCTCGACAATGCCGCAGGCAGCATCCAGGTTATCATTGACACACATCAAAATGAGTCCCTCAGGCATAGGCTGGTCTGAGTAGTCCTGTTGAATCATCCGAATATAATTGGTCATGCTGACTTTGAGGGGCTCCTTGCAGGTGACAAGAGCCAGGCTGCCAGCAAGTTGGCGCACCATGATGCCGGCCGCATGACGGACCTTCTCCTCGTCGGGCTCCATAGCGAAATCCTTCGACACCAGTTGGACGGTGGAGATGGAAGCGATAGTTACGGACCGTTCCACAACAGGAGTTATGATCTCCGCGATAGCCCTTTCCACGGCACTGTGCACGATTTGTCTAAGAACATTAGGGTCAACCATGCTACTCGCCGAGGATGGCAGGACGAGGATCTTGTCGAGGCTTGGGAGAGTCGACATGATGGCGGCGGGAGACATTCTCTCATGTCGAATGCCCTGGTTGATGCCTGTGAGAGTCATATCTTCAAACGCTTCGAGTCCATCTGGGATATTCGCCGTCGATAGAGCATCTTCAATGTGCGCGGACCGGTCGCGAATAATAACAGAAGGTTCGATCGTTTTGTGATCAAGGTCAAGGTCTTTGCAGAGGACTTCTATTTCGAACTTGAGATTCAACTTCAACTCCGCAAAGTGATAGAGCTCCATCAAGAGGGCAAGGATATCCATGAGCCATGGATTGGGCGGTTTGAAAACGGTAGACTTGTGAGCTTGCACTAGCACCTTACAGGTGAATGGGATCACAATCGTCAGCCGCTGGCTATCAAACCCTTCCAAAAGAAGCCCCTTGAAGTACACATTCTTATGTTTGATAGGCTTGTCCTTGGCTATGGTCAATGACCCGAGCCATGCCCCGAGATTCTTCAGATGGCCACGATCGGTTGACGAGTTCAGTGTATTCTCGGAATTGAGCAATTTGGACACACTGGCGTACGTCTCGCGAAGAACTTCGGACCACAGCATCTTATCATTGATACGGTCAAGGAGATCGAGGTACAGCTGCTGGAAGTTGGGTTGCAGCTTTGCACGTTCTTCGACCAGGTAGGAAGCAAACCATTGGTGATGCTGATCGCGTAGAACATCAGTGAGGTCTTGTAATTTCTCCTCGATGTTTTGTTCTGAAACGTTGTTCAACACGAAAAGAATCTTGTCTTGCACCTCCTCATCGGGGTCATGGTAAACTTCAGGTCGGAGTGGCGGGTCAACGTGGATCGAGATAAACTTGCGACCTGATCCATCCGTGGCGGCGGTCTCGTCCGCACTTCCATTGGCCGTAGTTATCCCGGGAGTATTGTCGGCTCTCGCTGCCTCCGAGTCTCTGACTTGACCACCTTGCTCATGTAGCACCTCTTCGGCCTTCTGGAAGATCGGGGTCCCTTGTAAGGTGGGAATCTGTAGGAGAAGATGGCAGAAGCCAGCCCATTCGGGAAGGCGGCTCATTAACTGTTCGATTGCCTCAACTCCGAACTTGAACATAGGGTCATGCATTTCATGCTCCCGCACTGCTTCCAGAATCATTCCAAGGCCGACCTTTAACGTAATACCATCGACCAGCCTATAGTTGATGATACCACCAAACATGACAGCTGTTTTCGTCAAGGCCTCCAGGGGGTATTCGTTGTAACAGTGGTACTCGTCGATCAGGCCATGGACCATGCAAGCGAAGAGATCTTGCTCGGCAGGCTCGCGTGAGGATTTGTACCGGCGCATCAGCTCCAAAATTTCTCTCAAGGACAGCTCCTCGTGGTACATCTTGCCGAACAAGTCCTGCATTTGTTTGTCGACGGCCTCGGGAAGGGCGTTGCCATTTTCGCCGTTTGCATCGATAATGTCATCGAAGCCCTCCCCGTAATTGATCAAGCGAGGATACGTCTGGATGCAAATTCGTTGCACCGGTGTAAGATTTTCACGGTCTCCGACGTACTCCTCGAGCACCGAGAGCAAGGTATAGACGGTCTTCACGGAAAGGCTGACCATCTGAGGAGCAGGTTGTTCCCTTCTCTGAACGTGGAGTTCATCTTCCGCTTTGATCCTCAAGAACCGGGACAACAGGCTGCCCATGTCCATAGGGCCTTTCTGGGCAGCGTTGCGAACCCACTGTTCCAGGTCAAAAGGCTTCTTGCGGTGAGCGTAACAGGCAAGATCCATAGCCAGGCCATTTGTGTAGCCAAGGAGATAGTCGAGCCAGTTGTACTCCACGGCGTGCTCGTAAATGGCAGCAGTTGAGGTCGGATCCTGCGTGAATGTGGTGAACAATTGTTCTGCTACCCATTGCCGATCTTGATGCCATGCGCCGTGGAGTGCAAGCTGATAGCCTTCCTCCTGCTTCAATATGAATACAATGAGCGTTCGCAGAGCAAAGCTCTGCTGGACGTTTGTCCACGGCTGAGGAAGAGCTAGTGCGGAACATAGGAAGACTGGAAGATCATGCTGTACGACCGTCTTAATAAGCATTTGGCTTTCCGTTGCAGCCCAGGCGGCTTGGGAGAAGAGCGCCAGATCAAAGATAGCTCTCATGGCATCCAACGACCGAAGAGGCGACTTTGTTGCGCGCTCCCCTTGAAGGCGAACAAGTTCGGGGCCTTCCGCAAAGAAGTCGGGGGGAAATGTTGCGCGGAGATTGGGGATTTGGGATACGTCGGTCCTGGAGCCAATGAAAGCCGTCAAGAACGACAACTGGGTATCACGATGTTCCCAGTCTCCACCCCAAAGCTTCTGAACATCGAGGGTCGAATCTTCGGCGGCAGCTGCTAGCAAAACAGAATACAACTTGGCGAATTGTCGTGCATCGATCCTGAGGCCCTCGCGGTCAAAATTACGGAAGATAAGAGGCCAGTTGAGCTGCTTTTCTCCGTAATGAGACTTCACGGCGGCCAAGTAAGTCTCCAAAGAGAAATCCCGCCAGTACTGAGCCAGGACGAGAAAGAGCAACGCACTCGCGATATGTTCTTCGCTCCAGCAATCCGATCCGGCTGCGGCGACCACTTCTTTCACCGCATCGACGCTCGACGTGGCCTTCGGTCCCTTTGAATGGAATTGGCGCACCAAAGTGTACCTCGGGTTGACAAAATTGAACATTTGCAGAGCGGACGCCACCTCAAATGGCATATCCACTCCCAGTTTCTGGTAGCGCAAATTGGTCGCATACACCAGCTTGGATTTCACATCGTCGGTGAAATTGCGGGGGGGGTACAGAATGAAGCGTTCAATCACGAAGCCAACGAACGCGTTCATATATTCCTTGGTCACATCGGTTGGGTTCGCGAGACTCTGGAGGAAGGGATTGATGGAGTTGGAAAGGATGGCGTCGGCTAAGGCACAAATGGTCAGACGCCGGGAAACCGTGAGCTGAGCGTCGAAGAGACTTACCTTTAGCACGAAGATCCGACTTCGTTGCAGTTTTGAAGGCCAAAGCAAGGGCAACTTTCACAAGGGGGTCGAGTTTGAAGTGATCGAGGAATGTGGAAAGATCGAAGTCGCGAAAGATGTCGCCCTCCGAGGTATCAACGGACTCCGCAATCTTCTGTGCTTGTTCTATATCTTGAGACACTTTCTGCATCTCTTGAACGAGGAGAGGGTAGTTTCCCGCATTTTCAACCGATCTGTTGAGGCCCGGGAAGATCTGAGGGGCGTTGCCCGTTAAAAGACGTCGGAAATATTTGGAAAAGACCTCCATGCCGTTCGAGGTGACGAGCTGTGGAGCATTACACGTTAGGGATGTCAGAGTCTCACGGATATCATGAGCTACTTGCCTTATGGATCTGCGCTGCTTTTGTCTCCCACTTTTCTCGGCCTTCTTTTTCGGTAATTGAATCGAGGAGAAGGAACACTTGGGCGATGGATATTTTCGCCAGTGATGACTGACTGGAGTGAGCTGCAGCTCCGGACGATGCTGAGCCGGGCTTATCAGAAGGGAAGCCCGTGGGGGAATTCACGGTTGTTCCTGACAACAATGGAGAGAAGGTGGCGCCTCTGGAAGATCCCGTCCCGCCTCCGCCTCCCCCGGAACCTCCACCGCCCACGATAGAACCTGAAGCGGAAGCCAGGTGTGACCCTGAGGACGGGGTGTGTGCTCTGAACTTCGGAGAAGACAGAGACTGTCCGGATTGCTGGTGCTGTTGCGAGCCAGATTGGAAAGAGGTGAAAGGCGAGGGTGTCGAGGCCGGCGAGGGTGCGTTCCGGCCCGGGTGGCCCCTCGCGGAACTCAGAACAGCGGAGAAGGAGGAGGTCAGGGGAGAGGAAGAGGCACCGCCAGGACCAGGACTATTGGACTGGGGTACACCGCGAGAAGACGCAGAGGGGAGCGATGACGAAGCGAGGTTGTTGGTCGCAAGCGGCGTCAGTCCACGGCGGGCAAAGGACTGGGACACGGACGGACCCCAAGCAGATTGCTGTGACCTTCCAGGCCTGGTCGAGGAAGACTTATCGGTGCCAGAAGCAATCGACGATTGGGAGGAAGGGTGAGGGGGAGGGAAGGTCATCTAGGAGACGCGATCATTTGATCTGAAGGCGAGCGACAAAAATTTTGTGCGTGATGACGAGGAACTGAAGGGATAAGGTTGATGATGATGAGTTGAGTAATGAGAAGCTTGCAAGGTGAAGCTGGGCGTGGAAGCGTCGACGTCGATGGCGATGAGAAAGGGTTGGCTTTCGTGGCACAGAATGGGAGTTCCGATGGGGGGTTGAGTTTAGTGAGAGAGCGAAGTCGAGGTGAGGTGTGGACGGGAAGGTAAGGTGGAGAGCCAGAGGCTGACACTAAACCACTCGTAGTAGCTTAGGGAACCTCAGGCCAGGAAGTATTTGGCTCCCCTTGATACGTGGCAGGGGTACACGCTGAAGGAGGAAACCCTGCAGGACGAAGAATGACCTATCGCTAGGTAGAATGATGAGGTCAATCCTTCTGTCTCCGGAGTTGCGCATCTGATTCCCAACGGAGTCCATCGCAATCGTGTCGTCTCGATCTCCCCGGAATTGCATCGAGTAGTGGCACGTGATGCTCACATGACACCCGTCGGATACCTAATATGGTAGTCACGTGGTTTATTATGAACACAACCTTCAACCTTCGAACAAGTACTCCGTGGGATTTAAATAACATCTAACAAGTACCGTGTAAGAGGATTGGGATGCTGTATATTGCAGTAGCTTTATCTCCATCTTATAGTTAGCATGGTATTGCCAATCAATTCTGTCGTTTTGCCACCATTTAAATATTCTAATCAATGTGGAGAAAGGGATATTCCTGTCTCTTTGATACAAGCACCTGAAGTGCCTTCATTGACTACCTCCTAATAGTGTTTACTACTCTAGCCAGTGATAAATCTACGGGGTTATATAAGAATATAAGTACGTATGTATACTACGGATGGACACCATGCAAGCGGCTGTAGAGAGGTCTAGGGCGAATAAATACGGGAAGGGCTTTTGTACGAGCTTTTCTAAAATTGCAGTCACAAAACTACACTGGATCATGACAGTGAGAATCATTCTCCGAATTGTGAAAAATCATGTCAAGAGGAATGCAATTCAATTCGAGCTGAGAGTGATGCATTCAGGAACGTGATTGGCGCCCATGGTTGGCGCCGTACTGGGAGACGGCGGTCCCGGTTGCCCCGAGAAACGTGGAGTGGTAAACATCCACACCACCTCGATCAGGTCTCGTCGATCACGCTCCACCAGATCATCGATTTATTTTTCCATCTAACGGATCCGTGGTCATCTTTCTCGTGCTTCCTCTCTTCGATAATCCTGGGGATACTCGATCGTGGTCGTTGTCGTCGTGGGTTCTTATTCCTAGACGTTGCCGCGGCTTCTTACATTCCCCCCCTTCTATTACCATCTCTCGTTAAGAACTTGTTATTTTCTCATTTGCTTCCTTCTCCTCCTCCTTGACGCAGTGTTTCAATGAGCTGAGGCTGGCCAACGCTCGATACAAACAAGTCATTATAATCTCCAAAGATGCCGGGTACCGTTGCAGATGGACCGACAGTGTCCATGTCGTGTATGCATCTCCTCCCACGCAACGTGGAAACACACGAGTCACTAACGGCTGTCACTATTTACTAGTTGCCAATAATTTCTGGGGAAAAGATGATGCGGGTTTTTTCCCCATGCTTGAACGCATGCATGGTGCCAAAGTATCCTGCGACGAACTAAAGACCTTCTACAACAGTGAGTTCTACACACACCCACCGCCGTCTTTCTCTCCTCCCACTAACGTGGAGAATAGTCCGCGCTGCCATTGAAGAAGAATATGCCCGCAAGCTTCTCGCGCTTTGCCGAAAGCCCCTCGGGTCCACCGAAATCGGTTCTCTACGATCGTCCTTTGACGTTGTCCGCGGCGAAACAGAGGCCATTGCGAAGGCTCATGCCGCCATTGCAGGTCAGATGAAGAGAGAGCTCGAAGAGCCCTTGATTGCATTTGCAGGCGGATCCAAAGAACGCAGAAAGATCATACAGAGCGGTATCGAGCGTCTACACAAAACTAAGGTCCAACAGACCCAGACGGTAAATAAAGTAAGCTAGAAGTTGGAACCGACATCCATAGCTGTGGCTAATATGGGACAGACGCGAGACCGATATGAGCAAGACTGCCTGAGAATTAAAGGTTATCTCGCCCAAGGACACATGGTCATGGGGCAGGAAGAGCGGAAAAACAAAGCCAAGTTGGAGAAAACACAGATCCAGCTTGCGTCAAGCAGCAATGAATACGAAGCTGCCGTGAAAGTCCTCGAAGAAACCACGGGACGCTGGAACAAGGAATGGAAGGCTGCTTGTGATGTACGACATCACCCATCCATACCTGGCATGATCTAAACTGACCGTCCACAGAAATTCCAAGATCTTGAGGAGGAACGGATCGACTTCACAAAGAGCAGTCTGTGGACTTATGCGAATATTGCCTCCACCGTCTGTGTCAGCGACGATGCTGTATGAGGTTTCCCTTCCTATATCCGATCCTACCGCTGACATGTGGATAGTCCTGCGAGAAAATCCGCCTCTCACTCGAGAATTGCGAGGTCGAGAAGGATATTGTTTACTTTATTAAAGAAAGGGGAACAGGGCAAGATATACCTGATCCTCCTAAGTTCATCAACTTCTGCCGTGGAGATGTCAACGACACAAGTTCTGAGATGTCCGAAGATGACGGCTATTCCGTGGCCCAATTCCAGCGTACGATCAACCCAGCGTTCCGAAGCTCCTCTCCCCAGCCGTCTACATACGAATCGCATCATGACCCACAGTCCGATCTCGCGGCGCAGATGGGACATCCCCCAGGACCAACGACTCCCGCAGGCAGAGAGACTACCGTCACTCCCCAGAAGCCAACTCCGACACAGCAAGCTCCGATCCAACAGCCCCCGACCCAACAGCCTGCGCCGCTGGATCTTCGAAGAGGAGGACACCTCCCACCGAACTATGACCCTGAACAACACGGAGAGATCGGACCAGTGCCCCATAATGCGTACCCCACGGATGGTATGACCATGTTCTGCAGGGCTGGGCCACCTTCCGAAAGAAGTTCCGTGACGAACAGTTACCGCCCGTCTAGTCGCGACTCTCAGAGTGAGGTCTCCAATCCAACGTCCATGTCCAGCCAGGAACCCCCAAGTGCCAAGCAGTCGCCCACGAAGCCAACCAATGGTGTAGCACTCCCCGGCATCAGCAATGAGAAACAGGTACAAAAGAAGAGGAGTGCATTTTTTAGCAACAGTCCCTTCCGCCGCAAGAGCCGTCACGACAAGGACCGACAGTCGGTCTCTCAGATCGCCTCTCGCAGTACGTGGGACTCTCCGAAGCAGCAGAGCCCAGTGAAAGCACCCAAGGCTCAACCACCAGCGCCTGCGGCTCCTGTTAATAATCGCCCGTCTCCTAGCCCTGAGCCTGTTGACCCTCGGGCAAACTTCCAGCTCAACGTTGGCAATAACGTATTCGACGTGGAGTCCCCGGATAAGAATGCCGCCAAGAAGGAACCCCAACCCCCGAAAGGCACAGAAGAGAATCTTGACCCCATAGCCCGTGCCCTCGCAGACCTGAAAGTCGCGGGAAAACAGCCCAGTACTCGCGTTTCCGCCGACCGCTATCACGGCATTGCTACACCCATCCCCTCAGCCCCCGGGTCCACCTACAGCAGTGCGTCCGTGGCAACTCCTCCGCCTTCGTATAACGATTCATCGGTGAAACGACTGGATGCGCCACAGCCTGCATTCACATCTGCCCAGATGCAGAAGACGACGCAAAAGTACACCGGCCAGACTCAGAATGTACTGAGAGGCGCTGGCAATTCCCCAAGTCTCGGCGCTCGGACTAGTGCGCAGCCTCAAGAAACGCCTCGTGCCAAGTCGCCAGCCCCGAGACGAAGCGCAAGTCCCCAGGTCAGTCCCCGCGTCGACACTCGTGCGGGCCAGTATAGTCGGGCCGCTAGCCCGGCCCCTAGCACGTACCAGGCTAGCAGTATGAAGAACCGTTACAGCCAGTCGCCGACTGTCTCTACACCCCCACAACGGCCCAGCGACGCTCCATACTCGCCCCATGACTATAAGAGAGCCTCCCCCAGTACTATGGGAAGGACTGCCTCTCCCCAGCCCCAGTTCAGACAGCAAGCCCGACCCTCCAGCGCTGGAGGCATGGAGCTACAGCTTTCGAACCCAGCCGACATGTATGGCGGTAGCGATGGATACGGATCTCGTCGCGAGCCGGCAAGACCAATGTCTTACTATGGCGATACTGGAAGCCCACGAAGCAGATCCCGCAGTCGGACCATGGCAGTGGCGGACCCCGGAAGACAATTCAGTCGGGATGGACGCCCCATCTTGCATTTCGGTAAGACGGCACAACACTCCACTGGAGTGATCATTGGGTATTAAGGCTAACAACGAATACAGCTCGCGCCATGTACAGCTACACTGCAGCCATCCCTGAAGAACTTGGTTTTACCAAGGGCGATGTGCTGTCGGTGATTCGACTTCAGGATGACGGTTGGTGGGAAGCCGAAATCACAACGTCCCGCGGAAGAACGGGCTTGGTGCCCAGCAACTACCTGCAAATCATCTAAATAATACTGATCTCATGAACAGCCGAGAATGATTGGGAGAATGACTTTTAATTTACGCGTTCATGATGTAGATACCACTTTCAACGTCTTATGTTTCATTGTTTGCCCCGTTGCCCGCGCTCCTTTATATGTGCAGTTGTTTTGCCAATTTTGATCTTTTTCTCCAAACCTCTCACCTATATTTGGGTCAGGCTTCCTTGTCTTTGGTCGACTCGTCTGCCTTCTATGTTAGTGTGACACTTTGAAGCAATGATTCTGCAATTCACCAATATCAATGCCCAATTCCTTAGTATCGACCATGATAAACAAAACCCCCTTTCCTCGTGCTTGGTCTCCTAATAGAAAGAGAATCCAGATGCTCTAACTCCCTAAAATTCCATATGCATCTACATGAGTTCAACAACAACCTTGTCGGAGCAATCTATCGAGTACCCTAACACCATCCTAATGTGCTCGTCTGAGTCGCCTATATATACCTACAGAGAATACTAGAGAGTGGATAGAGAGTGAGGTGAATGGAAGACCGTGTGCTGGTCCGTCCACTGCCAATCAGAATGCGCAGGAGCTCTCTGACATATAACCGACATTGACACAATTATAACGATGTAGTATGTACTTAACAGAGTCAAGGTAAGGACATGAAAATCCGCTTGAATATTATAAATCATGTGCAGAAAGATTGAGGGTGTCCACTGATTGATAGAAGGCCCATCGCTCAAATATCAGCAGCCCAACAACTCAAAAGAGAAAGGGAAGACATCTAATCCCGTCCAAATCGTCACTGTACAATACTGGAATCCAGGCTCTCCATATCAGAGCGCCCAGCTATCGTCGACGCATAACGTACATGGCAACACCTTACTCATCGTCGACAAAGGAATTCGCCAGACGGCCAAAAATAGGGACTTCAAAGTGGTCAAGAGTGTCAACTGTGTTTCGGTTAGGTGATCGTTCGTGCTGTCATATCAGAGCGTTATAGAATGGTCTTACCATCGCGGTAAGCGTGCATGCTGAGGAAACCGATCATTGCAACATCACAGATGAGCAAAGTCCATGAGATGAAGCTCGAAAACGAGAAGATGAGGTGAATGATCTGTCCGAAGCACGGTGCATTAGCTTAGGCCTCCCGTGCTCCGGCATATGCAAGGCGACTTACAAACATTAGGGTGAAGAGCATGCTCGACTGCCATGCATGGAAGCTACAATACGTCAGCGAGACAGTTTCGACGGTCGTATTCTCTAATCCCATATCTTTCCACATACCGCACGTAATCGCTCTTATGTTCGACCAGGAGAAGAAAGACACCGCCCGCCGGGGGTAGAAGCAGATATGCCAGCATAGCTTCAAAGTCCATCCGAATCGGGAGACTGGTCTCAAAGGCCCCCAGATTCCATCGCCCGCCTTCTACATCTCTTCCAAACCCAGTGTTTCCGTGTCCGCTCGTTGGGACATGGCCGCTGGGGGCAAAGTGGCTAGGGGATGGGAGTCCGTTCGATGCGATCGGGGGCGAAGCACGCGGAGAGCGAAGGTTGGGCGATTTCACGCGATGAGGGTCGCCGAGCGATGGGGAGAAGGCTCGCTCAACTTCGGGCGACTCGTCCTGGTAGGGAGCGAAGTTCATGGTGGGTGTAGGAGGGAATGAGGAGAAGCTTAGGGGAAGCCTTATCGGAGGGAAGCTCCGGTTTGGGGTACGTTTTGAGTTATCGCGGAGGAGTCTTGGCGTTTCTGACCGCATCCCGTACTATGTTGACGCTTCGCCTTCTCGAGTATCATGTTTACATCTAGTACGTCTATGCGAGATTCTGCCATCTTTGCAAGAAACCATGGGGGTATCATATGTCGTATTTGCATTTAATATCATATAGATAGTTTCGTATCATGTACATCAAACATCTGCCACTCTCCTATGTTCGGCCGCGTCCACGCGTCGCCCCGGATCCTCGAGCAATCCCGCTTACCGGTCTCCGAGTTGTCGTGGTGCTAGATCCTCTGGTTGCGGTGGAGGTCGTGGTCCGAGAACTACCACTCGTCCCTGAATAAGAAACACTCGGGGTTCTGCCCAATCCGGTGCTGCGAACGACTCTTCCTCGGGTAGTGCCACGCGTTCCACGGGTACCAGCGACCAGCGCTCTCTTCCGCTCCTGCTCTTCGGCCCTTCGGGCAGCGACTTCCCGCTGTTGTTGAAGTTCTCGTTCGCGCCTCTCGGCAGCCTGTTGCTTAAGGAGCTCTTCGTTCTCCATATCGGCGACATCCTGAACAGCACCTTGCCAGTTGGGGTTCAGGATCAATCGTTGGTTGTGTTCGGTTTGGGATAGAATGCGGGTCCATGTATTGAGCAAAGTAGAAGCAGAATCGACAGTGCGCGAAACATTCTGGTAAGAGGAGGATTGAATGTTAGTGATCCTGAAGTCATTGCATTGTAGAGAGCCTTGTGGAGGTAAAAAAGGCGCGATCGGGGAAGTAACATACGTCCATATTTCCCTTGGCATGGTCCAGACTCGTGAGAAGACTCTCAATTACTTGATTGATATTCCGCACACTCTGCAATTCGTTTCGAAGCGCCGATTCTCGGGCTTCTTGCTGGGTCGAAGAGCGTGTCGGCATCGTGGGAGGACCGAGGAGGGGGCGTGGTGCTGGGTGGATGAGGGGAAGGGTGAGAGTATTTGGGGGCCCGTTGAGAAGGAGAATTCCAGAGATCTTCAGTGTCTCCATCTGACAGCTGGAGACGATCCATCTCCTCTGCAGCCGAGCGGAGCGCCATGCTGCGGATGTATGTGACGTGGTGGTGTGTTTGACTGATGGATGGATAGATGGAAGGATGGATGAACGAATACCAGAGGGAAAAATTGGTGGGGCTGGCGCCTAACTAAATCGGGTGGCTGGTGGTTTCGACGTCAACCCAACCACAACCACCACCCTTCCTCCATTCCTCGTTGTCCACCTCCATCACTCTCCTTTCCTCTCTTCTGTTCCTCCCCATCTTCCTGCACCTCACTGACTGTCAGTCTCTCAACGTCTGTTAATTTCTCTAATATCTCGATTCTCGCTACAAATTAATCTCTCGCGGCCCCGATATACCCCCTCTCGGTGTCTTTCGATCGGCCTTTATTCGCGCCGCGTTTTCCTCCCTTGATTACCTGGAGACCGCACATTGCCCTTTCGCTTCGCACAAATCCACTTCCGAAAGCCACTTACTCCGACCGACTGCGATTCCAGAGAGTTCCAGCGCCGACATCATCCTTTCTAGCTGGAATTCCCTCCCATTCTCCCATTCTCCCATTCTCACATATTTACCGGCATATGCGGCACCCGGCCTGAACATTTACTGTGAAATCCGAATTCCTCGCAACAATGGCGACGACACCACCGCCTCCATCCACTCTGCGAATTCCGCCTACTCCTCGTCATGGAGCTGGCTATGACCAGTATGAACCGTACAGTACTCGGCATTCCACCAGACTAGCCAGTCAACGTGTCTCCAGGGAGTCGAATAGTACACCTCCTCCCAGTTTTCCTCCGTCGCACCTCCGCACAAGCCCAAGAAAGGCGAAGAAACAGGACAATGAGCACGCAACATTGTCGCCCCCTGGATCAGGCCATGCCTCGCCCCGGAAGCAGCCCAACCGGAGTGGACGGCTACTTGCAGCGCATTCCCTGGATGGTACCTCCGGACTGGATGGTTCGGATCCCTTCGTCACCGCAGAGTCGTCTGCCGTGCGTCATGGTCTCCAATCTTTCCGTCCTACGATGACTTCGGGCATGCTTCCAACTCCTGCCAAGACCCCGAGAAAGAAGGCTGTTGGTGACGTCGGTTCTACGGCCCGGACTCTTTTTCCTCCGCCGTCTGGTTCCAGCTCCGGACGCAAGAAGAAGAAATACACGGGCTTTTCTCTGGACAGCTTTAATGACAATGAAGCGCAAGGCGGTTCCGCAATCCAGATCTATACCGATTCTCGCGACCGAATTCCTGAAGTCAGCAAGAGCGAGGAGAATCCGTTTTACGCGAAACCGGAACCCAACGCTTCGACTCGTGCCTCGAAGCGCCGGGTCCAGAGCACGAAGCGAGACAAGGAAGTCGATGAAGCTATTCAGCGGGAAGATGGCATGGTTTATGTTTTGTAAGTTTCCCTAGTCCCTCCCGAAAACATTCTTTTCTAACCTATCTCACAGCCGAGGAAAGAAAATGTTCCGACGGTTCACTGATGCCGTGGAGAGCGATGCGGAAGATGAGGACGCTGATCTCGGCTTGCTGGCAGCCCGTCCCGATTTGCTGGACTCTTCCGTTTTGACCAATGCCCGGCCGTTGACTCGCTCTTCAATCAAACCCCGTGTGCTGTTCCCCAGCGCCAACAAGCGTACACCGGAGCCGCAGGTCAATAACTCCGACGAAGAAGAAGCCGCCACTGATATCGAGGACCACGTGCTTCCCGATGATGTCGCTGAGGAGAGCGAAGATCGGGTTCCCGACGTTGAAATGCAGCAACGGCCTGTCACTCCTCCACAAAACTCTGCTATCGAAACTCCCGCGTCTCCTGGTGCCACAGTACGGTCGCTGCGTCCTCGGACCAAGAGAGACGTCTCGGAACACACGCCCACCGCTTCGGAAGCTAAAAGAAAGCGCATCAGCCCATTTGCGGGCTGGCTGCGGAAGAAAGAGACTCCTGCAGTCACCGGACCCAAAGCCAGAAAAAGAGACGCGGAAGCCGAAGGTAGCCCTGGTGGACCTGCTACGAAGAGAACGAGAGGTAGTCGAGCTGCCGCCTCATCTTGAGTATCGAACATTGCAATCGTACCTCATGTTTTTTTGACCATTGTGTCTTGCATAAAATCGGTCAATCCACATTGCATCATGGAAGCAGGTATTCCTCTTCCTTCGTTTGATACCAGCACTGGAATCTCCGGATCTACAAACGCTTTTCCCTTCTGGTCTCTGTTGTTTCTGGCGTTACGCAAATATCGCACTTCACTTCCTGGATGCCATCTTTCGGTCTTAGGCTTTTAATACCCGACTGGTCTGGGTTGTCATTCGCTCGCCGAGGATCTAATTTCTTTGTCTTGTTCTTGAAACCCAGTCGGGATGGGATGGGAAACGGATAGGTATTTGGTACGGTTCTGGATGGATGGGAGTTCTTTGTCTTTCTGTTCTGGCCCTTTTACATGCATCGATTCCTTCACACAATTAGCTTTAGTTAGGACTAGATATCCAATTGAGATGAATTATGACCTTGACTATTGAAGTATATCATGTGGGAAATATATACGCAGTGCAGTGGTATCCTATTGCATAATTCAATAACACCAGCACGGTCTTTTATCGTGGTTTTACTGCCACAAGTCATAGATATATATTTCCAAAAGAACGAAACAAAGTCAACAACTGAAGTGATATGCTTCAAGTCCAGCGAGAAGCAACGAATGGTATGGAAGAGCCCAAACATGGCAGAAAGCATGCCCGAACAAGCAATACACGTGATGAATACTTGAATAAGAGGTAAGGTATAGGCAAAAGTATGAAACCTGTGCAACTCCAACAATCCCTATGGTACATGAAAGGTCCCCAAGGACGCTAGTATTCGTGACGACATAATGGGTAGTTTTCGTTCTTTAGTCTATGGTCGTGTCCTTTTCTGAATGGCGCGTTGACAAGCGCTTTCCAACAGCGAGTGCCTGGACAGTGTGATGGCCAAGACGAGAAGACGAGGGTCGTGACTGTCCGTGTTCACATTCCAACATCAAGACGGGAAAGAGGCAGAGGCCCTTCGTCCAGCTTCAGATGATATCTAGCTCGTCATCGTCATCGTCGTAGTTGGTGCTCGCCACAGCATCAGACTTCCCCCCGAGACTGTCCCTCCCCGCTTCTTTGATCCCCTTGGCAGTGATGAAGCGGGTCTTCTTCACGCCGCTGCCGTGGGGTTTGTCCCCGTCGTGGACCCGCTTCATCGGCGTTAACTTCACCGTATCGGCTTTGCGGAATCCCATCAGTAGACTGTGGGACGGTGTGTTGGCGGTTTCACTGGAGCCAGCCTTGCTCCTGTCCACGCGCGGCGTCATGTTTTCGGCGCTTCGAGCGCGAAGATAGTCGGCGCCGACACCACCACCGCGGGAAGAAGTGAGTTTCTGGGTGATTTCGCGCTCGCGCTTCTGTTCCGCGAGGCGTCTGCGTGCGCGCTCTTCCTTGCTCTCTGACCCGCGGCCCATCATCCCCGCAGCTATGAAAGGGTCGTCGTTGTCGGCATCCAGAAGACTGGCGGCCGACTGGCCGGTGGGCATATGGTGGAAGGGGGTTCCGCGTGAATTCACGGCGGGAGCGATGTAGAACGTAGACTGCGATCCCTGATCCCACTGGGCGCCCCCTGCGGGTCTGAGCCCGGTCTTGTAGCCTCCGCTCCTCTTGCCTCCGCCGCCGAAGAAGCCGGTTCGGGAGCCTGACCGGCCGCCTGGTGCGTACATTCCCGTGCCGTTGTTGACCCCGGGGCGCTGGGACTGCGTGCGTCGGACTTGAATGTCGACGTGGAAGTCGCAGAACTCCGTCTTCCGAGCATCAACCCATGACTGGCAGGTCTTCCCGTCTTTCCTGACGGCCTTGCAGAACCCGATGTCTTGTGCATAGCCTACTTCAAGGATGGTGTCGTCCGAGGAGTTTAATGAGAGGCTGAACCTGTTCGTGTCTGTTTTGTGTTTTGGGGGTGGGAGGATCGTCGGGTTGAGAATGGCAACCAGGATGCCCTCCGAGATCCGGTAGTATCGAGGGAACGCGGTGTCGAAAAGGAAAAGGTCAATCGTCCATTTGAGGTCAGTCAAAGTGATGGCCATGTATTTGTCCGTGTTGTTCAGCCCATCATCGTAACCGTTTGTCTCCTTGGCGGAGATATTCTTTGTTTCCTTGATCTGTTTGGGCTCTGATTTCGAGGCCACGATACCAAACACCACATAGTCCCCATCGATATCCTCTGGGAGTTCGAAATTGGGTCCCTTGACCGTTCGCAGTAAATCGGGTATCCGAAGGACTTTCTTGTCCGCAAGGGTGCGGGTCAAGAAGGAGTGTGGTAAGATGCGGTTCGACAGATGTAGGGAGGAAAACGCTTCGAATTTCGACGCGTCCGGTGCCTTCTCCAACGCCTCGTCTTCCTTGCCCTCGGTAGCGGTGTCCTGGGAACTGCTCGGTAAGCCCGCCATTGCCCCCGACTCTGACTTATGATTCCGCCTATGAAGGTATGATCTCGGCTCACTGGATTGCTCGTCTGCGCCGTGTTTTCGAACAGTAGGAGCGGTCTGGCTTCTTTTTAATGCAGGTTTGAGGTTATAAGACCGCAGGACATCCTCTCGACTGAAGCTTTCAGCTTGTCGAGCCTTGGTAGGTGATTTCAAAGGAGACTTTGCCCTTGCCTCTGCAGCAGCCGCCTTGAAGGACTCCATTTCGGCCTTGTCATATTGGAAACCGGAGCTCCGATTGATCTGAACTCTCTCTGCGCGCTCTCGTTGGACTTTCTCGACCGCTCTGCTCTCAGCCATTCGCTCGCTGAAGCTCTTCACACGCTTTGGTTCCTCGAATGACCGCGACTGCCCCGCCAAGCCGTCTCGGCTTCCCAGTCTAGAAGTTGGTCGCGATCCGATCCTCGAGCTGGGTGGCCGTTTGAGGGACACGTCGGAGCCCTTCAGTCCCTTATCAATCCCCATTAGATATCTCCGCGGGGACACAGGTTCTAGCGGAGGCGCAGCGGGACGTCTCGTCGGCGACAAAGGCACCTGGACCTCATCGGCTGCTGGAAGCCTGCTACCTGCCTCCCGCCGCGCACTCTTCATTCTTGAAGAGGCCTCCTGACATCGAGATGAGAGTCCGACAGCCGACGCGGGGCGCGAGTGTGCATCTCCCACTCCATGCGGGTCTGACTCTGATGCGTTGGATTTCGCACGGTTTCTTTGGAGCTGTTTCAATTTCAGACGGGCTTCGATGGCGGCTAACTTCAGCTCTAGCGTTTCTTCGTCTTCATCGGTGTCGTCGCCTAATTCATCCACTCCATCGCTCAGGAGGTCATTCGCCTTTGCCCGCAGATTCGGGCTAGTGTGGGAGAGTTTTAATGGCGAGCCGAGATTCTCGCGTTCACGTTGCATGTCCTGGTACTTCTTTCGACCGCTGGGAGAAAACAGGAGAGCCTCCCGAGGAGATTTGGGCGGCCAGGAGGTCTCGACCACTGGGACAACGGCTTGTGATTAGTCTGGGGGCATGGGATTGGATGCGGGCAAGGGACGTTATACTCACTGCTGGTCATCGCACCGGGGACTTTTAATAATCCCCTTTTGTTGTTTCAGCAAATAATGCGACCCCCGGTGTAGCTATCGACGACACCCCGATAACACGAGTCTCAGTCCTGTGTTACGCTCGTCGACGGTCTTCAGCCATGTTCCGAAGACCAGAGATGCGGGGAAGTCGGATCGGTTGTCGTCGCGTCGGAAGCGATCAATAACAAATGTTCAGCAAACAAACGATTTGCGACGGAAGGGGGAGAACAGTGTCATCCACGAGAAGGGCTTGGTCACCATGCGCAAGGGAGCCCGAACGAGGATTGAGCGGTGATGCATGCCCTGCGGGTGATTCGCTTCGTAATTGGCTGCTGCGCGTGTCGCGTCCAAGCCCGCCCCGAAAACGCGTTCCCTCATTTAATTCCACCTCCCACGCATTCAATCAACATCACCATTATCCGTGTACAACATACGATACCCTCTAAAGATTGCTCTACGTTCGCCCATCATGCGAACACGCTCGACTGCTCCCGCGGAGCAGCCAGACCCCGAACAGCGTCCGCAACTCCCTCCCTCCACGAAGCCCTGCAAAACATTCATCCTGCCATCCGCCGCGACAGATGACGCCCGATTAATCCAATTGCCGAACCCACGCACCGGAGAACTCGCGCGCTACTTCTTCTGCCCCAAGCTGGGCGTGTACGAGTTTACCGTCGTAAAAGCTCCATCGCATGACCCACGCAGTGTCCTCTTCACGCAGAAATCCGAAGAAGGGGCTCTCAAGGGCAGCATCTCCAAAGCCGCGGAGCTGCTCGTCGCGACCCCAATCGACATCATGTTTTTCTTGATCCCGCTTTTATGTCCATCGTCATCAACCCAGTCCAAGGGGCTATTCCAGCCTCTAGACGACATCATCGACTCGCAGGACGAGTTCCCCGGACACCTCCAGCACGTCCTTTACAACGAGACCTTCCGAGGCGCGCTGCAGGCGCGCGCTGAAGCGATATGCGACTCCGTGGAGGCAGGAGACGAGAAGATGTTGCGTTTCAGCGAGACAAAGTTGCTCAAGGAACTTCTCACCAAGGCGGACCGCATGGTAGCGCAGGGCCTTCCCGCAAGCCTGGAGGAACGCTTCATCAAACAAGCGCTGGCGACCCCCTTGCTCTCGGTCAAGCGGGAGGACGTAGGCCCCAATGGCTCGTCGGAAGCGACAGACGGCGAGGCCGAGTTGCAGGAGGGCAAGGACAGCGCGTCAGCGACGAACACCACTTCTACGCCATCGGTCTCCACGCCGTCCGGGGAATCAGCATCGACTCCTGCTACCGAATCGCCGACTGAGGAATCTGCGATTCTTGATAACATCACACATCTACTGCGAGTGTCTACCGCGCTTACCTTCATGAAAGAGTCCTACATTGCCCAGGACCTGGGTGCTCGACTGGATGAGCTTCTCGCTAGCGCAGACAGCCCGCTCGATTTCAAACCGCTGAAGGACCGTCTCGAGCATCTTGCGAAACTACGTGCGGAAGCACTGGCCTCCCGATCCCTGGGCGACTTCAGCCGCAAGCGAAACCTGGAAGATGAGGACGCGGCGGAGTCTCGGGCCGAGAAGAAACGACGCAAGGAGGCAGAAGAGAAGAAGAAGAAGGCGGAACAGTCTCGCGGCGTACGGGAATTGAAAAAGGTCGACACGAGTGGAATGAAGAAGATGAGTGATTTCTTCGGGAAGGCTGCCGCCAAAAAGAAGTCCTAGCGTGTCTGCTGCAATCGCCGCGGTGTTATCGCTGAGAATATAATATAGCCTAGGGTTCCATACGGGATCGATCTCCCCAACCCATATCGCAGGCGGACCGTCATCACCGGCAGGGTGACTGTATTCCCGATGTTGCGTTGTCAGACATAATACGCGCACTTCCAATGCCCAGGACCACCTTGGGATACAGGAAAATGACTCGGGATCATATGCCGCTGGGAGGCACATGCCATCATGGCATACATGGCAAGCCTAGTTGCACCACGGGCTGAGGTGTGCCTCTTAAGATGGCAGTGTTGGCTTTCAAGGAGGGAAATGTATGTGGATGATGAGTGATGGGATCACGTCTTGCATGCTGCCCATTGGGCGTCGTGCGTCATACTTTACGCACGGAGTGATAGAATCACTGCTGTTAATGCCAATTTCGTGACTACTTAAACTAGACCAAGACATTCATTTTTTGGTTGTTTTTCCCTTCTTTATTTTTTTTTTTTTCATTTTCTGTCCTTTAGATTTCGACTTGCGCGATCGCAGCTCCCGTAACCCTATTTCCCGTTAGACACGCCGTATGAGTCAAATGAATAGGACTGGGCAACATACATGAACGATCCGTTGGACGGCTTACTGATGACCATTGCCTGGGCCAGCTTCTCCTCACTGATGTCAGGGAACTTCTTCAGATAGTACTCCGCCTTCAGCGCCTTGGTCACCGCTTCGACCTTTGACTGGGGAAGCATGTGGACGGTGCAACCGCCCCAGCCGGCACCAGTGAGCCGACTACCCCAGGTACCAGCCCGGCGAGCAATGGCACAGATATCGTCGACCTCGGGGGCGCTGCACTCGTACATGGTGCGGCAAGACTCCTGCGACTCGTTGAGGAGCTGGCCCAGGTAGCTGATGTGCTTCTCATCGAGGGTCTTGGCGTTGGCTAGGCAAGCCGTGAAATCCAGCACACGGCGGGCTTCCTTGAAGCAGTGCAGGGCGCGCTGACGCAGGAGGAACCGATCCGCCTGGACGGGGAACGAGGAGAGATACGTGGCCTCGAGATCGGCGACCGTAATGCCGAGGAGCTTGGCGATCTCTTCGCGCGTGTAGCCCTGCTCCTGGGTGAGGAGGTCCATGGTGGCCTGGATGACAGAGTCGATCTGGTACTCGAGAGGGTCCTGGAGGCGACCCTCCTTGCGCATGAGCTCCTGGTGGAAGTTACGGAGACTGTAGCCGAGAGAGCTGTTGTCCTTGGGAAGAGTCAGGCCGTGCTGGGCGGCCAGGACGACGGCCGCCAAGGTGCACTCTGCCACGCGCAGGTTGTAATGACGGGGCGCGGTCTCGGCCTTGTTTGAGGTGACGAAGCTCTGGGCCATGAGGAAGGTGATTTCCTCGGAGGCCTTGGGGATGGGAACATGCTGGACAGCAAAGTGGGGGAAGAACTGGGTATAGAGCAGGTATCCGCGGCGGGAGAAGATGGACGCGGCCTGATCCATACTGTTTAGAGGATTAGAGAGGGATAAAGGCAATAGATCCATGGAGGGCAAACTTACCCGCCGGAGTAGACGCCGACCGCGCGCTCCGACACGACAGCCAAATCCAAGAGGTCCTGCTTGGAGACGTTGTGGTTGTTCGCCTTCATCACAGCCAACGCACTCGCGCAGACGAAAGCAGCACTGCTGGAGATACCACCGCCAGGGGGCACGTTGCCATCCACCAGCACCTCCACGCTCGCGGGGACGAACGAACCATCCTGGTCCTTCTTGCGCAAGAACTTCAAGGCTCCCAGAAGGCCAGCCTTGAAGTAGTTTACCCACTCATGCTTCTTGGGGTCGATCTCGATATCGGTATCGCGGGGTACGGTGAACTCGCGCGACGGGAACTTCTCCGGCGAGACGTTGGCGATCTTGACGATGGTCTCGGAACCAGCCGAGGGGATGACCTTGACCGCCATGATCACGTCGACACTGACGGCGGTAGGAAGGACATCGTAGAGGTTGTAGTCGATATGCTCGCCGATGATGTTGACGCGACCTGGGCTACGGGCGACAAAATCGGGGCGGCTGTTGTACAGCTTGGTGAACTTGGAGACCAGGCCGTTGAAGCGAGTCTGGTGTTCTGCGGCGACGGTGGTGGCGGAAGCGTCGTCGGTGGCATAGACCTCCGCGATGGATTCGGTCTGGGGGACGAGCTCTTGCGGGGTGGAGGCCATGGTGGGGTAATGTCAGATGGTACGGATGAGAGGGAGGAGAGAAAGAAAACGGAAGAAGTAGAGGGACAGAGCGAGGGAAAGAAGTATTAAGAGAGAGGGAGAGAGAAAGAGAGAGGATAGAGAAGGAGGGAGAAAAGATATATGGTAGGAGGGGAAAAGGGAAAGGGAAAGGGAATTAATTAACCTGGAGAGCCCCGCAATCATGACGATTTTTCCCCTGCTGCGATCGGAATCCCGCCAAAAAAGAAGGGCCCTTCCACCGGCATCCCCACACTCGGTAAAGTAAGTCTGCTTCGGCCCCTGTCGGCATTCTGCTATGGTTATGGACCGAGTGTCGACTTTCTCCCGATCTACAATAATAAGGTACATAATACTCCTACCTACTTGTTCTTTGCGAGAACATCTCCGTCAGTTCATACTCGAGTCATCCTCTCTCCTCTCTGCATTCAACGAAGAAGAGTATGAATCATGCAACCCCGAGACACAACCGGCAATGCCGAAATCCCTGGATCTTCCCAAATTAACCGAAGTCTCCATCTGCTGCGACATTAAACCCGCCGGTCCAAGACATTGGCAATCCACAGCTTCCCAAGAATCCTTTCAATTACTTTATTTACTGTGGTCGGATTTTTCAAAACCCATGAACCCTATTGTCCTAAGCTACCATGCTTCTCCTCAGCTTACTGAGCCTAAAGCCATCACTGATGTACGCGGCGGATGACTGGTTCGGGATTGTTAAAGATTTCCAACCCATGAGGTCCACTCCTAGGATAATTACACTACACATCTGATGCAAGAACCCTCGGTTTTGAGGTCCGCAATTTTATGGTGGTCTCATGATGCCTCTTAGGCCTTATATGGAGATGGCGTGTCAGCGGTTAAAGCCTGCAGTTCAATCCTATGTCCGGTAGGTTTTATGGACTACCCATAGCCCGAAGTCGTCCTCCCAGTCGATCTTATACAGTCTCCTGTACTGCTCACTCGGAAACGAATGGCCATGAAGATCTACTCGGTGACGGGGTAATCCACCACATGACTGCTACCCCCATACCCACCTTGAAGGAGATTCTGAAAACCCGCAGACGCATTGTGCTGTTTGTTGAGATGTAGACGGGTTCATTTCTGGCAATCTGCCTCCAGAATGGCCATCGAGGATGCCTGTTTGGAGGGCGGAAATGACTACCGGTGGGAATGCATTCCCATCGGAGTCCGCTCAGAGTCTGACCACCCGGATGCTCGATCAAGTAATCAATCATAGTTAACTAACTAGACTGGGCCTCTTTTGTCAGCACTACGGGGCGGTCGAATACTGCAACGCCAGGATTATGCAGCGCATAACCCGGCGGTCGAATGTGATCATGCCAAGATATGCGCCACACGGCGGTCGAAAGCTACTACAACGCCAAGATATGCATATCACGGCGGTCGAAATGTATAGTTCGCCCGTCGACCGTCTCAATCATGGACTTCGCTGAACTTCGTCCTCCCTGCCTCTCTTACGTGGGTGTTTGTCATCGAGATGGCCTCAACATGTCTGTCGGTCACCTTAAGAACTCCCGGTTGGAACTGACCTCGCCTTCGTCCATCCCTATCCTCTCCGCCCGTTGACGTGCTACTGTGACACCGAACATTCAAGCGGGAAATCATGGCACATAGTTCAGACCTCGAGGGTAGCAACAACGCCCAGCTGGATGACAGTCAGCCCGGCTCGACCAGCAGTTCCGAGCCGTCTCCGGCGGACAGCACCCAGGAGCACAATGGCCCCAACGAACCCCAGCCTGAGTATGCGACGGGCCTCCGACTGGTCCTCATCATGTTTACCATCTTCGTGAGCACCATCCTCGTCTCTCTAGAGATCGGGATCATCTCGACCGCCATTCCCGGCATCACCAACGCATTCCATCGGCTCAATGATGTGGGCTGGTACGGAAGCGCGACGTTCATTCTCGCAGCCTCGGCCTCGCCGCTCTGGGGCAAGCTGTTTAAATACGTCAACGTCAAGTGGGCTTATCTCAGTGCGGTGGTGATCTTCTTAGTGGGCAGTGTGGTGGGCCGCGGCAGCGCCAAATAGCTTGTCGGTCATTATCGGCCGTGCCCTCCAGGGTTGGGGCGCCTCTGGCGTCCTCGGAGGCACTCTCATCATCATCAACTATGTGTCCCCGCCTCGGAATCATCCGCTGCTGATCGGGGCGTGGATGGCGTGCTTCATGCTATCGACGATTCTAGGACCGGTAATTGGCGGTGCATTTACTAGCGGAGTCTCCTGGCGATGGTGTTTCTGGATCAACTTGCCCGTGGGTGGTCCGATTATAATTCTGCTGCTGTTGTTTCTTCGCATCCCCACGCATATCGAGAGCGTCCCGGCTACGTGGAAGGAGATTCTTCTCATGCTGGATCTCCCGGGTTTCTGCCTGATTCTCGTCTCTATGGTGTGCTTGACGTTGGCGTTGCAATGGGGCGGGCAGACTAAAGCATGGAACGACGGCTCGGTCATTGCGACCTTGGTCCTTTGGATCGTCCTGACCATTGCTTTCTTCGTGACCGAATGGCTACAGGGCCCCCGCGCTATGGCTCCCTTTCACATTCTCAAACAGCGCACGACGTGGAGTAATGCCCTGTTTTGCCTCGTGTAAGGCCGCTGCGGATTCCTCGCTATCCATCCCCACCCTCAACCTTAACTAAAGCTGACGATCCCTAATATCTCTTCAGTTCCTACGCCGCCCTCTACCAAGTCATGTTCTACCTCCCGATCTACTTCCAATCGATCCACGGGCAATCCGCCGTCAAAAGCGGCGTTAACACCCTCCCCTTCCTCGCCCTGTTCGCCGTCGGAGCCGTGGTGAGCGGTGCCGTCATCGGCAAGTCTCGCTATACGCAACCCTACGAGCTTCTCGGGGCCCTTATTATGACCGCCGGCATGGCCCTCATCTACACCCTGGATGTCCATTCCTCCCAGGCCAGGTACATTGGGGCTGAGGTGCTTTTCGGGTTCGGCATTGGGATCAGCAACCAGATCCCTATGACCGCCGTCCAGGGCTTCTCAAAGCTTGAAGATGTGTCTAGCGCGACGGGAATCATGGTTAGTAGGTATTTCCTGTGCAATACAAATGGCGCATCTTGAATCCCTCTCCTTAGGTGTGTAATACTTACACCCTCTACCAGTGTGCCAAGCTCTTAGCGGCGCCTATTTCGTTGTTATAGCGCAATCGCTCTTCGCGAATCGCATGCTCCAGACTGTTCTTACTAGTGCCTCCCACCTTGATCCGGCCTTGGTCCTGGGTACCGGCGCTTCCGAACTCAAGACCGTGTTCAGTGGGGACGATCTGAAAGAGGTGATCGCCGCATATATGGTGGGCATCAAGGACGTGTTTGCGTTTGCGCTGGCGTGTGCGGCTTTTTCGGTCCTCTTGACGCTTATCATCCCCTTGAAGCAGTTGCCCGATCATGGGAAGAAACCGGCGACAGAGGCAAAGCCTGCAACCGAGGCTGCAAAAGCAGAGAAGGCTGAAGGGGTCGATGCGGTGAAGCGAGTGGTTGGTTAGCCCGCCTTGGTATGGCAGGCTATCGGCGAAGTTCTGGGGGAAAAAAAAAAAAAATTAACATCCCCATCCCTACCATTAAATGTCAGACTTAAGAACCTTATTTGTTATTTTAATATACTGAATTACTTCCATCTCTTGATCTTTAGAGATCTTCAGTGCATCTAACCCAGAAGCAGCCACTGGGAAGCCCGCTCCGCGAATGCAGGGGGTTTCAAACACCGCCGCCAACGTTCCTCATGATACTCTCGAAGAAAGCCATATCCACCCCCTGAAACGCCCAGTCCTCGCCGCCTGCGGCGAGTTCCGGATACCCGCTCTGCATCAGCCAGGACGGTTCCAGAGAAGGACCCGGGTCGGAGAAAGGGTTTGGACGTGGTTGATGGCGCGGGTGCGCAAACGGCGCGGTGAACTCATGGGAAGCGGTGGTGTCGGCGACGGAGAAGGAGAATGGGTTGGGAGTGTTGTTAGCGGAGCGGGTCAGAGTGCTGAGGCTGGCAGGTGGCATTGTCATGGAGGAGAGGTGAAGTTGTGGTTCGGAGTTGCTGGTGGTGGTGACCGCGGGAAGTGCGGGTGCAGCTTGCAGTTTGGTCGGAACCTCGCGTGCAATCCGAATGATTCCAAAATACGGAATATGCACCCGTGCCACGTCCTCGCCATCTTCTTTATCGCGGGCGTCGTCCTCCTCCTGGTTCGTCTCTTCCGGCGGCATCATCTCCTCGCTCCCTGCCTTCCTCACACTCACCCGTCCAGTCCCATTCTCCATGTTAACAGCAAGCAAAGCCTTCAATAAATCTGCACTTTGCGCGCTTAGCTCATCCGAATTCAGCCGGTTAATCTCACTCATATGCTCCTGCACTTGCTCGATCATCCCGCGGTCGCTTAGATACTGGTTAGCGAGTAGATTGTTCGGCCCATCGCGATGGCTGTCCATATGGGCGAGAAGGAGTGTCATGGCCGCCATGAGGGCGATGAAATCGACAGTGCGACAGCTGTAGGCGATGCGGTTGAAGCTCCGCAGCGCGATATAGCGTGAGAGCACCTCCCGCGACGCATTGACACACGTGATTCGCGAATACTCATACTTGCTCTCCGCAGACGACAACGGGCGTAGCATATACGGCAGATGCACCTGGTTGAGTAGGTTGTAATGACAAATCTGCATGGTCAAGCGGCGCGTGTCCCAAAACGCGGCTTGCAGGTCGGTGGCAGCACTGTCGAATTTGGGGATCAGCCACCACTTGCTCGGGAGGCTGCCGGCGGCTTTCTGCAGCTCTAGATCGATGGCGCGGGTGGCGGCGAGGTCCTGGGAGCTCGGCTTGGATGTGTTCCGTTCGAGGATTCGGGACATAATGCCACAGTGTAGCTGCTCAAGACGACCCATGGGGCAGTCACGGGCGAGGGAGGTCTCGGACGCCATGCTTTGGTCAGTCCAGCCTTGGGGCATACCTAAGAGAAGGCAGAGATGGCGGTCGAGAATAAGGATACGGAGCCACATAAGCTGTGGGTCGCATTTTGTGTTGCGGTCGAGCGTTTTATATGGTTTCGGGTTATCTGACCGACCAAAGCCCATCAACTGGGCAATACACATAGCTCTCCGATTCGCGACCCAGCTTCGTCGAAGGTTCCCAATATTGACCTGGTATAAACTTTCGAGCATGATACAGTCGAGACTCTCTATACTGCCGACCAGATCCTCGTTAGTCGTAACGTGATAAATAGCAATCCCTGCTATTCGTTGCATAATAGCTCGGGGTGGCTCTGATAGATCTTTAATCTCCCGATGAAGGTCCGGGGGAAGATGCTGTAGGAAAAGGGCGAGTTGGAGCATATATCTCGCTATTAAAACCGGATGCACGTTTGGTTCTGGGATTGTTAATAAAGTCTCGGGCATTTGGAGGCCGTTCTTGTAGAGAGTCGTGTATGGCGTAGTCAATAATTGGTGAGAAAGGACGGCAGAGTGGCGACTGGCTTTACAGATACTCTCGATGTCTGCTCGCGACGGGAGTAATTCATGCAAGAACCGAGAAAGTTTGTCATATTTATGTGGGGTATCTTTCCTGGTAGTCGTAAGATACTGCTAGAAAGGCGTCAGTAAACAATCATACAATCATACGCGGAGGCCGGGAAAGGGTTAGAAGAGACGGGCCTCCGGAGATTGATGGTGACGCGAAGACTGCACGTCTGCCAACAAAGGCGTGAGAACACTAGGGTCTGTTCTCTCGCTGGGCAGGGGAGCGCGTGCTCGGTCGTCAGACGGTGTGCCATCGCTGATGCTGGTTTCAACGCGCATGGGGACCTCTGCGAGGTCCTCGGGGAACTCCTGGCTGATACATGGGGAGCCACGTCGTCGACAGCCGATGCAGGACGCACTGGCAATGCGCGGATCAAATATACATTTCATCTTCCGTCGCTTACATTCCCAGCAACTGTGGGTGCCTTTGCGCACCTTTCGCCGCTTGGCTTGCCAGTAGGCATCATATGATGGTGCAACATGCGACACAGACATGGTAGGCGAGATGGAAACGAAAACGTAGAATGTCAGAACGTGGTGGGAAAGGGGGAAAGTAATTCATGACGTTGTCGTGGTGGTGGCTGAAGAGGGGAGACCACTTCACGGCCTCAACATCGAGGGTCCCAGATTAGTAAGAAATCCCCGACTAGTTAACTAGTTATAGTTAACCAAGTACCTATAGATAACATGCCCAGCCAACCAATGGGGGATCGTTATAGTCACAACTCGACCGTAAATATACCGTGTATAAACTGGTTACATACCTAGGTATGTCCTCAGCAGATGTGGAGGGAGTGTCGTCCATGCGATTACAAATATTCTGGGAATTCTCCCATTCTACGTGCATCGTGCAAGCCTCACAATGCACTGCCTTTGTTCTACTCTGCTCCTTACTATGCCAATATGACCTGGAAGCCTCCCCAAACGCTGTTAAATTGGTCTCACCTCACATGGAGAGCAATGAGTCCGCTCTAGGACGTATCCATAATAAGAAGCCACTTAGAGATATCTTGAACACTGACTTATAATTCCTATCATGAGTTTACTATAGGGGTTGGTATATCCTGTTTGTCTGCCAGCTTTGCTACGAAACGACACTCAATGAATGCTAGGCCCAAATTCTACCTAGGTACATTGCAATTGCCGCCCCAGAAAATTCCAACAAGACAAGCACACGCTACTTGGTTGTCAGGAGAGTTGATGGCCCTCCCTCTCCGTTTTACGGGTGATCAGACTCTGAGCGGACTCCGATGCCTTACCATCAACATTATTGGGAGGGCGGGCTATGGCCAGAAGCAGGCGTGGTCGCCCGAGTTGCAAGATCACAAAGGGAAGGACGCACGGTCCGTATACTTCAAGACCATTTCTCTCGTGGCTGATAGATTCGAGTGGGCTGCGTTTGTGCCGACAAAGCTGTTGAAGATGCCCTTCATGTCGCGGCAACTTCAATCGCTTGGATGTCATAAGGAGCGAATGCCTGCATATACAAAACATGTTCTGGAAGAAGAACGACAGGCTTCCAGGGCAGGGTATTCGTCACAGAACAATTTCCTAAGTATGCTGGTGGAGTCTTCAGATCAAGAAAAACGGGTTAGATTGACCAGTCATGCACTCAGTGACGGTGAGATCAGTGAAAACCTCTTTATAATTAGCACAGCCGGCTTTGAGACAACGGCGAATATCATGGGTATGCTGTCATGCACCTGGTGGCGTTCCCCGAATGCCAAGCGTGGGTTCGCGAGGAGGTTTGCAATTTTGGTCCCGATATGCTTCAATGGAAGCATGATGAGATATTCCCACGCTGTCACCGCACACTGGCACTGATGGTATGGTTCATCGTCCCGCCACACGGGCTTGATCCGGGACGGATGCATCCCAGGAAGCCGATGTGATTGGTATCTCCCGAGCTTGCACTACGACGCATGATGCCGGACTCGGTCCAAGAGGTTGACGTTGCAGGTTAGGGATTCGAAGAGTGTGAAGCTGCGGTGGGTTCCGGATACGCAAGCGTGAGTCTGGTACGTATATGTGATTTAAGGCAGTTATAATATGTGGGATCTGGGAACGGCGGCTGGTTACTTTTTAGTGATCCTGTTTTGATGTAGATTGCCTGGTTAGCTGGGCGGACTAAGCTTAGCACGATATGCGTAGAGTCTAGCTTTGTGTAAAGCCTGGTTTCTTTCTTCGAAGCATCCGAGCATTCTCATACTACCCAGGATTGATAGTGAGTTTATACTTTCTCTTTCTGGATAAGTTGGAGACCATGGTTGTATGTTCGGGGGATGAACTGGTCCGATCTCCGGAATCGGCGGGTTGTAGATAGACCGATCAAAGGGTCTAGAAGTAGAGTCCAAGCCTCTTTCTTGTTTTCTAAGTTACAGCCATTGCGATGAGAGAAAATCCTTGGAGATTGTTGTGTATAAGAAATAGACATCAGCCATGGCGGCAGTAGAGCGAGTCACCACACATGCCATCTTCGGCCGAGGCAAGTTATATTGATGCCTTATACATCCTAAGGCACCAGCTCTCGCCGATGATCGGAGTCGGTGGCGTGCGGCAGCCAATCAGGCGGAGCAAGATTATTCACAGGGCGGGGCACTAAACCCAAACAGGAGAGGCCGGCGCAGAGAAGTTTGACTCCGGGTTAGGAGTGGCAGTCACGGACTCACCGCAGTGGTTACTCACACTTACTAGTCTCCCCAGTTTCTTTTTCCTCCCCGTCCCAACTTCTCTAGGCCGAAAATTAACCTGTCCTTCCATTCTTCACAACTCTCTCCTCTCTTATACTTTGTGGCCTGGCAGTCATCCGCCGTGAAGATGATGCCTTTAAGACCATCAAAAAGCGCCATGCGCGCCCTCCACTACCAGAGGTTCATCGCCTCTAGCCGGAGATCTTTTACTACGCCCTCCATGGCCGCCGTCGTGTCGCCCCACTGCTTCTCTACGCAGAAGCGCTTCCAGAGCACAGCTGCCGCTACGTGAGTCTTTTCCTCCTTCTCCTTCATTGGGAGCTCCCTATCTTGTTTTCTTGTCTTCTCCGTCAATTGGTTTCTCGCTGACTCATGTTCTATGATGGACCAGCGGCACGAGACCTGCTCCCAGTCCTGCCTTCAACCAGGAGCCCCATCGCAACGAAGTGTCGCCCCTGCAAAACCGCCAGGTTCCCGAATTGGACGAGTCGTACGTGCTTCCCTCGACAACTAATCCTAATAAACATGCAAATTGACATGGTTTTGTTTTTCCGTCCAGCTTTGTCGGCCTGAGTGGAGGAGAGATCTTCCATGAGATGATGCTCCGTCTGGGTGTTAAGCACATCTGTGAGTCATACATCTTTGCATCAAAGGAGAAAGGCAAAGTACGGTGCTGATCTTAGAACAGTCGGCTACCCTGGAGGCGCTATCCTTCCTGTGTTCGATGCCATCTACAACTCAAAGCATTTCGATTTCGTTCTTCCTCGCCATGAACAGGGTGCCGGTCACATGGCGGAGGGCTATGCCCGGGCTTCTGGCAAACCCGGTGTGGTTCTGGTCACTTCTGGGCCTGGTGCCACTAATGTGATCACCCCCATGCAGGATGCCCTTTCCGACGGTACTCCTATGGTTGTCTTCTGTGGTCAGGTCGCCACCGGCCTAATCGGTACGGATGCATTCCAAGAAGCCGATGTGATTGGTATCTCCCGAGCTTGCACCAAGTGGAACGTCATGGTGAAGTCTGTTGCCGAGCTCCCCCGCCGTATCCAGGAGGCGTTCGAGATCGCCACCAGCGGCCGCCCTGGCCCCGTTCTGGTCGACCTTCCCAAGGATGTCACTGCCGGTATTCTTCGCAAAGCTATCCCGATGCACAACACCACTCCGGCTCTCCCCAGTGCGGCCGCCCTCGCCGCTCGTGACCTGAGCATGAAGCAGCTCCACAGCACCATCGGTCGTGTCGCTCGTCTCGTGAACGTCGCCAAGAAGCCCATTCTGTACGTCGGCCAGGGTCTCCTCGCTCAACCTGATGGCCCCAAGGTTCTGAAAGAGTTGGCCGACAAGGCCTGCATTCCTGTCACGACCACCCTGCAGGGCCTGGGTGGATTTGACGAGCTGGACCCCAAGGCGCTCCACATGCTGGGAATGCACGGTTCCGCCTACGCCAACATGGCCATGCAGGAAGCCGATCTGATTATTGCTGTTGGTGCTCGGTTCGATGACCGTGTGACTGGAAGCATCCCCAAGTTTGCGCCCCAGGCGAAGCTGGCCGCCTCCGAGAACCGTGGTGGTATTGTCCACTTCGAGGTCATCCCCAAGAACATCAACAAGGTTGTCCAGGCTAACGAGGCTGTTGAGGGTGACTGTGCGGAGAACCTCCGCCATCTCCTCCCCCACGTGAACGCCGTGCCCGAGCGCCCCGAATGGTTTGCTCAGATTAACGACTGGAAGGCTCGCTTCCCCTTCTCCCTCTATGAGAAGCAGACCCCTGAGGGTCCGATCAAGCCCCAGACCTTGATTGAAAAGCTCAGTGATCTCACGGCTCACATGAAGGACCGTACTGTTATCACGACCGGTGTCGGTCAGCACCAGATGTGGGCCGCTCAGCATTTCCGCTGGCGTTATCCCCGTACTATGATCACCTCCGGTGGTCTTGGTACTATGGGTTACGGTCTGCCTGCTGCCATCGGTGCTAAGGTGGCCCGGCCTGAGGCTCTCGTCATCGATATTGATGGAGATGCCTCTTTCAACATGACCCTTACTGAGCTGTCGACTGCGGCCCAGTTCAACATTGGCGTCAAGGTCCTTTTGTTGAACAACGAGGAACAGGGCATGGTGACTCAGTGGCAGAACCTGTTCTATGAGGATCGCTACGCGCACACCCACCAGAAGAACCCCGACTTCGTCCCCATGGCTCGCTCGATGGGCGTCGCGGCCGAACGGTGCACCAAGCCGTCGGAGATGGAGGAGAAGCTCAAGTGGCTCATTGAGAGCGACGGCCCTGCCTTGCTGGAGGTGTTCACTGACCGCAAGGTCCCTGTGCTGCCTATGGTGCCTGCTGGCAGCGGACTGCACGAGTTCCTCGTCTACGATGAAGGTATGTTGAACTCGTTTTCAGATGGACATGAATTTGTACTAATTACGGTTTCACCTACAGCCAAAGAACAAGAGAGAAAGGCTCTGATGAGAAAGCGGGGTGTTCCTATGTAAACGGACACCTCCTTTCTCAAAGACAACGACAAGTTCTGTGCCGACGATTTCTCTTACTTCCAAAAGTGCCCTTCCGTCTTCCATCTAATATCCATGGCGTTTCTGGCGGGTTCTAAAACGCTTGTCGGTGCCAATTCAAGGAATATACATACCCTACTCGTCGGGAGAGCCCTCCTGTACCGCGTCTCCCTCTGATGCATAGAAAAATGCATCGGAACGGGGCAATCCAAAGGCCTCGTTTCGAGAAGGGGCATCTGGCTCGGCTTCCTTTTGCCTTACTCACCAATCGATTTCTCAATTTCTTCATCCTAGCAGTGGTATTCACTTGGGATTGTGTTTATTTGGGGGAATCTATCTTGTACATAATGGTTTCGTGTCAGCTATATCGATTTTGTCTATTTGAAACCGTGGAAACGAGAGCCTCCGTCGTTGGATGGCATAGTGGAGATTGATCTGGCAACATCACCATGGTAGAGCACGCCATCAACGAACGGTCCCTGAACCGTCAACCGTTGGCGATGCTGACCGTAGCATGACGCAGTTCACGTGACCCTCCGCCAGCCGCGGTTCGGATCCGAGCAAATCGAACTTGGCAGCCTGTAGGGCAGACGGACTGACTAAACGGCTCCATCGTTCCCTCATTTCCCCGTCTCTCCTCTTTTCCCATGGCTCCATGATTCTCATGACTCAACCCACTTACTTCACTTCGTCGCACAATGTTGCCTCCTCCTTCTTCCCTTTAGTTTGTTACTGCTATTGATTTGGGATCTCTCCCTGTTTCATCTCTATCTTGAACACACGTCCGTGTCGCTGAGCTTATCTTCCCCTTGCTACTATGGCTTCGGTGCCGGGTTTCTCGGCCTCCGCAGGCAGGACACGGTCCGACAACGCGACCCCAACCGCTCGGGACGAACGAGTTGCCTCAGAGGATATGGACGCCCCTTCGGCCGAATCCTTGGATGACAATGAAACTGTCTTCCTCAACAGACCACCGGCAGCTGAGACGCCGCAGAGCAAATCCCCCTCCCAGAGTGCGGCGCCGGTGGATTCATCATACGAACCCCGCAAGTGTTGGATATGCTATACCGACGAGACAGAGGATTCGCCGTTGAATTCGGACTGGCGCTCGCCATGCCCCTGCGCTCTGACCGCCCATGAAGCCTGCCTCCTCGACTGGCTCGCCGATCTCGAAAACCCCCGGTCCCGGAAGCAACACGGCCAGAACGCAAAGATGTTATGTCCCCAATGCAAGTCCGAGATCGTCGTTTCCCGCCCCCGGAGCTACATTGTCGATGTCGTCCGCATGTTTGAGCGCATTGCCGATAATCTGGTGCTTCCGGGAATGGTGTTCACCCTGGCGGGGACGGTCTGGGCCGGGTGCTGTGCGCATGGAGTCTACTCGATGTACTTTGTCTTTGGGACAGAAGAGGCGCGTCGCATTATGGAAGTGCCCACCGAAGGGTCCTGGAATCCGGGCATAAACCTCGGGATACCCTTCATCCCCCTCGTATTGATCTTCGGACGCACCCGCTACGCCGAAGGGCTACTCCCCGTGATCCCTGTTCTTTTCTTCGCCACACACCACCCCGGCCAGGAGCCCGACCTCGACCTGTGGCCGCCCAGTGCCGCAATGACGTTTGCAGCCCTTCCGTACGTCAAGAGCTTCTACACCGCTCTCTACGACCGGCTGTTTGGCAAGCTGGAGCGCAAGTGGATTGCAGAGGTGCAGCCGCGGCAGTCGGATATCAACGAGTTCGATGACAATGCGCCTCCAGAGCATCCCGAGCCAGCGCAGGATCAGCAGGTGGTGATGGAGATTGATTTGCAATGGCAGCTTGGAATGGAAAATAACTTCAATAACAATGGGCCGCAAGCAGCCCTGGGATTGCGCAACATGGAAGGTCAAGCAAACAACCAAGCAAACAACGGCCAACGAGGACAGAATCAGGGCGTGGGCGCAAACGCGCAGGCTCTCCTCGGTCGCCGGGAAGACTTCATCCATGAGTCTGTCAGTCTTTCCGATATCATCCTTGGCTCACTAGCATTCCCCGCGATCTCAGCCTCGATGGGCGGCCTACTTAAATATGTCCTGCCGAAGTCCTGGACCACGGCGTCGACGCTGGAACGGAGTCGACCGGGACTTTTGCAGACGAGATGGGGTCGCACGGTCGTTGGGGGTTGCGTGTTTGTGCTTTTGAAAGACGCATTGGTGCTCTACTGCCGGTGGAAGCTAGCGCAGACGCATCGACGACGCCGAGTGCTGAATTATGATCGCACGAAGAAGCAAGTCGTGGGTTGAGGCTGTATGGACATGTGGTCGGATGCGGGTTAACTTTCCTTGACGATATTCTAACGAAGCATTCATGGGCGTTTTTCATTCTTTCCTCTCCTTCCTTTTCACGAGATAATAATGGACGATACACTCTTTCTTGTAATGCAATGTCTTCACGATAGGATAGCGGCAACTCGCTAGGCAAATTCACGAGTTATGACTCCAACAGGGTTTGAAACGGAAGTCTACAAAGTATACCTACGACTAGTACATAGGTAACTAGGTAGATATTTTCTTTGATGAAAAATCGAATCATGGACCCATACCCATACTGGGGCTTGCGTATCTGCCGCGCCTACAGACCCGAACTTTTAGCGCGCGGCTAAACACCAAAGTTTCCACCCGGCGAGTTTCACACCTCAGGGAAACCATCCAGACCCCCAATCCCCCAGTCCACATCCTCCAACCATGCGGCCCCTTTCACCAGTGCTCGCCTCCCTGGCGAACGTCTTCCGAATCCCCATCTCGCAGACGCCCGCGCGCCCCATTGTCAGCCGCCTCAGCAGCGAGACCAAATCTCCTCGCGGGCCCGTCACCTCCGCTCTCCAGCAGCAGACCGCCAGACCCTTCTCGACAACCAATGCCCTCCTAAAGAGAAAGGGAAACGCACCCCGGGGCGACCGGCGCGTCAGTACGTGATCCTCGCTCTCAGCTCCCTGCTCCCCCCAGATCTCCATGAAAAACCCGACTACAGAAACAGCTAACAAGACATGTATCAGCGCTCATCCGCTACTTCCTCTGGCACCCGCTCACGCCGCGCCCGCTGCGCTTCTCGCGAACCCGCTACCTCCGCCACTGGACCATCCACCGCGCGTGGCAGCTGTACCAGGCGCAGCAGCGCCGCGCGCAGCAGCTCGAGCTGCAGCGCCAGTGGCAGTCGATGCAGGCGGCGTGTGAGGAGCTCCGCACGGGCGCCGGCGACGGCGGCCGGCTGTTCCGCAAGTCGATGATCAAGACGGGCGTGTTCCGCGATCTGTTTCCGATCGAGTATGGGCGCTTGCAGACGGAGAATCCGCCCAAGGACGGGTGGAATCATGAGTGGAAGCGGCCGGAGAGGAAGTAATTGTTTGGTTTGGTAGTTCAACGGTGTGGTTCGTTTAGGAGGGGAGGGCGTAGGCCCTGGTTTCGTTTCTCTCGCTGTATGTATTGCATGTACTATAACTCGCTAGGACCGATGGTCTTGCTTTGTGTATTCTTGTTGGAGGGTGTGTTACGGTTCCGAATGGAAGATAGATTACCATCATATCAACAGTGACATAGTAACAGATCGCTAGAGGGAATGAACTGATGGACAGGATCATGAAGAAGCGAGTCGCTCCAAAATCAAATGAGAGAATGTCGGAGTGCGCCTGAGTATCGTGTATAAAGTTGCCAAGCATGTGCTCCAGAGTGTGAATCAAAACATCGACGAAAGACACACCATAGATGACAAAGGAAAGAGCATGGTAGACACAGGCAGAAATAAAGGACGGCAAGAGTTCGAAACATCCACCCAAACGCCAGTGATGCAAGATATAGTTCAACAGTCGTCAACCGCTTCCGTCCCCCCTTTTGTAAAAGTGCAATCTAACAGCCCTGGTGAGACGTGAATCTTTCAGGGGCCAACAAATATGACGGACTTTCGTCCAGAACGTATATATCACAGAGCGTCATAGTGGCGCCTTCCGTCATAGTACGATGCAGCAGGAGCTTTTCCGCTTGTCGAATTTGAGCAGCGCGGCGCGAGTGGCGGCCTCGAAGACGTCGTCCACTCCTTCGCCTGTGAGCGAGGAGCACTCGAGGTATTTTCGCGCCCCGATCTGCGTCGCTGTATCGCTGCCTTCGCGCGTCGACACGAACCTCAACGACTTCTTTCGCATCTCTTCCTGCGCGAGCGGGTCATCGCGGAGATCCTTCTTCAGTCCGACCAGAATGATGGGGACGTCCGGACAGCGGTGGTTGGCCTCTTCGATCCACTACACGGTGCCTATCGTCAGCAGATGCTGTAACCTGGACGGCAATTGTTCCCAATGACAAACCTTCAGCTTCACGTTCTCCAACGAATCCGGGGTATCGACAGCGAACCCGATCAGAATGACGTGAGCCTGTGAATATGCCAGCGGACGTAGTCGCTCGTAGTCTTCCTGACCGGCTGTATCCCACAACGCCAATTGTACCGATCGACCGTCCACTCGGCAATCCGTCACATAGTTCTCGAAAACGGTCGGGACCTGTAACCATTGGGGGAGGGTTAGGCACGTGCGTCAAACGAGGACAGAGTGGAAGACGATATCGGGAGTACTGACATAGTGCTGCGACACGCAGAAAACGGCCAAGTTAGTGAACCCATCTTCCTTGCATGGGGAGGACTCCTTACTGTTGGGAAATACCCGAGGGTGAAGACGCTCAGAAGACTAGTTTTCCCGCAGGCACCATCGCCGATGATGACCAGTTTCCTATGAAATTCCGTCAGCGATGGGGAGGCTCGAGCGGTTGGGAAATGAAGATGGCAACGGGGAGAGCGAGGCGGCCGAATCGATATCCACGCCCACGGGAGGGGCACGTCGTGAAGTTGATGCGGATCGACGGAGCAGATCCAGACCGTCACCCAGGGTCCCTGTCTCCATCGGCGTGTCGCACGTACCTTCGCATGACATTGTCGTTCTGTTGTTGGGCCATGGTCGACAATGGGGTGGGAGACGACGAATAGCCTTGTCGTCCGAGAGAATGGAGGAGGAAAAGGAGGCGGAGAAGGAGAGAGAATAGTGAGGCGCGCCGATGTGGTGAATGGACCCCGTGGGAAATTCGGCACTGAGGGGGAACTAAGTCTAGGCACCACACCCACTCTCGGTTCGTTTCTTTTCTTTTTCTTTCCTTTATGCACAGGAAGCACAGAAGATTGGAGATTAACGATTGATTGATTGATTGATTGACAGACAGACAGAGGGGCAGGAGAGAATTATTCAGGAGAGGAGTCAGAGTAAGAATGAGGAGGCGCAGCAGCCGCCGTCAACAACGGGATGGAGATCAATAAGAATGGCCCCCTAAACGGGCGGAAGGCGGTCGAGATGAGGCTGACGGACTCGCGGTTAGCTGGTCAGGGGATATCCACGTTCTTCAGGTACAGAAGAAGAGAAGCTGAATCATGGGGGAGGAAGGGACGGCAGACGGAGAATTAAATAGAAGCATTCATGATAATTATAGTATCTACTAAGCAGTGAATAATCCCATTGTCCACCGGTCATAACTGAACAGGGAACATAATCAAACCAAAGGATCAGATCGACCGGAAGATGGCACAGCTGAGCTTCATCCACTTGTTACTAAGGTTAGAGATGTGTCTCAGACGGGCGAGACTAAATGGTTTGATCCCTTTTTTCTATTAGTTCTAGCCCCAATATCAGTGTCTTGGTGTTTCTGTTCCTGTTCGAGGGGATCCCATGCTGATGCTGAGTCCCGGAGATGCCGATAGAGGCTCCTCCACCTCCACCGGATATCTTGGATGCATCGTAGTATGTACACAGTGTTCCGTACAGAGTAACTAACTATAGTATACCTCCTATATCGGTTCTTTAGGCGCCCCGCTCTGCGGGGACAGGGTACCTCCACGTCATGTCAGAATGAAGGATGGATTCGATAATGAGACAACGAAGTATACAAAGAGTATGAGAAGATGAATGAAGCTGCATTCCTTACCACCAGATAAAGCCAATATTCGCCCGGGTCCTCTTTGTTTGAGCGACATACTACTCAGCGTGAGACTACATATTGCTCCTTTCTATTGATAGAAAAAGTATGGAGATCGACGAGACCCCCAGGCACCCAGGCACCCAGGCACCAAGTCCGCACCGCATTGCATTACATAACACCGGCCTTGGTGCCTGACTCTCCAGGCTGCACCCTCGCTTGCGGCGGCTAATCCCATTGCGGTCGACCAACCATCAACGCCCGGCGTCAAGATCCAAACCCATCCATTCCATCGTTTCGTTCATCAATCTCGACCCGGCCCTGCGCCTGTACGCCCTCAACGTTCCCATTCGCCTCCACTCGATACGCTCACTTCCTACGCTTGACCCCCAGCCCTGTCTCCCTCTCCCCGGGGAACCGTCTTCATCGCATCTCCCCCTCTCCTCGTCGTGCGGCGGCCCGGGTCCTTTCCACCCCTCTCCGCCCTCATTCCCCGTTTGTCGGCCTGGGCGTCTCACCGTGCACCTGTCTTCTCCTCCGCCCACCTCTCGCGGCGTTCCGCTTCCACTGCGCCTTTCGTCCTTTCCCACCAGCGGGCTCCGTCGGCTCCTTTCATTGTCCGCGTCGACAGCCCGCCCGCCGAGAGCTTTGTTCGTGCCCGGTTCGATCTCTCGTCCCCCTTCTGACTGGTCTGTCTGTGTCCTCCACTAGCATGGTGGTTGCGTTGGAACACTGCAGGAGATCTTAGCTACGCGATCTCCCCTTCGAAACACCCCCGCAGATAACAACCTCCACCGTCATGGCACCGTCACAGCACCCCAAGTCGGCCGCCGCGCCGGCCACCACGTCCGATCAGATGTCGACCGCCTCTTCGCGTCCCACGAACGGCACGGCCCATACGTCAGCCGAGACCGCTTACCCATCTTCCATGACAGATTCAAAGCCGACGTCAGTGAACCGCAAGAAGCAGAAACGCCGACAGAAGCAGGCCGCTCGCTTGGCGGCGGAGCGTCAGCTCGAGAATGGACACGTCCCCGACTCCCCCGCCGATCCCGCTGACCATAGCAGTCTCAGTCAGTCGGGGCCTGGCAGCCGTGCGTCGGATGAACAAGACGCTGATGAGGCGTATTCCAACCACAGCGAACAACACATGGACCACTCGAACCCGGACGGCCACCCGTCCAAACCATCTGGTCGCAAAAAGAAGAAGAAGGCAAAGAAAGGTCGTGCAGGCTCGCAGACGCTCGGAGATGAAAGCTCCACCCCTCTGTCCACTCCTTCCGTTTCGATGTCACACCCTCTTCCGCCGCCTCTGCCACCTCATCTCGGCACCCGCACCATCCTCAAGTCGGCCAAAGACCGTAGCATATGGAACACGTCGACGCAGGAAGAGCGGGAGAATATCAAGACCTTCTGGCTTGAATTGGGCGAGGAGGAACGGCGGCAACTCGTCAAGGTCGAGAAAGACGCGGTGCTGAAGAAGATGAAGGAACAGCAAAAACACTCATGCAGTTGCACGGTGTGCGGGCGAAAGAGGACCGCTATCGAAGAGGAATTGGAAGTGCTCTACGACGCCTATTACGAGGAGCTCGAGCAGTACGCCAACAACAACCAAGGGTCATTCGAGAAGGGCTCGCCCATCGTTCCGCCTCCTCGCTTATATCAACCACCGTTGCGTTCGCCCGGTCAACATACGAGAACCCAAGGACAGTTTCATCCCTCGAGGGGTCGAATCCACGAGATAACTGAAGACGAAGAAGACCTGGAAGAGGACTACGATGATGAGGAAGAAGACGATGACGAGCCGTACAGTGACGATGAGTTCGAAGACGAAGAAACCCGTGCTGCTCGTGCGGATTTCTTTGCTTTTGGAAACAGCTTAACTGTAAAAGGTAGTACTGACTCCTTCTATGTTCACGCTTAGAGTCCCAGCTAACGTTGTTTCTCCACGCCAGACGGAATCCTTACGGTTGCAGATGACCTATTAAAGAACGATGGGAAGCATTTCATCGACATGATGGAGCAATTGGCGGAGCGCCGGATGCAACGCGAAGAAGATACACAGTACAATATAGCTGCAGCACATCAGTCCCTTCATAGCGGTCATAATCATCCTCCATATGACGAAGAAGACTACGATGACGAGGAAGACGAGGAGTATGACAGTCAGGAGGAGGATGATTATGACGAAGACGAAATGGTAGGTCCCCAATGTACACCGTTCATCCTAGGCAGTGGACTAACTGTCTTGCAGGACACCATGACGGAAGAACAACGCATGGAGGAAGGCCGACGCATGTTCCAGATCTTCGCCGCTCGAATGTTTGAGCAGCGTGTGTTAACAGCCTACCGAGAAAAAGTCGCCGAGCAACGCCAACAGAAGCTAATCGAGGAGCTCATGGAGGAGCAGACTCGAACGGAACAAAAGAATGCCAAGAAAGCCCGCGAAGCCGAGAAGAGGAAGGAGAAGAAGCGCCTTCAGAAACAGGCCAAGGAGGAGGAAAAGGCCCGGCGCGAGGCTGAAAAGGCGGCCGAGGAGGCCGCTGCCAAAGCCGAGCAGGAGAAGAAGCTAGAGGAACAGCGAAGAAAACGAGAAGAGCAAAGGAAGAAACGGGAGGCCGAGCGGAAAGCCCAGGAAGAAGAGCGCGCACGCAAGGAAGCCGAGAAACAGCGGCGTCTGCGCGAAGAGCGAGAGAGACAGGCCGAAGCAGAGCGAAAACACCGCGAGCAGAAGGAGCAGGAGAAGAAGAAACGGGAAGAAGCTCGACGAAAAGAGCGCGAGGAGCGCGAATTGAGGGAGAAGAAGGCCAAGGAAGAGCGAGAGCGCAAGGCCCAAGAGGACCAGAAGAAGGCCAACCAAGAGACTCCCGAAACGAAACGTACCTCGCACTTGGGACCTGTTCCTATCCCGGCGAACTTGCAGCCGCAAGGATCCTCAAGCCACCTTCAGTCCCCGCACCTTCAGAGCGCATCTCCTGCTGTCCCTAAAGCTCCCACTCCTGCCAAAGCTCGCCAGCCGTCTCAACAAGGCTCTCACGGATCGTCTCCGCGATCCCAGCAGGCTAGCACGGAACCTTTCCACACATCCATCTCTCCGCGGTCAATGGCGCCATCTCAATCGTCGGGAGCCTCCAGTGTGGCTTCCAAGCAAGGTTACGGACAACAGCCCATGCTTCACCACCCCCAACCTTCCACGCCGCTGTCCCCTCTCGGCTCTGTGAACAGATCGTTGCCTCCCGGGTTTGCCAGTGCTGGGTTACCGTCAAATCCGCCCGGCTTGCCTGGCATGGTTCCTCGGCCGCCGATCGGACATGAACTTCCTACATACCCGCCACATTCTGGACCGCTCATGAATCAACTCCGAGGTTTCCCGGCTCCTAACGGAATCCCTATTCCCCCCGGTATCAATGGCACTCGGCCTCTAGCGCCCGGTCGGGGATTCCCGCTTGAAGCAGCCCCTGGTCTCCCGTTCCATACACAGCAACCGATTGCGGGAGCGTTTGCTTCGCACCAAGGTGGTATGTCCCATGGTCATTCTAGACAACCGTCAGGGTCATTCGAGCGTTCGCCTCTTGAACCGCATGCGCAACCCTTCCCTATCTCGCGGCCCAGTCCGATCAAACGACCGCCTAGCACGCAGCAGGAGCAGAGTGACGCCAATCGTGCCACCCAGCGTGATGTCGACAACCTCAGTGCCCAGTTAGGCAGCAGTGCCCTCCTGGATGACACGGACATTCCGTTCACATCAAATCTCTCGCAGTCTCTTCCTGGTGCGACGGCTCCAGGATCGCTGCCAGGGCCTACGCGAGCCAGCTTCGGTGCGCCGTCTCTGTTCCCAGATCCTCTTGGTAAGGCCGCCTTGCTTTACACCCAATGTATTATGCTTCATGACTGACTGTTTGTAGCATCTAAACCCGGCGGTTTTCCAATGGGCCCTGGTGTAGGGGCCAACACATGGGGCACGCAGATCCCATTCGTTTCGTCCGCTTTCCCCGGAGCTCCGGCATGGGGAACTGCACATGGTATGTACAGCACTCGTTGCCGGTTTCTGTCTAATTACTGACCCTTCCAAGGGAGCGGCTGGTCCAATAACGCATTTGGCTCAGGTGGTCATCATCGCGCGCACACATCACGCCCCGTCGCAATTCGGCTTTTGGTGATTCAGGCTTGCAAGCAACTTGACACGATGAGCTCCTCCAAGGCGGGAAGTGGTTATCATGATGTGAAGATTGTTCTGCAGCAGGTGGAGCAGCTCCGGCCATCTAACGAACCTTCGATCCCACTCAAGGAAATGCTAGATATTTGCGACACGGAAGGCAACACGCAGAATGGAGGTGGATCGTTCTCTATCAAGAAGGACGAGACGGGAGAGTTTGTCAAGTTCGAACCGGATAACAACAGTGCTGCCTCAGGCCACAGAGGGAGCATCGTACCTGGGGAGATTGGCAGTCCAGTCCCGAGTAGCAGCATGCCGGCGTTTGGCGGAATCGGTAACACACCATCTGTCCTCCGGCAGTTTTCTTCTCCAACGGGTTTCTAAGGCGTTTCGGCACATGAGCATCCCATCTTAAGTGTGGATGGGGATTTGTTATTGTTCGACTTTCTACGGTTTGGGAATGATGATTGATTGCCGGAATGCTTCCTCTATTGCTTTTCGCTGTTCTTTGCTCCGTTTTCTGTCCAAGCGTCATGTCATGGTCTTATTCATTCTGATCAATCCTAACGTCTTCTTATCAAATCTTCTCGCAACACGTCTTGATGGTCGTTCCGCTTGTCTTGTTTTCTTTTCGCAACGCTCTATCGTTTCTTTCCACGTCACACTGGTTGTTCGAGTCGAGTTTATGGGTCAATACCACGGTCATGCATGGCCTCCTCTTTGCGCAATATGCAGCCATTCCATGGAGCACTGTTATCTCCATGCTAACTAATAGCATGATCGATCGGTTCTCTCGCACACCTGATTTTCTGATATTGAGGTATGCCTCACTACGTAGAATGTCCACTGTAGAAACCCCTCCGCCTGGAGATGCGACGGTGCACGTCTTTTTGTTCTAATTGAGCAGACTGTTCGTTCAACTGACTTCACTACACGATTCTGCAGACTGAATAAACAGAGATACCGTGACTTGTCAAAGCCTTTTATACTTTTGCCTGCCTGTAATGGAACGTGTGAAGATGTTGTATTCCTAAATCTGTTGGGATGATGAAACTATGTACTCCGTAATGGGCATCTCACGTGATACTGACAAGTAGAATTTTATAAGTCAATAGATGACATTGCGCAACCATCACAAGGAAGGGGGTATGATACGGTATCGACATAGACGACAAAATATGATGATACACCTATATAACCGCACGAAAATGGAGAAGGGAATCAAATCTTACACGGGTTAACGGGCTAGGAAGGACAGAAAAGCAGGCAACAATATAGGAGGAACAGCACAAGCTGAAAGACGCGTCATTTCATACAATCATTTTCACTGTCTCGGATCCGTCACCACGCCCTCGTATTCTCTGGATCGGATGTATTCCAGTGTACGCTCGAAGTGGCGTTTGGGACCCTCCAGGCCGGGGTTCGGCTCATCTTCGTTGGTCTGGAGATTCGAATGGATAAGCTCAATAAGGCCGTTCAGATACTTGGTCGTCACGGTCTCGTTTTGCTGGTCGAAGTAGTAGACGTAGCGGTTCAGGATCTCAACAAAAAGCTCCACGGACACCGCGGTATCCATGCAGGCATCCGCAACGCGAAGCGCACGCTGGAGACACTCAAGGACGCGTTTGCCGTCGCGGTAAAGCTTAAATGGTGTTAGTTAGGGATACATGCTGGTGGCAATTGATCAGGTTAGGGGGACCTACGTTCTTTGCATCCTCCTCGCCTCGTTGCGGGTTCTCAACAACCCACCAAAGGTGGCTTGCTAGATACACCGCACGGCATTGGTCGGGTTTCTTCAAGAGCTTGCTTCCATGTAAGGCGGCCTTGGTGATGAGTGTGTCGTAATTTTCCTTCGAGAAACCCCGGGTACCGTGAAGGGCACCAGCGATGATGCACACGGCCTGGAATTGCGCACGAGAGTCGCTGATGGAATCTTCGTAGATAGTGAAGGCTTGGGCGAAGAACTCGTAACTGAACTCTTCGAAGCCTGTCTGGTCGGCTACTTCGCCGCACATGACGAACAGCCGCAATGCGAGATCGGCACACCCGGGATTCACGCGCTGGTAGAGGTTGTTGACACATTGGTGCATGAAGCGGTATAGTGCCGATGACTGGGACTGCCAGTTGTCATCATAATGTTCGCGCGCTTTGAGCTTACGCGCCAACCGTATTGATGCAGTTATGAGAGCTGGGGTTGTGTAGCGGATCCGCTCGTTGCCATCGAGGTACGCTTTGCGGGTCGCTTGGAGCAGCTGCATTCACGGGTTAGAGTATGATATGATACAACCAGCTTTTGTAAACTCACCTTCAACTGGGTGTCATTTTCGGGAGCTTGGATTAAATGTACTAATCTCGCAAGCCACCCTTGCTCCTCAATGGTCTCATCGGTTTCACCGCGTCTCTGGGACTGCAGCCCAGGGTAGCCCATAGACTGCTGCGCACCTTCCTTGATTAGTACTCTCAAGGCCTGTAACACACGGTCAAGGTTTTCGGTAGTGGTAATCAAGGTCCGATGGTTGAGTAGGTTGCGAGCGATCTCGCCAGCGACTGATCGCCTCGTGGGGTAGGATTGCGATGTCAATAATGGGAGATAGTGAGGCAGCGCCAATGCCGTAAAGATTGAAACGTATGAACGGATGGGTGCGAGGAGAAGGTGTAGGAGATTCTGCTGCGTCGGCGCGGAGTGCAAGTCAGCATGATCAGCATACTCGGCCGTTTCCTTGGTAGCGAAGTCCAGGATCTGGTCGACATATTCAAGCTGATCGGGGTAGGTATTTAGCGCGAGATTGACCAATGAGACCAACAGCGCCATGGTGTCCTGAATGGGAAGTCCGCGAGTCTTGATGAGGTTGACGACCTGGTCGTAGAATATGGAGTACAGTTTGACGTCGGAGGGAATTCCAGCCTGCTCCGCCTTATCCCCATTTTCAGTTGCCGTGGGCTCTGCCTCTGCCTGGTCCGTAGTCTGTTCCGGCTCCTCCGAGGCCTGCTCCACCCCATTCTCCGCAGCGTTTGCATCCGCGTCTGTCGCAGCCGCTTCCTTCTTATTTTCTTCGGAAACCTTGAGGTTTTCAAGGAGCCGGGTGACCGCTTCTTCCTCAGTCTGCCTTCTTTTTTCTGGGTCAACGGACGATTCAGTCTCTCGCGCGGCATAAGCCGACAAGCGGTCCATAAGCCCTATGACGATCTTCTTGAGGTCCACATGGGGATTGAGTCGTGCAATCGCCGAAAGCAAGAGGTCCAGGGTGTGAAGATGGAACTCGTCGGGGAAGACCTTTGTGATGACTGGAAGGATATTAGTGTTATATTTCCAAAACGTCATACCTGCAGTGTTCCGTACCTTCAAGCAGATACTCTTGAGCGAGGACATCTCGGCATTGAACAACCTGTTCCAGCAGCGCTTGTAGTATACCGGACTTGTAGGCTTCAAGATCGACCAACTGGCTCAGTCGGACAATATTGCTGCCGACCAGCAGTTCCAGCTCCCGGCGCTCTTGCATCCTCCTCTCCCGTTCCCGCGATGGACCCTGGTGTTGAAGTCTTACCCACAGCTTGTTCATCTCCACAAAGTTAGTTAAGACAAAGTTAATCGAGTCTTGCAAGTTGCCCTCCGGTCCGTCACCAGAGCCGGTGGGAAGATGATCTCTGGCCTGACCGGAGAGATAGTATCTCAAAAAGAGACCACGAATCGGATGCTGGACACCTCGGCTCATCTCCATCATATCTTTCATGATCTCCTTGACCGGAGCATCCTCCACCGACATGTATACCGTGCCCACGGTGATCATCAGATAAAGTCGCGGGATGATGTTGCCGGCATATTGGACCAGCTCGTAGAGGTCGGCCAGGTGGTTCACCGGATGGTTCTCTTTCAGGTAAACGGAGAGGTGTCGCAAGGCATCGAAAACGGCCATGTACAGTTCGTAGTACTGTTTCGGACCTAAGCTGGGTGTGCGAAGCTCGGAAACCAAGGTAGATCTAGTTCAATGGACGAAAGGTGGTTAGTCCCCTCTGCGCGATCGCGATCTCCGCTGTTGCCTGGGAGGTGATCGGAAGCTCGAGCTTACCCGCATTTGAGCGCATCCATTAACTTCCCCGGTGTCTCGAGACATTTTCGCATCATCTGTGACTGTTGCCGTACTACTCCCAATGCCTCCTCGAGGAGGCGGCTCTGGTCCTCCGACGCCGTTATGGGGGTGGCCATGACGCTTGATATGCGGTTCGGGCTGAGTTCGGGGCGGTAAGGGAGCTCGCGAAGGGGGCGGGGAGCGGGGTGAGAGGTGGTTCAATGACAATTGGGAGAGCGAGAAGAAGATTTAGGTCGGCAGCTCCTGGTCCATAGACAGGAGGAGAGAGAGAGAGGAGAGATACGAGACAGTGGAGAGGAGGCAGTTGAAGGGAATGCGGACATGCGATGCAACTGGGGGAAGATGGAAGTGGCAGTGAGTGACTAAGGCGCCCTTATTATGTAAACTGACGTACTGCATCCCAAATAGGGTAAGCGTCGCATTCTCCGGAACGATTATTTACTTCTCGTTTACTTCTCACAATACAACTCGACCAATTCATCAATTGATGGGAAAGTATACTCCTCGCAATCTCTATATCTCGAAAATTCAATGCAGTCTACCATACCGTTCGAAGATCCAATTGATGCAAACAATGCAACCAGACAAACAGAGCAATCCATAATAAAAGACAATAAACGCCAGGTGCAAATGTACCACATAATCATAGTCCATCACATCTTTTCAAATCATATCAAGGTCAGAAACAACGAAATTCGCCATCAACCGTCAAGTCATCCATCCAGTCTAGTGTTCAGGTCGTATCAATCATTGTCGGCATTACCCCAGAAACGAAAAAAGGCAACTTGGCTAAGGTTTAAGCATGCAGCGAGGTACTGTTCAGTCCGCGCGCCATGACATTGGTGTCCCGCATTTCAGTGGTGTTGAACAAGCCGCGAGTGGAGGCAGCGGCACGTTCAGCGAGAGTGACATTACCGCGAGCAGTGAGCCGGGAACCGACGAGGTTGCGGCGCGCACCGAGACCGGACGCGGTGCCATTGTTGTAAGCAGGCTCGACAGCCTCGTCACTCCTGGTACTAAGCTCGGGCTCGGTGGCATTGTGGCGAGTAAACAAGGCACGGGATTCGGTGCCGTTGACAACGACAGACCTCCTGAGCTGCCTGGCTGACCGCTCGGTGACGTTGAACGCCCGAGCCAAGATGCCGGACTCTCCAGTGGGCACACCGGTCGGCAGAGATCCGGCAAGCCAAGGAGGGTAGCTACCCGGTACAGAACTGCTGCATGGGGACGGAGTCGCCGAAGGAGTGTTCGTCACGGTTATGGTCACAGGCGGTTGTGGAGGGTTCGGAACCACGACGGTTTGTATGGCAGGCACATCTGTGTTTGGCTGATCGCCAACGTTGACTATCGAGTACGGCTCTTCTCTGCGTTGGATGGTGTGGTTTGTGCGAAGGTTGAGGAGAGGGACTGCCTGCGCCCCGAGGGAAGAGAGAACAAGGAGAAGCGCTGAATGCATTTCGAGGAAAAAAGGTCGTAACAGGTAGGAAGGTAGGTGTGTTTTGTCTTGAATGAGATCGTATGTTCCGTTGTGTGCGTAGAGAAAATATTTGCAGTAGTAAGTAGTATGGTCTTAAGCGTTAGGGAGTAGAGAGGCGGGAGGAGGCCCTCATTTATGATCAGCGACTAGAGCAATGGAAAAGCCTGAAGACTAGCAACTAGTCCAACTATCAGTTCCATCTTGTTCTGTCCCATCATCTGACGGCAAGCAGACCCATCTCTGACCCGTGGTGCAGCGAAATGTGCAGGCTGGCGCATCCACGATGTTCTGGCCGATCCCGTCAAAGGAGGCTGGGGATCCATCTACTGCCAGCCACAGCGTTTTCCTGACGTTAGGCATCCACCGCAAGTCCAGATCGTCCTACAACCAGCACTTCCAGAGCTAGCACTGGCACAGAAGAAGATATTTTTTTCAGTGTGGCAGCGACAATTGTCTAGGCAGCCAGAATAACCGGAGTCGGAGTGTGTACAAGATGTACTCTGTAAGTGCAGAGCCAAAAATAAAACCGATGCCAAGCAGCTGCATGTGGCTGGGGGATCCACCCTGCGGCTGTGGCGTCTTAAGTAAGGGTCTCGTTCTGACGTACTCCTTCAACGGCATCAGGATGAATTAGAAAGGATCCACGATGCGGTGTAATCTTCGTGGCCTGTGTATACCGTCAGACCCGCAGGGACTATTGAAGGCTATGCGCAGAATCAGGCATGGCAACGTCAAAAGCCAACGTCAACACCGGTATAAACCTCCGATGCCCTCGTGCAGTTAGATTCGGACCGTGGTTGTTTATGTTAGCTGTTGAGAGAAGCTCAGGTTGTGCTACGCTCGAATTATGCACTTGTATTGGGATAAAGTTTGTCTTTGTCGTTAGAGTTCAAATTAGATCCACCAGGAAGAGCGTAATGGTACTCTAGGGAACTTATGAGTTGATCTTCCTCCGTTTACCGCTATATGCACATCTATTATATACGTAGTCCATAATTGCGTGCACTCGGCCTCCTTAGGCAGCCTCAGTATTCGTAGGCACTCTAATGGACTGCCTTTACGCACACACCGCTGTCGGCAAAGTTGAGCCCATGGGCTCCATATCCTACTGGGCAGGATTTATCGATTAGCCAGCAGACACCTTAGACTGGATACCGCAGCCACTATCGATCGACCGTGCAGGACGGTGGAATACGCCACGGTTGAACGTTTCACAATGTTCACAACACAGTGCATAAGCGGTTTGGCGGTGGGTATATGAAATAGTCACTCAGAGAATCGTCATCCGTAGTAGATTGCATAACAATGGCGTCCAATGACATAATCAATCTATAGCTAGATCCTCAATCCGAACTAGTCCACATCCCAGACCGGCACTGGCCCAGCCCGCACACGTCTGGTTCGGGTTCCAACAGAGGGAGGTGACATGGGTCCCCTCCTCATAGATCGTAATCATCATCACTCCATTGACGACTCTGGGGTCTCCAATCATATTTCGTAATAGGCTGGTACTCTCGGCGCGGTATCCATCAAAGAATCTGCTGGTACCTGGGCTGTCCGTCTCCTCACTTCGCACCCATTCGTGGGTGAACCAGGTTTGCTGCCATTGTTTCGCCTTAGAGTGCAATATACGTCGCAAAGGGTTGGTCGCGATAACTGCGCCGCCCGTACATCCAAATAGAGCACTTGGATGCCAGGAACTGGATGGCGCGTGGGCAGAGATTGTGCTAGGAAATTTCGCAATTGCAGTGGTGCTGAAGAATCGGCGGACCGTGATGAGTCGCACGAAATCATTCTCATCTGACGAGAGGAAAGACTGTAGAATAGGGGAGTAGGATAAATGAGGAGAACCCATTCGCATGCGCGGCGTGTCAACCACATCTTTGTGGGGATCGGTGATTGATATCATCCGAGTCTCCCCATCCATCGAAGTTGTGGCCAACAAGTGAGAGTGCGTTGGGTAGGCAGAAGTGATGCTGAGGACATAGGTCGAGTGAATCGGTTCAAAGAAGTATGGGAGTGGATTTGTTGATAGGGCGTCGGACGGGATTATGCTCCATATAGCCACAAACCCATTGGCACAGCCAACGGCAATGTCAGTCGGGGAAAGCCATTCTAAGCATGTGCAGAGCGTTGACGGAGGTTTCGCTTCAAATGCTGGTGCATGGACCTTGTCTGCTACATGTTAGCCGAGTGAGCTCTTTTTGGCTTGTATGTTTTGAGCTTACAGAATTCGGTGCTCTTGGGGTCACGGTTTGTTTTGATGTCAAGCACTCGCAAATAACCATCACCCCAAATACCAGCCAGCAATCCGATGGTCTTCAAGGAATCTTCATCATCCTCGTCCCGTGAGGCCCGAGATATCGGACACCATGCCATCCGTCTGAGATCACCCCAGCTAGTACACAAGCCCAAGCGTAACTGCGGAGGTGAGTCCATGTCAAGGGCCTTGGTCAATGAATTCCCTCGTAGAGCCTTGAAGGACCAAAGCTGCAAGGCGCACGGATAAGGGGCAGAAGGCCGAAATGCCGGCGCCCCAGCATCGCTGAACGGATCAGAGTATTCTCCTTTTTGCTCTTCTGAGATAGGTGTCACCAGGGCCAAGTACTGAGTGATGTCTGAGTGGTTGGGCGCCCAACCCATACATTGAACTTTTTGTCCTAAATTGAGAAGCCAACCCTGTCGTTGTTTGGTTCTTTCTGTCCGCGTAGCAGAAGATTTGCTTTTGGACTCCTTCCAAGCCTCACCGTAATTGATCGAGTCGTGCTGTCCAAGAGTGAACTTCTTTTGGTTGTCAGTCGGCCCCATAAAAACAGTGTGCTCCTTCCTAGGCCGCGGTAGATACACCCGCCGGGCCTCTTTTTCCTCCAGGGGCTCGAGCCGCTGTCGTTTTCGAAATCGTCCGCCCACATCGTCTGTATAATACCAGTCCCAGCCATGGGTTTGTTCCCTCTTTAACTCATCAGGCTCAACGCCAAAGGTAGGTCCGTATGTGTAGGTAGGGATTGCCCGATCATCATTCAGCGAAGAGCGGGTTGGAAGAGCCGAATCCAACCCTTTAGCCCATCGGTCCCTAGCATACAAGACAGATAGCAGACTCTTCTCGTCGACACTGAAAGACATTTGCAGGGTAATCAGCTTGCCCAGATGGTCGACAGGGTTCCAAACACCCCTTGAATGGGGGCCATTGTCTTTCAGCGCACCCGTGCCATCAGCTGCTAGCTTCTTAGGAGTTCTGACTCGAGCTGCAGCGGTGACCAGTAGTTTGCGAGGAGTAGCATCTTCATCCTCTTCCGAACCAGGTTGGTTGTCGTCATCGTTCTCTGGGATGATTTCCTCACTGGACTCTTCTTGGTCATCGTCGGCTTCTTCCTCAGTATTCGGGGCCTCGAATTCTTCATCCGAAGAGTTGTCGTTATGCGCCGGGGTCTTCTTTTTTGGACCCGAGGCTCTAGCTTCTGTATCAGATTCTTCGCTGACGCCCGCGATCTCGAACGGATCGTCAGTATATTTGGCTACTGCGCCGCGATTTGATCTGCGAGGACGAGGCATCCCGTCGCTTCATTGACTACCTAGGACTCGAGAGACGGATCAAGAATCAACATCCACTGCCGCTGTGGATAAAGCGCATCTGATGTTGTAGGTAGCTCTATAGCATCATGAGGAGTATTTGGAATGGATCAAGTGAAGGAGAAAGAGGACTGCCAATCAAGCACACAGCATACTGCCCGAAGGCGGTGAGACAGCCAGAGGGCTGGCTTTCCTTCTATATGTTGACCATTATCGTACTAGGGATATCATTTCACGACTTCTGAAATTCGGATTGGCCTCTGTGAGCATCATGCTTACTCTCGGCTACAACGGGAGGTAGAGTTCCCCTGGTGTGGGAAGAAGGAGTCCTGTTTGCTCACAAGCATCACCCCACCTACTAGGTAACTAAGCAGACAAGGTACAATGGCCCCCACAACCAGGTATAAGATCTGACTGTAGCAACGTCAACTCATGCTAGGCACGACTATACCTTCACTCACCCTTTCTCTCCGCCATTTCTAGATATATAGTCACCGTTTCCACCATCAAGCCCATACACAATTGCCTCACGACGCAATCATGGCCCTATCCCACCCCGGAGTCCTCCATCAATATGTATGCTAACCGTGACCGCGCCGCATGCAAGACAAGAGCTGACAACCTACTAGGCCGCTGGTCTCGTCGCATTCGAGTACACATCTACCCCGGCTACTCCAAAGCCGAACAGCCTCCTCTTCGTCGGCGGATTGACCGATGGCCTCGGGACGGTTCCCTACGTCACCACCCTCGCCAAGGCCCTTGAGACGACCGACTGGTCGCTGTTCCATCTCGTCCTCACGTCCTCCTACAAGGGCTGGGGCTTGGGCAGTCTGGACCAGGACATTGAGCAGATTGGCCAATGCGTCGACTACGTTCGCCGGGTGAAGGGCGCATCCGCCCCGCAGTCAAAGGTCGTGGTGATGGGCCATTCGACCGGCAGCCAGGACGTGCTGCATTACCTGATCGCGCCGAACCCCGTGCCGCAGAACAGCACTGTCGGCAACGCGAACGAATTGACGCACCAGCCGCGGCCGCCGCTGGACGGCGCCATCATGCAGGCGCCCGTGTCGGACCGCGACTCGCTCCTGCGCGGGGTCCGGGACGTCCCCGAGCTTAAAGCCACGTACGACCAGCTGGTGGATATGGCCCGGCGCCAGGTGCCCGGTGAGGTCTTGCCGTTGAACTTGACCACTACCCTTGGCTTCCCGTCCAACAACCCCATTAATGCGTATCGGTTCTTGAGTCTCGCGAGCCCGGATAGCCCCGCGCATCCGGCGGACGACGATCTGTTCAGCACGGATCTGACGGATCAGCGGCTCGCGGAGACGTTTGGAGTGGTTGCGAAGCGCGGAATGCTGCGGTCCAGACTCATGGCGCTGTATTCCGGAGCAGACGAGTTTGCTGTGCCTGGGGTTGATAAGAACGCGCTTCTGGCTCGGTGGAAGAAGGCAACGAACGCCGGCGGAGAGGGCACTTGGGATGATAACAGTGCGGTGATCCCGGGGGCTAGTCATAACGTTAAGGACGTGGGACAGGAGGAGCTGGTTGAGCGGGTCCTGAAATACTTGAACGGTATCTAGGTAGACGATCGGGCGAGGAGGATTAATCGGTGGGATCCATGCCTTCGCGAACGTAATATACATCGACATAGGGAATAGAGAAGAAGTGAAAGAGACAGGGTATAGTAAATAGGTAGTAGAGTCGATCAACCGGCAGGCCCTTCATCCGCGGCCATTCCTCAAATCCACAATCAAACCCTCAACCACAAGTTGAGCACGCCCTTCAGATACTCGACAATCTCCGAGCCTCCCAGCTTACTCTCGCCATATAGCCGATCCACAAACGTGATGGGACACTCGGCAACCTTGAAGCCCATGGCCTTGGCCCGGACCATCATCTCCATTTGGAAACTGTACCCCTTGCTCTGGGTGCTGTGGATGACCTTCTCAAGCACGCTCTTCTTGTACAGCCGGAAGCTACCAGTCAAGTCGCTCACGCCGGGCATCAGCATGACATCGGCGATGAGGTTGGCCGTGCGCGAGGTGAACTTCCGGAACAAATCCCACCCGTACACGCCGCCCTTGATACCGTCGCGGCTGGCGTACCGCGTGCCGCTGACGATGTCGGCGTCCGTCTCCTTCTGGATGCGAATCATCTCCGGGATGAACTTGGGGTGGTGGCTGAAGTCGGCGTCCATGATGATGATGTAGTTGCCCGTGGCGAACTGGAGGCCGTGGACATACGCGGTGCCCAGGCCCAGCTTGCCTGCGCGCGGTCTCAGGTTGATGTGTTCGGGGCCCCAGAGCTTCTGGAGCTGCTTCGCGACTTCGAGGGTGCCATCGGGCGAGCCGTCGTCGACAATCACTACCTCCCAGTCGAGGTTACTTGAGAAATCAATTAGTCTGGGGGGTTCGCAGGGAATTGAAGGTGGAATTCAAAAGTCAAGACGTTCGTCACTCACTTCTCGCGGAAAGTCTTCTCCAACAACCAGCACATGATAGGGAGGTTTCTCCGCTCATTGTAGGTCGGGAGAATGACCGAATACTTGTTCTTGGTGGCACCCATATTGTCTGTGGTTTTTAAAACGAATGTAGAACAGCTCTAATATGCCAGAGACTGTGCCCAGGAGGATCGGAAGCGACAATTGCCAGGTGTTGGGTTGGAGAGGAGGAGGGGAGGCCGAGGATGGATGGGAGAGTTATTGGGGTTGCTCCTGAGCGCAACTGGCTTGGCGCGGGAGATCCGCGTTCGCATAACGTGGCCAGACCGAATGCAACCGTCGCGTCCGGCCGTCATCATCTTCAATACGGAGTACATCCACTGGGGAATATGGGGCTATGATTCAGAATTAACGTACACTAACTACTAATCAGACAGGTACATCTCGCGCCCATTGCCAACTGACCAAACCAGACACAATAATAAACCAAGCAACCTACCCGAATCTACGGCCGTCTCCAGAACCCCTTGTGCACCTTGCCTTCGTCCGCAATCTGATTGTACGGCCGGTCATATCGTTCCTCCATCTCTTTGTTATGCCGCTTCACATCCTCCGGGACATTATCGCGCGTGTTCCCTGCGTCATCCACGTTCGGTGACTGACGGCCATCGGTGATGGTCGGATGCGCCTTATTGGAGGTCTCCTTGGGGATTGCGTACTCTTTGCCCTGTGACGTCTGGCCGGAGGACTCTGGCGAAGAACCTTGGGATGCAGATCCGGATGAGCCCTTGCTGACGTCTGGCGGAGGGGGTCCTGTCTTTTATTACTACCCGGCTCTTGATTTCCTGAGTCGGCAACTTACCTGGATGTTCTAGGTCCCGAGTGGCTTTGCTTGGTTCAGCATCGGCTTCTCCCTCACCACCGTAAGAACTATGGCTGTAGGCTCTCCATGTCTGGAGGTTGGATCTCTGAAGGCGACAACTGGAGGCGATGAAAGGGTTCACTGCCCTCGTTGTGGGGATCGTGCGGAAGACGATGCTCATCTTGGGTCGGAAAGAATGATTGCTGTACAGACTGATTGATAGGCACTTGCATGTACAGTAATGTGTGGATTGGGCCGTCTACCTACAATTCACGCGCAGGAGACTGTCTTAAATAGGTGATCTGCTATGATTTAACCGGTGGCGCGTTGTCTGGGGATTCGCTCATGGCTGATCGGGGTATGACGTTTTCCCACGCTCACATCATCAGCATGATTAAGAACCACCACGAAAGGCAAATCAGCATCGGGTGGAAATAGTAGTCGTCTATGAACCATGAACCATAGTTCGCCTTACTGACTAGGAAACAACTGTCTCGAAGATCTCCACATATTGTACTATATAAGCACTGCGAAATAGTAAAGGTCGATGTTCCGCGCAAATCAAGGGAAACAGTAGACAATACACCAGACGGTAATGGCTCGCATCAAATGGTTCACAAACGCCGGAACTGCTCGCAATCAGAACGATGGAAATGCCCGAGGAAGAATCAAATCAGGAAACTCGGCAAAGGAACTTGATCACGCCGTAAGAATACCCCCAGACAGCGTATAAGCTGCAAAAGAGAAACGAGGATGGAATATCACGCCGTAGGAGAAGTCAAGCACCGCAACAACAAAAACCAAAAATCGAAGATGATGGAAAATCAATCATTCATATGCACATGATGACAGTCAAAGTCATTCCCAAACCACCCATTCATTATAACGCCGATGCCTGCGGTCTTTGTGGCAAAAATGGAGCAACCATATCGCTGCCTCCCTCTTGTGGTACACACCAAAAGCGCAACTAATCTGTCAACGATACACAGTAACACACACTTTCATATTGTGCCTTGGCCGTGTATGTCTGGGTTGCGCCGCCATCGCCCTTCATCGTTGTCGTTGGAGTCGGCTCCCTCTCTTTGATCTCGATGGTGGCGGGGGAAACAGTCTGGATTGAGCCTTTGTCCATCACCTGCATCTGCTGGCAGTAGGGAGCCTGAGCATCCGCATAGTCCCGTTTTTCTTCGATCTTAATCCGCCTGGGGTAATCTTCCAGGGACTGACCGCGCTTTGCGAGGCTAGTCTTTGAGCTGGCGGTTGGCTCCGTCTGCGTAGTGGTCGTGGTGGTGGTGCTATACTGGGCCTCTTTGGTGGTCTCGTTCAAATAGAGGAAGAACTCCATCACCGTGTTGTTCCACCAGCAGAACCACGGCTTGTCGCCAATATGTACGGTCTCCTTGCGTTGGAATGCATTCAATAACACGTCACTTTCGCTGACGGACCGTTTTGTCGCAGCTTCGGATGGGAATGTGTCTTGCGGGACGACGACCAGTTTATCGAACAAGGAGAAGAAAGTCAATGCGGGCCCCAGGCTGAGGTCGCTTGAATCCATCATCAGGCTCAGGGACTGAGTAGGGTTGGGGAGAATTGGTGCCTGGGCACCATAGGTCAAAGACGACGATGAAAAGGAAGTATCGCTGCCAAAGGTAATATTGTGCTGTTTGTCCTCTTCGGTAATCTCGATCGGAATCTTGCCTTTTGTCATACAGCTCCAGGAGGATTTATAATCCTCATAGTCGGAGATGCAGAATCTTGACGAATTTTTCGGGCTCGCAGGGATTAACCACGGACCCGTAGGAGCCGGCATCAGGTTCAGCGGTGTCGTAGTAATCGGGGTCGCGTCCATCCTTGGGGAAGCCGTGACGGTGACAATATTAGGCCCCGGGGGCTTCTGTTTCTCATTATTGGCGGCTTTCTTGGCCCCTAACACACCGCCGATGACACCTCCGATACAGGCAACGACAAGAATGACAACACCGACAAGAACCAGTGTCCAGACTGGTAGTCCGCAGCATGCCTTCTTCTTACCCTTGCTCTTCAACTTTTCCTCGAACGCCATGATTCCTGTGGCTGGCGGTTCCCCCGGCGGTGGATTAGCAATGGCACTCGTCACGGGTTGATTCTCCGCAACTATTGTCGTAGAAGATATTTCCGAAACCGGGAGTGCCGCCGAGCGGTCGCGGTCGGCTGTATCTGGCGGGGGTTCAATAGCATCTACCGAGTCGAATGCTCCTTCGATCTTAGGAGCAGCGCCATCGGGATACCGAGAATAGGGAGGCAGTTGTTCCGTATGTCCGTCAGGACCAACAAGATCCCCCACATCATCATCAGCACGATTAGCTGGTCGCTGATACGCTTGCGCGTGGCCGGGAAATCCAAGCGGTATCACCGGGTTGTCCAACCCTTCTTCTGGCACAACATTTTGAGGGTACATGGCGTAAGGATGTTGAGGCGCGTTCGTATCCGTCAATGGTCGGTCAGGGCGAACCGTCGAAGTGGTAGTTATGCTTGGAGACCGGCTAACGCCAACTTGCGGATACATTGCGTAGGGGTGACTTGGACCGGTCGCACCCGTATACGGGCTGAGGGCCCGGGGCGGCATAGAAAATCGCGACGATGTACTCTGACTACGCTGAGCGATGGAGGGCGTCGTGGTGATAGATGCGATGGAATTGCGGTTGGATATGTCGACCCCTTTCTGGGGCAGGCTGGATCGGTGGGGGGTATCGTCATCAAGGGAGACTCGAGCGTCATCCCCGAAGGGATTCTCAGTCACTTCGGGCCCAGTGGGAACGCTGCTATATGGCTTCTGCTGCTGTTGTGGTATAGATGAACGAAGAGTGTGGGATGATGCCGCCGAGGACACGGATGGGCTCCGAGGAGTGAGGGTGGACTGTTCCGAATCTATCGGGTCGAGGGAATAATCGTCGGAAAAGACATTAGGATTAGAGGATCGAGCGGGATTCCAATGTTGACGCATTGAATCGGAATCGCAGGAAGGACGATTTGAAACAGACGGAGACTGTGAGGCTCGTGAGAGGGAACGAGAATGTTCGGATGGAAGACGCCCAGACATGGCGCTATACAGCCCCGTCGGGCTTGCTGGGTTTGCCGATCAGACCGTCCCAACGAGCGAATCAGTCACCTGAGTCGGCAGATAGTGTCTATCAGGCAGAAACGGTAAAGCCAAAGAGGCAAATCGCTAAAATGAAGGGAGAAAATGGAGATAAACGAAAGATAGTGAGATGACGGTCGGGAGGATCGTGGGGAGAGAATGGGGGTGCGAGGACGATCGGTCGGACTCGGAGGATCGAATGGGGACGGGAAGAGGTGGTGGTAATCAGGCGGGAACGGCGTATCTGAAGACGGTAGAGGGCGATAGTGGGAGGGAGGACGGTGTTGACAGAGTGGTCGTGGTGGTGAAATCAGATGAGGGAGTGAGAGAGAAGACGAGCGAGGGAGATAGAGGGAGAGAGAATGAGTGAGATGGGCGAAGGTGGCAGCCTGAGGGCCTGAGGGCCTGAGGGAGACCCCGGGACGGGACTAGACTCAGACTAGACCCGTTTAGTCCGAGCGTCTTGGATCCGTTCAGGATGCCTTAGGACTGATGATTGATTACCCGACCTTCCGTTTTGCTCTTGTGACTGTTCCTTTGCTTTTACTACTCACACCTCTCTCTCTCTCTCTCTCTCTCTCTCTCTATCTAATTAATTCCATCGGGTTTCTATCGATCGCGACCGATTTTCAAGCAAGTCGAAGAGAGCAGTCCGTCGGAAACCGCCCGACTTTAGACTTTTCTCCTCAATCCAGTATCATGGTATCGACTCCGCCTTTGCCACTGGGATGAACTCGGAAACCGTCCTTCCCTCTCCTCTCACGATTTGGTCGACTAAAGTGAACTGTTTTGGCATCGGGGTTTCTTCGGTTGCACTATGACACAAAAGAATCATACCTAGTGTCCCCAGACGGCCTCAGCAGGACGGAGTGGTAACCAGAGTGGTAACCACACCACGCGAATTGATCCTGGTCTGAAACACCAGCACTTGCCCATCATCTTCGGGAATCACTCCGTCACCGCAGTTAAGGCCAATTGCAAGTCTCGGCTTCAGGCCCATTTCTTCTATGCGCTTCGACACTACGGAGTACAATCTTGATTTTTGCTCTTTCTCATGCTCCACTACCAAAACTTGGTCCAGAGAAGGGGGAGAATACTATAGGAACCGATGAGGGTCTAGGATTATTACCACTAACGGGCTCTAGTCATACCCGCAGCGATCCCAAGAAGGGCGCCTTCAATACATAATACACGGTGGGGACAGTACCTGGTCCGGAAAACTCTATCTGCCCGAATCCGGAAATGCGGGCGCGAACCCTTGAATGCTTTCAACGAAGATCAGCATCGCCAGGTTAATCACCCGTGATAAGAATAGCAATTGGTTCGGTTGATCAGTCGAGCTGTGCGACTCTCAAACGTCCTGATTCACAGTGCCTTGCAGGGGCGTGAATACTGTACTCCGTGCAGGAGAATACCTACCGACAAAGGTACAAGGCTGCGAAACATGGATCTACGGAGTAATGCCGCAATGCCATCTCCACCGGTACTGTCCTCGCTACCGTCCATTTGATATGCTCGGCTCCGGCACACGGTGATTGTTCTAGCCAGCTAGAGTCTAGAAGATCAACAGATTCAAGGTCCCAGTCCAGTCAACGACTCATACTTTACATCGAATTGATCCACTGCAGACAAACAGTATTGTTGTAGTCCGGGAGCTCAACCAGACAATTATATGGGTCCTCCGAATGAAAGAAATCACATCACCAATCCAGTTATCTATCAACAATATGCCTCTAACGACTAACTCCCCCATCCATCGAAGCCTTGATCAAGCCATAGAACGAGAAAAGACTTGCGATATATTGTATTTAAGGCGGAAAGCATTCAAATATCAGCATCCTGTTATGGATTCGTACCAGTATTTCCTAGGTATTATACCTGCAGAAAGCATGGAGACTCCGTCCTCACTATTTCCCGCACAGCCGTTCGGTACTTTTAGACATCTCAATCATACCAATGGATGCAAGAGATTGCATCGCAGAGAGCAATATCGGAATTTATCGACCCAACATTGTGACGCAACAGCCAGGAACTCGACGGGTGGTTCTAGAACCATGGTGGATAACATGGCTCCAACGAAACACAGAATCTTATCCATCCGAACCCAGACAACGCATGGTTGATGTTCTAGACACATCGAAATCAAGATCTCATATTCCACATGCTTCCGACCTATGGTTGTCTCATGAGCGCTAGTATGTCGGATAGCTTCACGGTTCCTTTTTCTCCCCATCCACCGGCTCCGCTCTGGACTTCAGGCCTAACGCGTACATACCAAGCCCAGGCACGCCTGTCCAGTTCATCCGTGCTGAGAGTAGCAGCCCATGACTGACATACCATATCGATGGAACTTAGAAGGTGGCCTAAAGTAACCTCCCTCTCAGTTTCTAGCTGAGCCGCAGTCTTTCGTGCCGATCGTTTCGGGGAATTGCGATCTTCTGGTAAGACTTGCGCAAACGCTTTCAATAGATACGACCGTGCAGATTCCGGTGTGTATATAGGAAGGCTGTTACCGGATTTTGAAGGGCCAGAGGACCGTTTTCCATGGGTGCTTTTCAATGCCTCGAGGTCAATGCCCCATAACGGAGGCATGCTTTCCGAACCCTCTGCCACTTCTTGGCCTAGAGTATCATCCAGGGACTGAGAGGCTGTAGCATCTCCGTGCGAGCCGCCTGCTTCTGCGGAATCGCCCTCTCGAGGATTGTAACCCCATCGCTTTAGGACTCTGATATCCCTACCCAGTACTTTGACCACGGGCTGGCCTTGCCCCCAACCTTCTTGCTCTGCGGAGGCACCGGTTTCAATGCCTAAGCTGACAGCTTTCGAGCGGCTGTTGGCACTGACTACGGCCTGCGCGAGACTCAGTCTGCTAGATATTGGCTGCTCTGGCATAGTGTATTTCAAAACACAGACGGCGAAGGCAAGCACAAGCGGTGCACGGTTGGTGAGTAGAACCACTTTTGACAGCTCTTCTTCCGCTGTAGACGAGGCCGGTAAAGCCAGCTCACATTCCCGCTGAAAAGGAGTCATATTCTCTTTAGATTCAGGGCCTTTTATCTTCTTTGGGGATGGTGCTGTTTTCTCGGATGGTGCTGTGCGTTTCTTGGAGACACGCTTAGCAGCGTTCAATACTTGCTTTGCTGTTTTCTCATCCTTGAATATCTCTTGGAGAACCTTGACATCTGCCTTGGATATTTCTTCGGCACTGCATTATTCATTAGAGGGACTCCACCGGGTCAAAGACGTATTACTCGTACGTTATTAGGCTTGATTTTTGGAGCTCGATTACCTTGCTCATCGCAGTAGCAAGCGGGACTTTGGCATCTTGGGAAAGGAAACGAAGTAGATTCTGTACTTGAGAAGAGGCCATATCTGGGTCCAGTTGCACTTGTTTCTCCTCTTTATGTGGAGGTAACTGAGAAAGAGAGAGTGTCGGGAGGAATAGAAGGATGGCAAAGTAATGCATTGTTTCTGCCTGAGGCTGCGATCGCCTCCGCCCCGGAAGCTCCAACTGCGAAACTCCGCAGCAACATTCCCTCAACCCGGTCCCTTCAGAACTCACGACAACAGATTTGCTGCCGCGGCGGCTCGCTCACCATGTCGGACGATCCGAAATCCAAGGCTTTTCCTGACGTTTCGGCGAAACTCTCCGCGCTTCCCAAGAAATCCCTATTCGAACGCCAGAAAGCCGAAGCCGAAGCCAAGCGGGCCCGAGAACGCGCTGAAACCGCCGCTGTCTATGAGGACTTTGTCAAATCATTCGAAGACGACTCTGGTGGACCGGATAGAACCACCGCAGATGGAAGACCAAACAGGTTCGGCAATCGAGCTCCTGGGTTCGGAAGCGGCCCTGCCAAACGCCATTTCACCGGCTCTGGTCAGCGCATGAGCGGGCCTGGCACTTTAGGACCACCGCTGCAGGCGCCGTCGCGGAAACGCACACACGAGGGATTCCAGCCACTACATCGGAATCGCGATTCGGGTATACTGGGGTTTGACAATGCGGGTGTCGGTCCGCCTCCTGCAGCCTCCGCCTTTCGCACATCCGACGACGAGGACGAAGGCACGGCCGATGCGAAGGAGGCGGAGAGGGCTGCGGCGAAACCTACACTGTACCTAGCATCGCTACCTCCTGGGACATCACCGTCGGTGGTCAAGTCATTGATCCCTTCAACGCTGGGAGTCGACAATGTGAAGATCCTCCGCCCGCCTAATCAGCCTTCCACCGATCGCAAGTCTGTTTCCGCCATTGTGACACTGGTGAATGAATCTGCGGCGTCGGACATCGACAGTGCCGTCAGCACGCTTCAGAGCAAATATCTTGGATGGGGATACTATCTGTCGATCTCCAGACACCTGTCATCCGCCGCGATCAGCTCGACCATGCCTGTCGCCACTGGCTTGTCGTCGACTCTTCCCTTTGGGGCTAAAACAATCGCACCCGAGGTCGGGGGCCGACTGAACAGAGCTCCTCCGCCGGCACCGCATCGGGGTGGGTTCGCGCCGCCGGCATCTTACGGGCCCTCATATGGTCGAAGTGGTCCCGCAACACAAGTCGAGGTGAAAGCTCCGTCGGACTTGAAGCAGCTGAGACTCGTTCATAAGACACTGGAGAATCTTCTTAAGTATGGCCCTGAGTTTGAGGCTCTGTTAATGAGCAGGCCCGAAGTCCAACGAGAAGAGAAGTGGGCCTGGCTCTGGGATGCGCGAAGCACCGGAGGAGTGTATTACCGGTGGAAGCTATGGGAAACCCTCACCAACAGCCATCCTAGAAGTCGACGTGGAGCACCGCGGAATCCGTTGAGTATATTCGAGGATGGTCCCAAATGGTGCCCCCCGGAGGCAAAGACCAAGTTCGAATACGTTACGCGGATAGACGAATTTGTCTCCGACGATGATTATGACTCTTCCGATGAAGATATGTCAGACATTGAGGACGAAAGAAGGAATCATAGTGGAGCTCCTCCAGCTGAAGGGCCGGGCACGACCGATGGTCTGGGTTACATGAATCCTCTCCAGAAGGCGAAACTCGCTCACCTTCTCGCGCGTCTTCCAACAACACATGCAAAGCTACGAAAAGGCGATGTTGCGCGTGTTACTGCCTTTGCTATTGAACATGCGGGTGCTGGCGCAGAGGAAGTTGTGGAAATGATTGTGCTGAACATCCGTGAGCCGTTTGCTTATAGTGGGGCCAACCCCCAACGTGAAAGAGAGAAGGGCATTACGCGGCGCGAGCAAGCAGGAGACGGGGCTACTGAATCTCGGACAGGGGAGAATCGCTCAGCCTTGGATACGTCCGCTGCGAAGCTAGTTGGTCTTTACCTCATCTCCGACATTCTCTCTTCTTCTGCAACGAGCGGCGTCCGTCACGCCTGGAGATACCGACAGCTGTTCGAATCGGCGTTGAAATCGCACCGTGTTTTCGAACACCTCGGAAGGCTTGAAAAGGACTTTGGCTGGGGTCGTCTGCGGGCTGAGAAATGGAAGCGGAGTGTAGGCACCCTTCTACACCTGTGGGAAGGCTGGTGTGTCTTCCCGCAATCGAGCCAAGAGCACTTTTTCCAGGTGTTTGAGAAGCCTCCCCTTACGGAAGAGGAAATGCGAGAAGAGAAAGAGAAGGCCGAAGCTGAACGAGCTACAAACGCGTTCTCCAGGAGCAAGAGTCGTTGGAAGACTGTCGATGAGGACAAGGACTCGTCGACAAGCAAGTTCAGTCCATTCAAACCTGTCGGAGCTGACCGTTCTCGGATGGACATTGACCAAGGACCTGTCGTTCCTGGGGGTGATGGCGATCTGGGCGGAGAGCCGATGAGCGATATTGATGGCGAGCCGATGGAGGATAGCGATCTGGACGATGCCCCTGATGGCGAGCCAATGGAGGAAGGGTCTCCTATGGAAGAAGATGTTGGACACCAGGAGTCCAGTGAGAAACAGCCTGCACCTGTACCACCAGCTCAAAGCGAGCCTCCGCGGCCTGTTCGCAAGCCACGGCCCAAGGCAGAGGACATGTTCGCGGACTCGGATTCAGAGTGAAGTTGCAGTAGCGGTACCACGATACTCCGAGATGCTGGCCATGCGATGAGTATTTGTACTTGAGGAATGAACTTACGCTATATAATACAACAAAACCTAAGAAGATACCTGGATATCCAACGAAGCATATAGAATACGACGAGTGGCCGTGTTGCTGCCTTAAGGCATCGAGGGGATCGAGCCCCACAATCTCCTCTTCGCGGTTGAAATACTTCCCGCTGTTGATATCAATCTTCTCCTCCTTCCCCCAGACCTCTCTGATCCGCATACTTCCCTACACCATCTTCCTTCTCTGTTCTTGATCCCTTCTAAATCCTTTGGGGTTAAATTTTGTCAAAATGGCCGGTGAGTACTTGTGTCAGGTTACCTGGTTCCATAAGAGCATTACCCCTCCTTCAATCTGCGAGCCCCTCCACGATGAGATACCCAAAGCATCACAGTCATAAATAGTGCTAACATGTCCATCCTACCCTCTAGACTTCCAGAGCATTGCCCGTAAGTATCCTCCGACACTCAGTTCTTTCACCGGCCAAAAGCGATCGTGATCGCGCCCGTCCACAACCTCGCTGCCCACCAGCAAAGCGCGAACCGTTCTAACGACAAATCACCGCCATAACAGAGCAATTCGTCACCTTCTACTACCAGACGTTCGACTCGAACCGTCAGGGCCTCGCTGGTCTCTACGTATGATACAACCATCTTCAACCCTCCGAAACGACAGAAAAGAGATCGACCACTGACTCTGACTCCCGCAGCGCGACCAATCCATGCTCACCTTTGAGACGAGCTCCGTCCAGGGTGTTGCCGGCATCATCGAGAAGCTGGTGGTGAGTTTACGTCCTATGCGCTGAGTCGAAACGCGAAGGGGTTATGAATACTGATGGCGTTGGTGTTTCGTATAGTCTCTTCCCTTCCAGAAGGTCGCGCATCAGGTCGGCACTCTTGATGCTCAGCCCTCCAACACTGAGGGTGGAATCCTTGTCATGGTTACCGGTGCTCTCCTTGTATGTGGTTTCGGTTCGATGGTCGAAAGGAAGTTGGGTATGCTAATACGGTGGTTTAGGTTGACGAGGAGCAGAAGCCCATGAACTACACTCAGTCCTTCCAGCTGCTCCCTGACGGCCAGGGCAGCTACTTCGTGTTCAACGACATCTTCCGTCTTGTCTACGGTTAAACAACAGATAGTGTTACAAGAGGTTCTGAATGAGCACGGCTTTAGGCTCGTGCGGTAATGAATTTGCAGCACCCGTGGCCCCAAACATTATACAGCTGCTGTTTATGCAATTTTACATTGAGGGATTTTCTATAAGGTGTACCGAAAAGCATAACACTTCTATTGTTGTCGTCCGGTTGTGCTTAGACATGACGTAGACTATGGAACAAGCCTGCTTGATCTGTGCTGTCCTATATCACAAATGTTCATCCAGCGTCTGGCTGTACTGCTCCCGAGCATGTTGCAGTCAAACGGTGACTATTTTCTAGGTCGGACTATCCCAAGACTGGGCGATTCGTTGCGTCTGGGATCACTGGCTCTGGAGGAGCGGTGTTTCCTCGGAAGGCTGGACGCCTTGTCCGTCCCGGGACTCGTCGACACCCACCGGTTCATCGGGACAACCATCCTTGTCCAAGTGGTGTGAGTGGCCCTTATTGGGTCCAAGGTACTCAAAGAAGATCCCTAATATCAGCAAAGTGCCCTGTAGACACGCCGTCACGATCAAGACGCCCCATGTGCTCCAACCCTTGCTGCCCAATCTGGCGGCCAGGCTTCCTGCCCAAACCAGACTGCCTGGAGTCTGAATGCACATCATCGGGATGCTCAGGCTGCCCACACAACGGAGCTTCAGAGTCGTGTATATTTGGGGGAAGTACTGGATGGAGGAGAGTACAGCCGCCAGGATGCCACAAAAGTTCGACCAGGATTGGAGTGCAGTTGGTCGCTTGAGACCAATAGCGATCGTAACAATAACCATGACTATCGCATGAAGGACGCACACCACACTCACGGCCAAAGCTGTTCGGTACGTTGGGCCGCCATTGTTCGTGGGCTCTGGCGTCACAGGAGTTGACGGTTCCGGACTCCGTGGGAAGTAGATGACAAATAGGAGAAGGCTGTATGGTAAAAGAGGGCCAAAGTTGTCAGTTTTGTGGGAAGAATAGGGCTGTTGAGAAGGGGTGGCTGTGACTCACATGATGAAGAAACAGAGACACTGCGTCCCAACTTGGAAGATGCCTAGAAGCCCTGCAAAGCAGGCGAGGCCGCTCACATCCTTGCAACAGGTCACATCCTGTAAACTTTGCTGTTGCGATACCACATTCGCCAAGGCTGATGAGCCGGAGGTTGTCCCGAGCAGAACGAAGTACGGGGAGATGCCGAAGGAGCTCTTGAAGGAGATGATGCGATGATGCTGGGGGATGTAGGAGAGGAGAATTCCAAAGACGATCAAACTGGCCGTGATTAGTTGTAAGTGGCGTCGGCCTCGTGTATCGATGACTTACATGGAGAGGATGAAATTCTTATAGTCTGGGGAGGCCAAATGTTTGCATTGCGGATTGACTGCATCCATTTTGTCGAAGCCGATAAAATATCCGAGCAGAAATAAACGTCCATATATCTTCCATCGATACCAGGGGAGTCTCAGGGATGCGAAAGGGGTCTGGTTGTGATCAACGCCCAGGCTCCGCAGGGCTGGAGATCAAGGGTATACGGAGTAGACGCTGGGATCGGATGACCGCGGCGAGAAATTTTGAGAACGTAGGTGACACGCCAATGAGTAGGTAGCTTTGCGCGACGTTAACGGATCATGATGAGCCAGATGAGAGGTGATGGAGAGCTGGTATGTAGCATGAGGAGGTCCAGCAGTTGCTTATCGGATGTTGTTGTCTCCGCATGATCCAAAAGAGGGAACACCCTCAGCCTAACCCGAAATGGTTAGGACACTCCTGCTGTCTCCAGCACCGTTTCTACTTCAAAAGAGACAGTTGGATGCATTTCACCTGGATGATCTATATGTAATCTCTGCACCAACATCCATAGTTACTCGTCATCTATCTGACTAGTCTTGGCCATCACTGACAATGCCAAGCTCCACAGCAGTAAGCTCGACCAAGGCCAGCGAAGTCAATCGATGACGCCAGTAACCGCTGCCCAGCTTCGCAGCACTACGTCACTGGGCAATCATCTCTTGCCAACGGGATCCCTTGTTCCAGCAACCTCTACACCCTCAGCATTACATATACTCCTACACATCTGAGCTGATCTATTTCTCACCTCAAGTCTCTGAAAAAGCTCATATCTCTAAGTGAGGATCTCCCACCCATCAATTTCGCATCTTCTTGAGTCTAATCATCTACCGTAGCATCCACAACTCGCAGCAGCCATGAGACTCAATCTTGGGTCCGGTCTACTCCTTTTCCTCGCGACTAGCCAGGCTGTGGGCGCCCACAGCTGGTTCAGCAAAGCTGGTATGGTCATCCTTACTCCTATCGCACTTCCCAGACTTACTGACACAATCCAGTGTACAACAAATGGCATGAGACAGAGCTGGAAAGATGGCTTTCTGACCATGGTACGATCTTTCTCCCTCGCGGGTTTCTTATGGAATGGCTAACCTGTCACTCAGATATCCCATATCCCTCGCCTGCGGATCGTAAAGACCTTGAAACCCTTGTCAAGTCCAACTGGGAGTCCAAGGTACAGAAGCCTTTGGGCCATGCAGCTGAGCATGCTACCGATTCCTGGCACAACGCCAAGGAATGGATTTTTGATACGTGAGTCAACATTCCTTGTGAATTGTTTGGCACACCCTCTTCTGACTGTCACTAGATGGACGGACTCCCAACTGAAGGCCTTCCTTGATCGTCATGGCGTCCCGGCGCCTCAGCCCCGCCGGCGCGATGTGCTTATCAAGACCGCTCGCGAAAACTACGAATCGATCGCAAAGAAGCTGAATGAGGCTGCCTCGTACCCTGGAAACTGGGTCTATGAGACATGGACTGAGTCTGATCTGAAGGAATGGCTTGATGAGCGCGGATGGCCTGTGCCTCAGCCGTCTACCCGCGACAGGCTCGTTGCCTCTGTACGTCGCAATGCTAGACTGGCTAGTCTGCATGCACAGAGCATTGCTGCTTCGGCCTCGGCCTCTGCGGATGCGGCCCAAGCTACCCTTAGTGAAGCCTTGTTCAACGCCTGGTCCGACTCCGATCTCAAAAAGTTCCTGGATGAGCATAACATCAAGGTGCCGCAGGGCTCCAGGCGTAATGAGCTGATCGCTCTAGCCAGAAAGCATCGTGCTCTTCTTGTTAGCCAAGCATCCAGTGCTTCTAAGGCCGCGTCCTCTACCGCTGTGGACCTTATTGGCGCTGCAACCACCAAGGCTGGGAATGAGTACGCTCGGGCCACCGATGATGCCACCCTCAAGGCAGAAGATGCGTTCAATTCGGCCGTGGAAGCTTGGTCTAACTCGCGTCTCAAGGCATTCTTGGATGCTCGCGGCGTTCCTGTGCCCCAGAGCAGCAGAAGGGATGAGCTCCTCGCCAAGGTCAGGCTCCACAAACACAAGGCAGCGACGGGTTGGACGGCTTGGACTTTTGATACGTGGAATACAGATGAGCTGAGGTGAGAGAAGCAAGAGACCTATGTTCATGACAGACGCTAATCAACACAGGAAATATTTGGCTTCAGTGAACTCCAAGGCAGCGGAGCGTGCGGATCTCACTCGCGACGAGCTAGTGAAGCATGCACAGGAGGCCTACGCCAAAGCCTCTAGCTCTGGCGGATCACTCCTCGCATCCGCTACCTCCTACTTGACCAAGGCCACCAACGACGTCAAAGACACGACTTTCGACACTTGGTCTCATTCTGATCTGAAGGCTTACCTCGATTCGTACGGAATCCCGGTGTACCAGGGCTCGAACATCAATGAATTGCGTGCTGCCGCTCGACGCAATGCCGAGTACTTCCGGTATGGCACGCGCACTCCCCAAGGAACGCTGTATGCGAAGCTGCAAGATGCAACCAACTGGATCCTGGACCAGCTGAAGATTGGAGCATCGAGTGGCCGGGCTCAGGCCCATGAGGCGGCAGACAAGGTGAAGGAGAAGGCCTCTGAAGCGGAAGATCAGGTTCGGGCCGAGCTGTAGAATGACAGTTCCTGGTGTAATTCCTAATGATGTGACGCAACGGTCGGGATGGTTTTTGCAGTGATTTCTAGGTATTCCGTTGTCGAAAATTGTATACAATGGTTCTTTACTGTGTATTATTTTAATGGATTGACTCTTTTGCTTTTGATAAACGTGTGAGACATTCATGTCATTCCAGCACGAGGTGGAAGTGGATCTTGATATATCCTGACTTATTCCAACAAGTTGGCCTGGTTGACACGTCGGTGTCCAGCAAAGTCGTAACTCATAGAACATAGAGAACCCCCGTTGTTTCAACAAACGTCACGCTTTTTGGGCCATATATTCAGAATTCTGAATTTGGACAGAGGGTCCAATACACCAAACAACGCTCCTTGCAGTCATTTGCCGTGGATAGCTCACAGTGATTGCGGACTTATGACTTCGGGGCCTCCGGGTCACCTTCGGCAACCAGCTTACCGACAACCAGGTATTTCTCCAAGAAGCGCTCCTCCCACGACTGCAGATTCTCCAGCTGTTCAGGCTCGAGATCCTTCAGGTCGTCGAGGGGCCCCTTGAGGTCCTCGGTGAGCATTTCCTTGTCGAAACTCTGGAAGGCCAGTCCGCGGGAAGCGTCGCGGCCCGCAAAGTTCTCGTACGGTCCGCCCTAGAATCAAACCCTCTGTCAGTCTCATCTTTTCTTGCCGTTCTCTCCCTCATTCCCGACTCCTTCCGCAGGTGTAGCCGCCACTTACCGGACCGTAAAAGTTCCTGCCGGGCGAGACATCGAAGACGCGACCGCGGACCGCAAGGTAGACGGGCTTGTCGCCCTCGCCGTTGAATTCGAGGAGGGTGGTCGGGGTGAAGGTGCGGAAGACGACCGGGGGTGGGCCCTTGGGCAGGGTGACGGGGGCCTTGGGCCGGAATTGCAGGTAGACGACGACGGCGAAGAGGGAGAGCAGGATCAAGTTGATCGGGGAGGCGATGGACATTCTGGGGAGGTTAGGTTAGGCTTTGGTATGGTTTCTTGTCGGGGGAGCAATCATCACTGACACTTCGGGCGGCGGAGCTGCTCCGTTGTCTGGGGTAGATTCCACGTTAGTGTTTGGTTCCTCTGGGAGGGTTTGGGGGTGTGGGACGTCGGTGAGCGGGGGGAGGGAATGTACCTGAGGACATGATGGTGGATTGAAGGTGGTGAGAGATGAGTGGAAGTGGTTGGGACGGAGAGAAGAATGGAAGGAAGAAAAGCGATGACGCTGATGGTGGAGGATGGATAGGGTGATAAGAAGTCGATCAGCGGGAATGACGGAAGCCAACTTCGGTAGCGGCTGTTGGAGCAATAACCGCCGCGGATTACATACAAATGGGTGGCTATTCGATATTGGATATTCTATGTTTTATAGATTCATATTTGATGATTGGTTCTTTCCTGGAGAATAGGTCGTTAAGTGTTACTGTTTGCACACTTAAAATCCATTGACTCCAGGATTACACACTTGGTCGTGGGTTCCCTTATATATATCTTGCGACACCATACAAACTAGAGGCACATGCAATTCTGGAGTAGATCATCAGCCAAAAAAAAAAAAAAAAAAATGAGAAGAATGCTACTGACTTTAGTTCCAGGCCACACCACTGTTCCTGTACCAAGCCATTGGGTCAGTGCATACTCTGTAATTTATGAAGGTTCAAGAGCTACATGTACTCCGTACAACTATGGATTCCGGTAGATAAACAGCGCAGAAGGGAACAAGACCCAGTGTTTCAGGACAGCAGGAGGACACGTGACAATGAGCCTGACGGCTCAGGCCGCCGCCGCAGACCGAATAAATAATGTTTATTTGGGTTTGACTCCTCGTGGTCCCAATTTATCCTCCGATGGTTTCTGATATCGTCGGTTTCATCTCCACAACCTCGGAAGACGGCAAGATAACAAAACCTTCGATGATGGTCTGGATGAAGATCCCTATATGGAGGCCTCAGCCAAGGACCGCCAGCACGACAGGGGCCAGAGGCTGGCGGACGCAATCGTCGGACTAACACAAATCAACCGGGTTATTATTAGCTCTCATCTCCAGCTAACGGTCGACTAAGCTCGACCAGCAGTCAGTCTGAAACAGGGTCCTTCATCTTACGCAGTGGAGCAACTACCTGTGCTTCTTCTCATTACTCCGTATTATTATTATAATAACATTATGCTAGAGATTCTTTTCAGTAGTTAGTTATTATTCTCTCCCCCCTCACAGGAAACCGGATTGTCTATGAATATCTCAGAAGGAGGAGGGGCATGTGTTGGCAGCTCTCCCTTTATTCATTTCTTTCTCTCTTCTTCTCCTTCTCCTTCCCTTCTTTTCTCCTTCGCTTCGATTCCGATTCTCTATCCGCCATGCCAGTAAGGGCATTTCCTATTCATCTAGCTTCGTGCCTCGAGACATTCTCTTCTTTTTTCTCTTTT